TGGGATTTAGCACTGGCATGCAGGAATGCTTTAACAAATGTAGTACACCACACCAAATATTGAAATACAAAAACCGTATGATCATCTCAACGGATGCAGAGAAGACATTTGATAAAAACCCAAAACAAAACTGGCATAGAAGAAACATTCCACAACACAATCAAAACAATATAGGAAAAAATGCCAGCAACATAGTAAATGTGGAAAGACTGGAAGCGTTCCCATTAAGACCTGAAACTAGACAAGCATGTCCATCACCACTGCTATTGAAAACAGTATTGGATTAATTGCCAGAGCTTAAAGCCAAGAAAGACAAATAAAATGGATTCAAATTGGAAGAGAGAAACTAAAATTGTCCCTATTTGTAGATGAAATGGTTCTCTACATAGGAGAACAAAAAAAATCAATCAAGAGACTTTTATAAACTCGTAAGAGTATTTGGCAGTGTAGCAAGATGCAAGGAAAAATTAACATAAATCAATGATGGTCACACAAATAACTCCATGGCCAAGAAAGAACTTGTAAGAACAGTCCCCTTAAAAGCAATGGAAAGGAATATTAAATATCTTAGAAACACCCTAACCAAAGATGCAGAAGACCTCTAGAGGAAAATTAGAGAACATCGGAAAAAGAAATAGAGCTCGTTCTTTTAAAAAAAATGTCTGTTCATTTCATTTATGCATTTCATCACAGTGTCATTTGTTTTGCTGTTATTGTTCTGAAGCTCTTTGTAATCCCCAAGGAAACTGATAATTATATGTTGACAATAGGATGCTGGATTATCATCCATTGTCCATACCTAAAAACTCAGGATACACTTTTGTAGCAGAATGATGGAATTATTACTAGTTATCTAGGAAAATACTAATTTAATGGTAGTGGAGAGGGATCTTAAATACCTTGAAATTAACCAAAGATGTGGAAGACATCTCTAATGAAAATCTAAAAATATTTTAGAAGAGATAGAGGAAGACTTCAAGATGGAGAAACTTAACATGTTCCTGGATTGGCAAGATCAACATCATCAAAAGCCCATATTATCAAAAGTGATACACAGATTCAAGAGGATCCCGATCAAAACCCCAATAACATTCTTCTCAGAAATAGAAAAGATGATACAAAAGTTGATCTGGGAACACAAGAGACCTTATGAATAGCCAAAGCCATCTTGAAGAATAAAACTCAAGCTGGAGTAATCACAGTTCCAGACTTCAGGACATATTACAGGGCAGTGGTCATCAAAACAGTTTAGTACTGGTACAGAAACACAAGATCAATCGAACAGAATAGAAATTCCAGAAGGGAGCTCACACAAGTACAGCCAACTAACCTTTGACAACAGAACCAAAAATTATTCAGGGGAAAAATCTGGTTTCTCCAAAAAATGCTGAAGGTACAATGGGATAACAGCCTGCAGAGGTAAGAAGTAAGATTTCCCCCCCCACACACCTGTCACCTTATACAAAAATCAGCTCTAAATGGATAAAAGAACTAAATCTGCATTCAGAAACCATCAAACATTTTGAGGAAAACATAGGAAACACTCTCCAAGACACAGGAATTGAGAAAGACTTAGAAAAGTCATCCAAAGCATAGGAAGGTGAAGCCAAAATTAAAAAAAAAAAAATGGACTATATCAAACTATGAAGCTTCTGTACAGCAAAGGAAATTATCAACAAAGTGAAGAAGCAACCAACAAAAGGTGACAAAAACCTTCCCAAGATGTTAGTGCCATAGGGAACTAACAATGCAGAATCTCAGCAACAGCAAAAACATCCAACCCTGTGAAGAAATGGGCAAAGGAAATGGACAGATGTTTTCAGTAGAACAAATTCAAATGCCTAATAGACACAGGAAAGAATGCTCAGGCTCCCTGGCTATCAGGGAGATACAAATGAAAATCACTTTGAGGTTACACCTAACTCCAGTGAGATTGGCCTGCACTGAGAACTCTACTAACAAGACCTGTTGCCCTACTTTACTATTGCTGGGAGTGTAGGCTAGTAAAACCTATGAAAGTCAGTAGAGAGAGTGTTAAGAAAACTGAACATTGACCTAATGTTTGTCCCAGCTATCCCCCACCTTTGTGGAAATGCATGCAAAATAAATAATATTTGCATATGAAAATGGGATCTATAATCCTGCAATTATAGCAGCACCATTTACAATAGCAAAGACATGAAAACAACTCAGATGTCCATCCAAAGAGGAATGAATAAGAAAACTGTGTTGGGCCCGGCGCGGTGGCGCAAGTGGTTAAAGGTCCTCGCCTTGCACGCCTGGGATCCCATATGGGCGCCGGTTCTAATCCCGGCAGCCCTGCTTCCCTTCCAGCTCCCTGCCTGTGGCCTGGGAAAGCAGTGGAGGACGGCCCAAAGCTTTGGGACCCTGCACCCGCGTGGGAGACCCAGAAGAGGCTCCTGGCTTCGGACTGGCATAGTATCGGCCCGTTGCGCTCACTTGGGGAGTGAATCATCGGATGGAAGATCTTCCTCTCTGTCTCTCCTCTCTGTATATCCGCCTTTCCAATAAAAAATAATAAAAATAAATCTTTAAAAAAAAAAAAGAAAACTGTGTTATGTTTACTCCAAGGAATACTACTACTCAGCCATTAAAAAGAATGAAATTCTACCATTTGCAACCAAATGATCCCAAGTAGAGACCATTATGCTCAGTGAAATAAGCCATTCCCAACAGGACAAATATCATATGTTCTCTCTGATATAAGGCAACCTCCATGTAAACTATAAGATCAATATCTCTTTCCATACTGTTTCTGCTGCAGCCCATGGTTTTTGATATTTTTGCTTTTATTTTCATTACTTCAAAACTGTTTCTTTTCTCATATTAAATTCTTCACTGACTCATAGATCACAGCATCACTTTCTCCAGTAAGTATCTATTTTTTTTTCATTTCTTCATCAACACATTGGTTATTCAGCAGCATGTTACTTAACTCCATGGTATTGTAATTATTTTTAACTTTATTCCTGCTGTTGATTTTGTTTTATGGCTTCTCATGTAAGGGAATGTATTAATTATATTAACTGCATGATAGAGACTATCATATCCATATGTGAAGATACAGCGCAGTATGCATCTCCGCTTCCAAATCAAGGAAAGACTCCCAAGGAGACTGTTGGATGTGTCTGGACATAAGGATGCTGGACTCTGAAACGTTGTCTGTACTGGCAATGTCAGGACACACTCAAAAAGCAGAATGATGAACTCAAGACAGCTCATAAAGGATTATATGACTGTAATAACATGGGGAAATAAATTGGAGGGAGAGAATCTGGGGAGGAGGTAAAGGCAATCCCAGAGCCTATAGAAATATACCATAAAATTAAAAATAAAATAGGAAAAAAAGGGGTGAAATTTGAAAATATATATAAAAAAAGATTTTACCTTGCCCTAGTCAGAATACTTACCATCCAAAGATAAATTTTAAAAATCAAACAAATAGTGGCAATGATGTGAGGAACTGAGGTATACTAATATACTGTTGATGTAAATGCAAATAATACAACTATTATGGAAAACAGTTTGGAGATTCCTAGTGATATGAAAACAAATCAAATGAACCAACCATCCAAGTGTTAGGAATATACCCAAATGAAATGTAATCAATATACAAGAGTTATTTGTTCACAAATGTTCATTACAGTTCAATTATAAATATTTAAAATATGGAATCAATCCAGATGTCCATCAAGGGATTACATGATAAAGACAATGTGGTACAAGTACACTGTGCAATAGTTGCCATAGCATTTTGCGTTGAAGATGCATCATTACCTCATACATGTTCCCAGTCATCAAATATGTTTTATATTAGCCTGTAATTTTTCCTTATATCATTAACAATTTAACCTAATGTAGTCATAGAAAAGCATGCAGATACATATGCACTTAGTCTTACAACATTTTTCATAATTGCAAAATAGAAAAATCTATTGAAAATATTTTCAATTACAATTTGTAAGGACAGAAGACTGGTTTAATGAACTGGTTATATGTGTACAGAAACAAGGCCATATCAATTAGAGCATATACAGATGTGCCTCCATGTGACAGTCCATATATAAGAATACACAGTATATAATATGTTCACATAACTACACCTAGAAAAGACTGCCCTCCCATGGTAACATGGGGACCTAATGGCATCCTGCCAAAGTCCTTTATGGCAGTGGTCCCTAGTCATATGATGAACACAAATGCATTTCATTCTCTAGACAAAGTACATGAACCTTAATGAAGCACTAGCTGCCTCTGCATCAACCATTATGTTTTCTGACTGACAAAGACACTGCCCAACAGGACTGCATGCTCAGGGCCCACACATGGCATGCGGCCAGTCCTTGTTGCAGACAGAGTATGAAGGCCTACTTGCCTATGAGAAATACTGAGGCAAAGAAAGGGAGGAACAAGATTGCTCATAGCAGAGGCGATAATGAACCAGTGCCAATAAATAAAAGCAAGTCATCGACTGTCGGACTATTTGTTTACTAATGTGTTGTTTTGGCTTCTTGATGACACTGCCTGTTGTGTTAGCAGACACTTCTATTTCAGAGTGAGGTTTAAAGCAGGATACCCTGGATGTCCTCCAACTAGATGCACAGCTCACGATTTCCCTTCTGAAATGTCTTGCCACTGAAATCTAAGACCTGAGAACCTCTCTGTCAGTTGGAATGCAGGGCAGAGGGGCAGTGTCATATGTGTGGATCCATGGACTCTGACACACAATCTCCAGTTGTTGGCTGAACACTAAGCCATTTGGGGATCTTGGTGGATACTGAGCACTCCACCATGTTGTGAAATAGTTTCATGAGAAGAAATTCCAAATAAATACTATTTGGCATTTTCTCTAGTTACTTAGAATATTCTTGGTTGTGTCAAAGATAAAATTTTTATGTTATATATTTAACACACATTCCTGCATCTAAGTTCTTATTATATATTTTTTATTTGAAGTTACCTATAAACATTCTACTTACCTCTTTCGTCAGTGAACACATTTTGCTCTTCCGTGTGGATTTCGAGCTGTGAGTCTGCATCTTGATGTTCAACAAGATTTTCACCCGAAACTTTATAAGGAGCTACACAGAGAGATTCATTTACTCCTTTAGACAAGCAGATCTATGATGAATTCTGGTTTCAATTTTCTAAAAATTGCATATATTTTCTCTTATTCTGCTAAAAGAACCAGGTAGTTTATGAAACAACAGGCCTTTCTGGAAAGAAAGTCATGTCAATAGTCATAGTCATGTCAATGTGTCTCAAAAAGTGATGGCAGACACCAAGAGGCTCTGTAGAACCCTAGCGTAGTGTTCACATGAGGTTTCAGCTCTGACAGGAAATAGAGCATTTCTCCTAATTTTGAAGACAACCAATAAGTCAAGTGAAAGATCCAAAAGAAGGGTTTTAAAAAGTTAGGGAAGCAACCTTGTGGTTAATGTGCATAGTTTTAAGACAACGGTTTACAATCTTTGAAGAGCCTCTTCACGAAATGCACCCATGGCTGTGTTCAGCTGTGAGTATGCCCCTAAATCTGACAGGAGTCCATCACATCACAAGTTAATGATGTTTTAATGTGAAAGATGTAGTCTCAGGGTCATTTTGTCCATCAACTCAAACAGGCCTAAAAATCTGGGCAGTTGGCATCAACAGATGGGGAAATCTGTCTAGCTTTGTGAGGAAGAGGTGTGTAGCAGGGTTTGAAAGTGCAGAGTCCCTTCTTCTGAGACCCTCAACAATTCTTGCATTGTCAAGTGAATGGAGAAAAGGGGGCAGAGACAAGGATATCTACGTCCCTAACAATGGAAAAGATGTTGGTGCCTGCAGAGGTTACAGCTTCCCAAGATACTCCACTTGTCCCTACTACAGTGGTAAGAGTAAGCACAGTGACGGCACCCGCAATCCTCAAATTGAGGTTTCATCCATTATGGGGAGCCATAGAGTTCCTTTGCAAGCTCTCAGTCAGCTGGAGCTGGTCTCCAGCAATCCATGCTACTTTAACTTGTTCCCCACGTCAGCTGAACCTCACTACAAACATCTAATCTGTGACATAATCCAGATCTTTAATTTGTGGGGGGATGGAAAAAGAATCCAACAGCCGTGTTTGAACCATGCATGCATGGAAAAATTTATAAGTCATCGTTTGGCATTGAGTTCTTCCCAAGAAATCTGTTATCTATTCAACAAGGGACTGTAAAGGAAGATGCGAGTGGACTTTTCTCTAAGGATTTCCAAGTGGACTCTTCCCTGAGGTACAGGGAATGGATCACGTTCCTGATGCTCAGTACCACTGGGCTGCAAACTCTGAGGACTCTTGTATTTAACAGAGTGCTCTTAACGCTGTACCTCCCAGTGATGCTCACAGGAATCATAAAATCCAGCCTAATTTTGCTTAGACAGTCTATCTTTCAGAAATAAATTATATTAGGGTCATGTCTATGTTTCTGCATCACCAGTAGCAATCTGAGGACAGGTGCCAAACACATGGATGGTAGAACGTACTTTCTCAGGGCTGTCATGTCCTGGGTGCACAGCCGACAATGGTCACTACAGCCTTTGCCTCTAACATAAGATGTGGGACAGACGCAATACTCTAACTGTGCTTCTGCAAACACCACACCATAATCCTTGGCCAAGTGCTATTATAACCATATACTTGAGGTTCATGGCAAAACCCCATTTTCAGAGGTACTTTGCTCAATGTTTTCTTGGTATGGGTATTGTTTTCTATGTGAGTATCTCCTTTGCATTCCCCAAAGCACTGATTGGAACTGTTGTATTCTGGGCCATTTTAATAGAGTATGTGGACGATCTTAAACCTCCAGATTATTAGCATCAAAATTAATTCCTAGGAAGCAATAAATAAATAGATTGATAGATAAATGTTCTCAATGCTGAACTTAATGATGCCTTCATTCTCCACGGAACTCTTTCTGTCTCCAACAACCAAACAGTACCTTCCGTATGGCTTCAGAAGCTCTGTGTTAACTGACTTCAGTGGTTCAATCCTACAGCACAACGTTGGGCAGTAGAGACCTATGAGCACGTGACTTTCAAACAGAATATTTCCTAATGTTGGTTTAAATACTTGGTTTCCAACAGTTAAATTTCAATTACATCAATCTCCACACAGATCTCAAGGTCAGTTTATCTATGTGAAATTCATTGCAATACACTACTGATATCCTTCCACAAAGTGACCAAATATCTCCAGCATCTTCTGTGACTGCATAGCTTTTTTTTTTAAGATTTATTTTATTTTTATTGGAAAGGCAGATATACAGAGAGAGGAGAGACAGAGAGGAAGATCTTCTGTCCGATGATTCACTCCCCAAGTGAGTGCAATGGCCAATGCTATGCCGATCCGAAGCCAGGAGCCAGGAATTTCTTCTGGGTTGCCCACGCAGGTGCAGGGTCTCTAAGCTTTGGGCCATCCTCAACTGCTTTCCTGGGCCACAGGCAGGGAGCTGGATGGGAAGCGGGGCTGCCGGGATTAGAACCAGCACCCATATGGGATCCCGGGCGTGCTGGGCGAGGACCTTAACCACTGCGCCACCGCGCCGGGCCCCGACTGCATAGCTTTTAAATGCTCAACGACATGATCCAGGAGAGAAGATCTGCCTCAAATATGCGGGTGTAATCCATTATCTGGGCCCATGGAAGGATATCATTTAAAAGGAACTGGACATCCCATTGACATACTAGCATTTTCAGCTGGGCCTTGGATACAACTGAGAAATAGTTGACCAGGACCTTTGTGAAATTTCAGAATTTGCCTCTAAAAGGGCACAGCGTCTTACTTCAGTGAAGACTGAACAGTCATGGCCCTCGGATAAAACCAGGACAATGAGTAAGCCATTGGTTTTATGATTAAGATTCCAATAGGATCCTAATATCTGAAATCAGTGTCTGGATCTGAGTCTTGGCTTCATCTTTCACTTCTTTTTTTTTTCTATATATAAAATTTATTTTGACATTCTTTACATAGTTAGTTAGAGTAAGAAGGTTCAAGGGCTACAGGAAAGTGGATTTGCACTTCTAACTTCCTCTAAGAGGCAGCTGGTGATGGCTCAACAGTAGGGTTCCTGCCACCCACATATTAGAACTGTGTTAGGTTCATAGCTCCCAGCTTCAGTAGGACACAGCCAAAATCTTAGACAAACTGCCCCCATTGTGGGCATTTGGATAATGTATCACAGGATAGCAGATGTGTGTATGTGTGTTTCAAATAAAAATAACAGAAAAACCAGAAATTAGTTGAACAACTTTGTACACTCATTTTCTCTACGTGGAAAACTATTCCTTGATGATATCATGATATCCTCTAATGGGTTACAGAAAGGTTGCTTCATTTTCTGGTGCTGTGACTAAGAGGATAGCCTAATGGTCCATCTGCACATTTCTGAGACAGGCTCCCTCTTAGCTCTCTGGACACCTGCTTGAGGTTCGAGCTGCATATATCAGTAATAGTTATGTTGGCTGACTGGGGCCCAGAGCAGAAGGTCATTGCTGCAGGTCACAGGTGCCAATCAGGCTTTTAAATCCAGAGTTATGACTAAGAGGCACATTTCTTTGGAAAGAAAATTATGCACCTATCACAGCACTTCAAAGAATATCCCATGTCCTGCCCTGCAGTCCTTGAATAAACTCAGGACGAAAAATGTCAACCAGCAAGAACTGACATTTTTGCTTTTTTTTCCCCCAATTATGTTACATTACTCTACTCATGGTGTAACATGTCTATAAAAGATATCTCATATGTATTCATAAATCAAGATAAAAAAGAACTCAGCAAAATAAGCTACTGTGTTTTTAATACTGTACTTACTAGTAAACACTTCCCCTGTGGAAGCTCTTTGTGTCTTTGCCTCAATTTCTGACTTAGATGTTGAATGTTGAGGCTGAACCACAAGATTTTCATAAGGCTCTTCTTTGCTGTCTACATAAGAAGACACATTTAGTCAGCTAAATGAAAAAGAAAAGTATTTTAAAACTCTAGGCTTTTAATTTACAACAAATACACAGCAACATTTTCTGTAATTTTTAGAAAGCTGTCAGTGAATTGTCATAAAGCTTTATCTAGTGTGAACAGTGAGGGGTATGTGGTGAAGCTTTCTTGTATCAGTAATGTCTCTGGAATTGCAATATGCCTTAGTTCATACTCTATTTTTCTCACTTTTTCATATTTCCGGTTAATATATATTCACAGATAGGATGGTAAAAATGCAAATGTGCAAGATTATTCATTAATAAAAAACCTGACTCTGTTGGTTGAATGAAATGAGACATCTAAGTTCTTACATTTCATACTGTGTTTTCTTTTTAACAACTGTTATCTATGGAAGTAAATGCAATGAAAAGGATCCCTAAACATTACCTTTCTGGTATTCACAAAAAATAATGTTTAGTGATAAAAAAAAAACTGAAAGGGAGTATCTAACATGATATAGTTAAGTAATGTAAATAGTAAAAAAGATACTTCCCTTAAAAATATATGACACAGGAAATATAAACTGGAGGACAAAGGACTCTGTCACAAAAGACCATTGCAGGTGCAACCACAGTCCATGTTAGTTTCAACCTTGTGCCTGACATTAGTAGGCAGGCCATGATAACAGTGAGTTCCGAGAGCTGGATATTATGAGCCAAAGCAAAAGAGTATCATGAAGAGCTTGATCATTAAATTAATTCATCTATAATATTTACACTTACAACTGGGTTTTCCTTCTTTACTTTTTCTTTGTTTCTTTACTCCTTTCTGTGTTTTTGCTACTGAGTCTTCAGGCTGATGTTTAAGATTTTCCTCCGTTTTTTTGCTCTGAGCTGCACAGAAAGGCATTAAATCACACAGTGAATATCACAAGTCAAATAGCATTTCTCCATCACCTTGGGGACGTTTCCATAAAGAATGTAGGTATATAAGTCATACTTTGTCAACAACCTGTGGAGATTTCCAAACTGAGGTAGGGTGTGGTATAATGGCTCAGTGGCTAAATACTTGCATTCCATACATGTGCTGGTTCATGTCCCAGCTGCTCCACTTCTCATTCAGCTCCCTGTGTGTGGCCTGAAAAAGCAGTAGAAGATGGCTCAAAGCCTTGGGACTCTGCATCCGTGTGGTTGACCCGGAAGCAGTTCTTGACTCCTGCCTTGAGACAACTCAGCTCCAGCTTTTATGGACACATGGGGAGTGAACCAGCGAATGGAAGATCTCTCTCTCTCTCTCCTTTATGCTGTAAATCTGCCTTTCCAATAAAAAAAATACATGTTGAAAAAGTACTGTAGTAGTTTACTGTTTTCAAGGAGGCAGGATTGTGCCTTTATACCAGGCGGTGTATTTAGCGGTCTTGTGAATATTCTGTGTCATTGTGGTGCTTTGTAAAGTATGTCTGGCATCAGTGAGGCAGTCTTCTTAACTACTTCCTGTGTGACAAAGACAACCAATGTAGTATGCCTGTCGCCAAGGAGCCAGACTTTTTAACTGCTTCTTGTGTGACAGTGACATTCAAGGTGGCAGTCTATTTAACATCCTGTGTGATGGGGCACCTAGAGGTGTGTAGATCACCAGTGAGGCAGTCTTTTGTTAACTTCTGTACTATAGTGGAGCCTGTGTGACTGCGGTACTTTGTGTGGTGCATCTTTGCAGACCCCTTATTCCCAGTGCCTTCAAAGTCTCTGATGCAGATGGGAAAAGCACCAGAAATGCATGCTGTAGTCTACAGCCACAAAGGTACTGAAAGATATAATTACTCATACTGTTTTCTTTTCATTTTCTTAAGGTTAACTGGAAAACACTGCTTGTATGCACCCCCAAATCTCAGATTTCAAACCAATATAAAGGTCCCCAAGTCCTCAGTAGAACCTGAAGCTGTCAAGCCCAGCGCGATGGCGCAGTGGTTAAGGCCCTCGCCTTGCATGCCTGGGATCCCATATGGGCGCCAGTCCTAATCCCGGCAGCCCCGCTTCCCATCCAGCTCCCTGCCTGTGGCCCGGGAAAGTAGTCGAGGACAATCCAAAGCTTAGAAACCCTGCACCCGCGTGGGCGACCCAGAAGAAATTCCTGGCTCCTGGCTTCGGATTGGCATAGCATGGGCCATTGCACTCACTGGGGGAGTGAATCATTGGACGGAAGATCTTCCTCTCTGTCTCTCCTCTCTCTATATCCGCCTTTCCAATAAAAATAAAATAAATCTTTAAAAAAAAAAAAAAGAACCTGATGCTGTCTTCTAGTTCATAAAGGCAGTGGGAGGAAATTTCATAGTTTGGGTCATTTGGGTCACAGTTTACAAAGGACTAAGCATTGCAATCTCTCCACCAGGCCGAGGGGAAACTAACTTTGATTTGTGGTTTTAAGTCTAAAGCATACCAAAATCAAGATTTTGCCCATACCCAACTGTAGGTACTCCACCTTGGACCCTAGAATCTTCTAGTTTTACATGTCACACTACCAATTATAGCTACACGTATGTCTCTATGTGACCCCTGATGGGAACCACCACAGTTAACCCATGTGAAAGTTCCTAGCAATGTGTGGCCTGAAAAAAGTAAATCTACCAGTGGTAGGAAAAGAAACCCCTCCCTCATCGCCATGCAGTAAGAGTTCCACTGAATACCTTGGCCTGTGAGGTGGCTTGGTTTGCCCATGGACTCAGTCCATTGTGAGCACGCTAGTGTTGTGATACGGTAGGGACACTCTGGACACCATCAAGATCATTACCTCTGCTGTGGGAGGTGAGCAGAAAACAACTGACCTTGAACATGCCTGATTCAACATCTCTGAAAGGGCACATCAAAAGGACCCATTTGCCTCCGCTGGAATGAGCCACAATCACTCTAAAATACCCTTTCATATCTTGGTGATCTTGAAAAAGAGGTGTTGCTCCACATGCAGAAATGTGGCTGGGGCATGAGAACCCTGTACCTGGGTGGAATTCCAGGGGATAAACTAAGAGGAGTCAACATGTGTTACTCAGGAGGTAACTGTTCAGCACTGGACCATCTCAATCCAAAGAAACACAAAGGCAGCTGAGTGCTTTGTGGGGTTCTAATGCTACTACCCTTTATCATATTCTCCTTAACTCAACCATCTATTGTTTCCCCAAATGCCTCTTTCCTTAAGTAAATCTGGACAGGACAGACGGCACAGAGAGACCATCTTCCATTGTGCCTCCAAGTCTACGTTTCTTTGCCCCTTAGTCAACACTTCAAGCACAAGTCTTAGCACAGTCTTGGTTAACCAAATCAAATCTACAGAACAATTTCTTTAGATATGCAATTTCCTGGGGTTAATGCAATATAATGTTCATTTGATCAGAAATACTGATATCTATGAATGCTTAGGAATTTATTTTCTAGTTGCAATATTCTACTTTAACATCAAAAATGACATTAAACAAAAAAATGTTTTGGGGCCAGTGCTGTGGTATGCAAGCAAAACCCCCACCAGTAGTTTTGGCATCCCACATAGGTACTGGTCCATTTCCCAGCTGCTTCACTGCAGATTCCTGTTCAATGCTTATGACCTGCTAAGTCATTGGAAGACAGAGAATGTTCTGGGACATTGGCCCTTGTAGCCATGTGGGAAACCTAGAAGAGACTTTGAGTTGCCTCAGCTCAGGCACTTGCGGCCATTTAGAGAGTGAACCAGTGGATGAATAACCTCTCTCTCTGCCGCTCCTCTCTACAAAATCTGCCTTTCAGATACAATAAATAGTTTTAAAAATAGGAGAATATTTATAAAATATATAATCAGATGCTGATTCATGAACCGAAGAAAATAGATTTTAAGCTGTGATTAAATTTAAAATAAAATCATCCATGATCTTCATACTTACTGGTGACACGTTCCCCACTAGAAACGCTATCTTTCTGTTCCTGAAGTCTGGATTTTGACATTGATTCTTGATGTCTTCCTATAGTATTTTCATTCAGTTCTTCATAATGAGCTATGCAGAGAAACACACTGTTTCAAGAAATTGCTGTATTTAAAGTTTAAAAGGTAATCTCTGTCATTTTTATAAAATTTCACTAAATTACTTTCATGGCTGATCTAATTAAGATGAAAAAATAATTTTCATGAATATATGCTGGTAATTTCCCATTTTGGAAAAAAACATTTTTAGTCATCATATAAAGTTAGCATAACTATATATTTTTTCTCAGTTTACTTATACTGCAAAAAACTCATCTAGATTTCAAGTAGCACACATGAAAATACATATGTACAAGTTTAGTCATTACAGCATTATTTGCAATTATACCAAAAACAATGTAAGTGCACAAACATGGAATTTTGGTAGAATAAGGTAATACGTGTGTTCTAAATGATAATATATATTTTATGGGAAGCAAGGTGAAACAAGCAGCTGTACAAAAAGCATTAAAACAATTTTTAAATGTTGCTATAAACTGACTTAGAGAACATCTAAAAGATAATATTAAATGGGGAAAAATCCAAAAGGGCAAAAGTTGTACACTACGCTGTCTTTTAGACAAATAGGAAAGAAAAATAAGAAAAAAAAAACAGTGATAAAATGAGACTGATACTTATCTTTACAAAAAATGGATGAAATATCTGAGAAGAATATATTTAGTAACTTACAAAGATAAAAGAAATGACCTGAGACTGAAACACCTCCACTAGGGAATACTGCCGTGTGTGTGTGTGTGTGTGCGTGTAAGTTTTGGAATCAGGGTCATGTTCTATATGTTTAAAAAGAGAAAGAGAGAGAGAAAGAGACTCAAACTGAACTGAAAGCTTCAATAAATGAAGATACAAAAGGAGAAAAAAGAACTCAGGCAAGCACCTCATCAAAATACAGTAGCTGACATGCCTTCACTCAAATGTGTGACCAACAGCCTAAAGGCAACACCAATTTTAAGTAGATTTGTATGGAAACATATGCTAAGCAATCCTCGAACAATTATAGAAATGCAATAAAATAAGCAAATGAGTAAATAGTTATGAATTAGCTGGAGTCGCACATCCTGTAGACAAAAGGCAGGCAAGTGTAGTACAGAAGGAATTCATCAAGATCAAAGGTGCTCAAGACTCCTCATGAATGTGAATATGCCCACGTGTGTAATAACACGTGTCTAAACATTTATAGCTCTGTGTGTGAATGTAATGTGCATATCTATGTCAACAGGCATGTGGTTAGGTGTGTGTCTGTGCATGTATAAATGCACAGGCTTATAGCATCTACGCCTGAATGCATATGTGCATCTGAACACACAGGCTAATGCAAATACGTGGATGTAAATACACTGATGAGTTCAGTTCCAGGCCAGAGTTCCTGTGTGGTTTTCCAGGTAAGATTGCAAGCAATTACAAGGGTATGGCATGGCAGTTTTCCAAGAGAAGCCATTCCAATTTGCAATGGACTCAGTGCATACTCAGTATGCTACAGGTCCTGGAGATGTCATGGCCTTGGTTCAGCCCATCCTCTGCTCAATCCCCAGGTCAATCATGCTGATGTATGTACAGCACTTTAGTCATTCTACTGCAGGAAGGGTCTTCTAAGAGGAGAGCATGGGATTCACAGACACTCTCTACTATTTAGCCACTACCTTGGCCTAGAACACCTAAAGGTGGGAGCAGCAGGATGTGGTTAAGAACCTGCATTTTCTAACATCAGTCACACCAGTGTGTCATGATGAAAAGTGAAGAGCAGCTCATCCAGACTCCTGTTTGCACACTACAAAAGGATATAAACAGACCCTCTTACTGTTACTCTCAGGCCTAAACAACCAACTCAAAGCCTGGCATCTTTCTTAGACATCAGCACAGCATTCAAGGCCAATAGAGCATAAGAGCTACTAACTGAAAAGTGCTGAAACATGGAATAAAGCACTGCTAACCGCTACTCACTGGCAATGGAAACAATGGAAAAGTGGTTGCCAATCAAGTGCGTACTCCTGGACACACTGGAAAACCACCTTGGAAATTGGGCCTTGAGTTGGGTATCCAGCACAGGATTTGAATGGTGCAGATGTATGGGATTTCCATGGCCTAGTAGTGGGCCAGAGGATACCCCATGATTACCAAACCAGGTCCAAACTAGGTGATAGTTCCTAAGTCTAACTCAAGTTCTCTGTTGATTGTCTCTTGCCATTGGCTCTCTGCTTGTATCTTACATCTAAAAATGACTAATTTCATAAAGGAACAAACGGGGCCAACAGGATGCTCAGGATGCTAAGAACCAGCTGCTATGCTACTTTTCCTGGAGTCACTTTAAGTCCCATCCACTGTCCAAGTTATAGATCTCAGCAACACTTGTTTACTTAGGATCAATATAACAGGACACAGTTACCAGTTGTGTCACTGGAATCTGAAATCTGTAGAAGTGAACTACAAAGTACACACTCCCTATGAATCAAGGATGGGCCTATGACATGGCCCTCTAGAGCACTGAGCTCCTATCTCATGGCTTTGAAAAACCTGTGGACCAGAAACATCAATGAAAGGTTATGAATACCTTTGCTTTTGTTATGTGGTTGTCTTAGAATATTCATATTTAGCTTAAGACACAAAAACCCTAGACAATAAGTGTGCTCAAATACATGTTCATGAGCCAGATAACGGTAATGAATTTCTGATGAGTTCAAGATAGTCTTAATTATCTGTAATTATTGTACTTACTGGACAGTGTCTCCCCTTTGGAAATTCTTTTCTTTTTCACTTTCCCTTCTCGTTTTGCATCTTGATATTCAGACTGCTCACTCACAGTATTTTCATCCGGTTCCTCACCAATAGCTATAAAGAGATGCATTTAGAACAGTAAGCAGAAAAGGAGATCTCTAAGCTCCAAATTTACACGTGGCTTTGTAGAAATTTCTTACAAGTTCTAAATAAATTAATAATAGTTTGTGTCTGGGTAGTAAATGACTGTGAAACTTTACAAAACTTCATTTTCAAATGAAGAAAGGATTTATTGAATTGTTAGAAATTTGTCAACTTGAGGTCATTTTAAAATATAATAACAAATTGCCTGTGCCCCTTAATTGTCAAAGTTACTCTATGAAGTACACAATATCATTGCCTTACCGACACACAAGTAAACTGAGATTATTAATTTAAGTACAGCTATCTGGTTAGTAACTGACTGAGCTTGAATTACTACCCAGACAGTTAAGTTTCAGGGACTAAGTTCCTATAATGAGAAATTTTAAAAATGATAAATACCATCTAAAGATTAGATGGTATCTTCAATATGTGTGTTCCTTAAATTATCCAAAATTAGATGAATTTGATAACATAATAAAACACAAACTATGAAAATCAACTCATCAAGACATAGAAAAGCAGAAAAGATTAATATGGACAGAGAAGCATATGAAAAGTCAGTAAAATGTTGTAAGGTCCAAGAGTTTTAATAGGAATAGCTTTAACATGTGCTGGCATGTGGTGGTCAAGGATGTTCTGCACTAACAAGCCTATCTGGGGACTCCCATGTGGGCTGGTAATTAGTCTGACCCATCCAGATCTTCCAAGCTCTCCGCTTAAAACCACTAGGTCTCAGTCCCCTCGCTTACCTGCAAGTACAGTGGCCCTGTCATTGGGTGTCCCTCAGAATTCACTCCCTACCTATTTGTACAGTGACCTTATCCATGTATGTCCCTAGGCAGTAATTCCTGAACCCCAAGTCCTGAGAGCCCATCAGCGGGACATCTGTCAGCACCAGGCTCTGCCCACCGGCCATCCAAACTAAGATGGAGCCGGCTGCATTTTAAGGAGCGTGCCATGCTGCATCGCTTTCCCCCACACCCCCTGCCCATCAGCCAAAAGTGACCAATGGAATGGAGGTTCCAGTTCACATGCCTGGGTCCAGGGTGTTTCTTTTTTAAAGAGTGAAAGACTGTTTATTCAAGTCTGCTTACACCAATACAAAGCATCAGTGAACAGGAAAAAAAAAATAAGAAAACAAATAAAATAATTTCAAAAACAATTGTGGTAGTGGGGGACTGAGTTTCTGCTCTTCCCTGAATTAAAAAAAAAAATCAGACCTAAGAAATAGGTATATGCATTATCTGAAAAAAGAATGCTTAAATACCCATGAAAAATATCCAACATACTTTCCATAAAATAGATGCAAGTGGACATCTTCAAGTGAATAAATCAGACCCCAAAAAGGCAAATACTGCATGATTTTCCTCATTTGTTGCATTTGGGAGGAAGATTATAAAAATTGTGTGGGTATCACATCATTTGTTAGAGAGCTATAAATACTGTTGTTATCAAATTATACCAAGTAATGTATGAGATAGTGCATTCTTTCCCGCATTGGCAAATGATGGGGTATGATAAGGACTCTGGGGGTGTTATTGATGTATCATTAATATTTTGCTCCTGACTTGTGCACTGGTTATGAGCGTGATCAGAAGACAAAAAAAAACAACATTTGCCTGTACACTTGGATATATTTCTTGATATGTGTACAGGATTTTAATAAGATATTAAAATGTCCAACAAGTTCAGTAAAATCATATGTGAATATTTCAGCAGAGAAAATATTTTAAAGCGTAATTTTCCAAAGAAAATCCCACCAAGAACCATAATTTTCAGTTGAAGAACACAGTAATGAAACTAAAAAATGTACTAGGGAATTTCGCATTTGATCATTCAAAAGACAGACACAACAGATTCAAAGACAAGCTGTTCAAAATAATAAAATCGGGTGGGGGGAATATTCTATTTCATATAGCAGTATATTCTCTCAAACATGAGAATTTTTTTTAAAAAGGCAGGACCCAGCGTGATAGCCTACCAACTAAAATCCTTGCCTTGTATCCACTGGGATCCCATATGGGTAACAGTTTGTATCCCAGCTGCTCTATTTGCCGAGGCTACCAGTTTGTAGCATGGGAAAGCCGCAGATGACCCAAGGCCTTGGAATCCTGAACCTTTGTGGGAGACCCCGAGCAGGTTCCTGGCTCCTGGCTTCAGATCAGCTCAGCTCCAGCCATTATGGCCAGTTGGCGAGTAAATCAGCAGACAAAACATCTTTCTCTCTCTCTCCTCTCTCTCTGTCTGCCTTTCCAATAAAAATAAATAAATCATAAAAAGATACAAACACAGAATACTGACTACTACTAATACCTTGCAATGACAGGAAGGATAGAGTATAACAGAAAAAGCAAAGCTGAGCATGATTCATCGACTTCATAGCAAACTTACTAATCTAAGATGTGACTAACAAAAAGCAAGATTTGGAGTAAATTGAAATTATTTGTATAACATCATGACTTATGTTTTCCTTTGTAAACTTAAAACTATTCTGCAATCAATAGCGAAGAATTCAAAAGACTGATGTTATATATTAAAGAGGACAAACAAAGGAACTACAAAATATCAGGAAGAGAACACAGAACTGAGAAACAGTCCTTGATTTTTCCCAGGCCACAAGCAGGGAGCTGGATGGGAATTATAGCTTCTGAGACACGAACCAGCACCAGTACTGGATCTCGGCATATGCAAGGTGAGGGTTTAGCCACTATGCCATCACACCAGACCTGGTAGTTGTTATTCTTTTTCTCTGTAGCTCATCTTTTAGCAACATTTGCAGGGCAGGTTGGCAGAGGCTGTCCTTCAATTTTTGTTCTCTTTGGAACATTTTGTTTCATTTTCAAATGCAAAGAAAAGTTTTGCTGGGTATATTATTTTGGTGACAATTTTTCTTTTTAGGATCCGAAATATGTCCCTCCATTCCCTTCAGGCCTGTAGGGTTTCCTCTAAGAGGTCAGCAGTGAATCTGACCTGGGTTCCTCTACGTTAATTACTTAGCTTATATGAGGGGCAGCAGGAACAAGGTGTCAGTGCATGCCTAGAGACTCAAGACCCCCTGCCTCAGTTTTGGCAAAAACCTTAAGATCCCTACGGACCCATTCAGTTGGCACGAAGCCTGAGGTCCTCAGGGTATGTCTCTCCCCTTCATTCTCTTCTGGTCATCTGGATACTTTCCAGTAGCTTGGTCACCTCCTCCCCCTGCCTACCCTGACCCATACCTATTTTGTGGTAAGCCTGTGACAATCTTATAATAAACAACTCCTGGATGCAGATGGGTTACATAAGTTGTGCTGGGCTACACAGTGCCACCTGGCAAAGTATGTGACAGTTGTACTGATTGGCTCAGTGTATAATATGTAATGGATGCTTATATCCGATAAAAAAAAAAAAAACATTGTTACTATCCTGAGGCATATTGCCCTAGACCCTTCCTATATAATCTTGTGCTTGGTTATAAACAGACAAGTTCATCATAACTGTCTCTGGTCCTTCTCTACTGAGAATGCCATTGCCACATCATGTTACCTGGGTGGGTGGTCCAAGGCCAAGGCCCCCGATACTCACATACATATTTGAGTATCTTTGCTTTATGTTCAACAGAAGAGCTTTATTATGATGTGTCATGGTGAGGATTGCTTCAGGTCAAATCTCTGCCTTTACTCTCTTTGGTTACCCCTTTCATTCTCCATGTTAGGGGAGCTCTTACTTATCATTTAATTGAATAAATCTTTCAACACAGTCCCTCTTTCCATGTCTTCAGAAACATACGTAATCTTTATGTTTGGCCTTTTAATAATATCATTTAATTGTTTCCTTAGCTTTGCTCATTTCCTTTTCCAGCTTTCTGTTTTAGCATTTTTTTTTTGCCTGTGGAGTTTTCCAGATACATAATTCTTTCTTCTGACTCACTTGTTCCATCACTTAAACTTTACATTGTCAAACACAGAAATACAAATATCACATTTTCTCTATGTGTAAACTAAAAGAATAAATGCCCAGGTGTAATACTTTTACTGCAAACACAATGTTCTGTCAAGCTGCATGTGAAATATCTGTAAAACAGAGAGGCAGTATATACTAAAACTTCTAATGAAGTTGAACATCTTTCCTCTGGGTAATTTTTGTAGTGCTTGACTAGCTTACTGCTGGGCTACAGTATTTTCACTTGTGACTTTCACCTGTTGAACTCTTGCTTAACCAAGTCATTATGTCTCTGGCTATAATACATATTAAAACATTATCTCAAAGAATAAACGTTTAAAAGAGCTTTCCACATAAACAAACCTATGAAAATTCATTACCGTTAGACCTTATAAATAACTATTTATTAAAGGAAGTCTTTCAAGTTGAAACAAAAGATGCTAAAAAGAACAGCAAAGCTTACAAAAGAGTAAAGGTTGTTATGGTAAATATAAAGACAACATATACTAAGTTATGATTCTTATACAGTAGTCCTTCCTTCCTTATTTTCAGTTTGATTCCATATGTTTTTAGTTATTCATAGTCAACTGTAGTCCATTAAGGAAATAGAAAATTTCAAAAAAATAGTACATACAAAATTCTGGCCAAAAGAAAAAAAAAAACTACATACAACACGCAAGTCTTTAAACGGCGGGTATTTCAAAGAGCAACACAAAATGCTGCAGTGTCATTCTATCCACAGGATTTGAGTCATCCCTGTGTCAGGCATACTCATGCCTGATAAACTGCACACTCCACAGCTATCTTACTTATCAGATCAACCGCTGACGTGTTGTGGTTCTGTGTTCAAATACATCTTATTAAAGTTAATGGCCTCTAACCACTAGAGTAGTGATGCTGGAAATTAGATATGCCAAACAGAGGCTATAAAGTGTTTCTTTAAAACTAAAAGTTAAAGTTACTGACCAACTGTAAGCATTCATCTCCCATCCATGATGCTATAAGCAAGAAAAAGATTATTCTGCTCTGATTGTTCCTCAAACTACCAAATATACAGCTAACATACGTAATGCAGGTTCCATTAGGTTGGAAAAGTATTAATATGGGGTTAAAAAATACTAAAAGAAAATTAATTCCAAACGATGATAACATATTATGACAAAAAATATTAAACTTACAAAGAGCATCTTCTGAAACCAAGAATCCATTTACTCAGATTTAATAAAAGGTTTGTGCTAGAAAATAGAACAGTACATTGAGAGTCAATTCATAGGATCTTTTACGAAGAAGCTGCTGTGACAGGTTTGGAAGAGTTGAGGAATGGATTAAACCAAAAATAAAACTGGGATATTCTAGATAAAATGCCCACTAGACCCTACATTTATAAAAGCTTTAAGGAAATGCTAGGGTATAAAACAGAAATGAAACAGAAAGTGTCACCAGGTGGCAGTATTGCAGTTTATGCGATAAAACTGGTGTAGCATACAAAGAACCGAGTTATACCGAAAAACATAAACAGAATTATCTTATTGTGACAACACAATAGGAATGCAAGGGCGATAGCCAGCTTGCTTTGGGATAGCTTCATAAATGATTCCGTGGTTAAGGGAACAAATACTTGGAAGAGGAAAGGGTGGAATTTTAGGTGTTGTTAATAATACTTGGAATACATATGGTCTCTGCTGTGAAAATGAAAATATGATGGAGAGAATCTAAGATGGTGAACAGAGAAAAGATACCCTGATTTTGACTACAGGAAGGTAACAGAAGAAAAGTGGAGGAAGAGCAATGGCCCTGAGGAACACAGATGCCAAAAATCTCCTAACAAAGTACTAGTTCGTTGACCCAAAACGCACATCAGAAAGATCAGGTATTTCCTGGTATATATTTCAACATACACAAATGAATAAATGTCACGGTCAATACAGTGGCTAAAGAGGCTAATCCTACACCTGTCAGTGCCAGCATCCAGGTGGATGTCAGTTTGAATCCTGGCTGCTCCACTTTGCATCCAGCTTCCTGCGTGTGACCAGGGAAAGTGGTGGAGGAAGGCCCAAGTGCTTGAAACCCTACACCCACGTGGAAAACCTAGAAGAAGCTTGTGGTTTCAGACTGGCTGAGTGTGGGCCACTGCAGCCATTTGGGGGGTAAACCAGCAGGTAAGGAGTTCTTAACTTTTTCTCTCTCTGTCTCTCATCTCTGTGAATGTGTCTTTCAAATAAAAATAAGTGGATCCTAAAAAAAAAAAAAAAAAAAAAAAAAAAAAAAAAGTGCTATATGGCACTGCCAAATAGAAGGATTAAAATCATTATGTCAGGCCCGGTGGTATAGCAGCTAAAGTCCTCGCCTTGAATGTTCCGGGATCCCATATGGGCGCTGGTTCTAATTTCAGCAGCTCCACTTCCCATCCAGCTCCCTGCTTGTGGTCTGAGAAAGCAGTTAAGGACGGCCCAAACCCTTGGGACCCTGCACCTGTGTGGGAGACCTGGAAGAGCTCCTGGCTCCTGGCTTCGGATCGGCACAGCACTGGCTGTTGCGGTCACTTGGGGAGTCAATCATCGGACAGAAGATCTTCCTTTCTGTCTCTCCTCCTCTCTGTATGTCTGACTTTGTAATGAAAATAAAAATAAATCTTAAAATAAATAACAATAAAATCATTATGTCAAAAGATGCAAAGAAAACGTGATAAAAGGCAGCACTTAAGCAAATTGGAAACACAAGAATTCCTCAACACAGTCAAGGAATGTATAAAAAAACAGCCAGCCAGCATCATACTGAATGGGAGAAAACTCGGAAGGATTTACACTACAGAGTGGAACCAAACAAGAATGCCAACTTTCACCATTGTTACTCTATGTAATTCTGGAAGTTTAAGGCAGAGCCATTGGGCAAGAAAAATATATTGAATGTATATAAATTAGAAACGAAGCAATCTAATTTTTGTCGGTGACATGATACTATACATAGGGGAAGCAAAAACAAACAAATAAACAAAAACCAAACCTCCACAAGGGAGTTTTGTAAAGGTGCAGGATAGCCTTCTTATTCAGAAACAATACCATAACTGAGAAAGAACTTGCAAGACCAATCTTGTTCAGAATAATTACTAGAAATTTAAATACTTTGGAATATACTTAATCCAGAATGTGAAATATATCTACAATGAAAAGTGGAAAACTAGTTGCAGAAAAAAGGAAGGGTAGTGAAATCAAAAGGAAGGAAGTCAAATTCCTGTTTGCAGATGGCATGATGCCATACATGAGAAAACTTAAACATTCCACTAAAAAGCTGTTAGAACTTCTAGCCTAGCAGCTGACGTCCTCGCCTTGCACGCACCAGGATCCCGTAGGGGCACTGGTTTTAATCCAACAGTCCCGCTTCCCATCTAGCTCCCTGGCTGTAGCCTGGGAAAGTCAGTGAAGGATGGCCCAAAGCCTTAGGACCCTGCACTCACATGGGAGTCTCGGAAGAGGCCCCAGGCTCCTGACTTTGGATCATGGTGGCCACTTGGGGAGAGAATCAGCAGACAGAAGATCTTCCTCGCTGTCTCTCCTCTGCGTATATCTGACTTTCCAATAAAAATAAAATAAATCAAAAAAAAAAAAACCAACTCAGTAAAGTCATAGGTTATAGAATCTTCAAACGAAAAATGTTATATATCAATAATGGAGTAGCAGATAAATTAAGACAGAAATCTCATTCAGAATAGCAGAAAAAAATCAAATATAAGAATGCATTTAAGCAAAGAATTGAAAGGTATTTACAATTAAAATTACTAAACACTGATGGAAGTTACAAGGATATCACAAACCTACCTTACTTCTATAGATTAGTAGCATGATAACCACATATTTGAAACACAACCTGACACAAGTCTGAGATTAATACAGAAGTTCACAATAGTGGAAATTTTCATCTGAGTCATCATTAAAAACCCCAAAATAATCAATGAATATGTAGGAATATGAACAAAATAATTACAAAAGAGACAGAATATGAGTGCAGACATAGTCATGAATTGCACAGCAAAGTTTTTCTGTTATTTACTTGAAAACATTTTATACATGATTTTTAATTTCCTTACTCTCATATATGCTTTCAGTTTCAGATTCTCTTCTTGCCATCAAAATCATGTCTTCAGGTGATGTTGGGTTTATAAGGAATGCTAAAGCAGAAAAACAGATACATGGTGAGATTTTCAGATGCACTACCATAATCAGAAAATTGCCTCTCATTTCTGCAACATTAGATGCTAAAGACATCAAACCTATATTCATGGCATCTTCGTCAAATTTCACTTGGCTCTATTATATGTGGGCTATTTTCTGGGCTCTCAATTCTGTTTCACTTTCTCAGGATTGGATTTTATGTTAAACGAATGCTGGTTCTAATTACCAAAGTGTTACAATGTGCTTTGAAATCAGATTGGGATAACTCCTGCTTGAATATTTGTCAAAGAATGTTTCGGCTATGCCGGGTCTTCTACGATTTACATTTTTAGAAGTACCTAATTCTTCAAATAATGCCATTGGCGTCTTGATTGAGATTGATTGAACATGCAGATCACTTCCAGTAGTACATTTTAACAATATTAATCCAAACCATAAGAATACTTTATTTACTGTGTCCTTAATGATTTCTTTAAAACACATTTTATAATTTCCATTGTAGAGACCTTTCACTGCTTAATTAAACTTAGTCCTACATGTGTGATTGTAGCTAGTATAAAAGGGAATCATAAACTGATTTCTCTTTTTGTGAGATTATTGCTGGTTTTTGAATGTTAATTTTGCATCCTTGAGTTTAATTAATGGGTTTATCAGATCTAACAATGTTTTATTGTAGTGTTTATGCTTATTCATGTTAAATCTCATCTGTAAACATCAATGTTTTCAATTCTGTCTTCCCAGTATTTCTAAAGATATATTTATTTGCATGTGAAAAATAAATTTACAGGGAGAAAATGGGAGTATTAGAGTTAGTGTCACTTTAAAGAATATGTGGAATTTAGTAAAAAATAAATCAGACAGTGGACTTCTGTGATGGAATACTTTTAATAACAGGGTCAATATTACTATATATTAGGAGTCTTTACAGATTTTCTATATATTCTATTTCTAAAAGACTTATTGATTTTTAATTGAATAACACAGGAAAGGAGATTACTTGGAAAGATACATAGATACGTAGACAGAGCAATGAATCTATCTTCCATCTATACGTAGATAGAGCAGAAAACGGTTGCAATGTCTGGTGTTGTGACAAGCTAGAGCTAGAACCTGATGTTCCCTGGGTATGTCCCACATGGGTGCAGAGGCTCAAGCACCCAACGATCTCCACTGCATTCCAGATGTATCAGAAAGGAGCTGGGTGGAAAGTGGAGCAGCGATATCTGGAACCATCATTCATTGGGGGTGCTATCCCCTCAGGGAGTAGCTTTGCACATTATGCCACAATACCAGTCCTTTTCTTGAATTATTCTTAGTCAGCCATGTTTCCAGGAACTCATCTATTTCTTCCAGTTTTCCAGCCTTTTGGTATGAAATTATTGACAGTAATTTCTTAATACTCCTTTGTATTTTGGTGGTCTGATTTTCCATCATCAATTTTATTGGTGTTTTCTTTATCTTCTTTTCATTTTGTTGACCTGTATTACTTTTCTAGTTTCCACTTTATTTATTCCTGCTATGATTCTTATTTCAAGCCTCCTGTTAATTTGGGGCTTAATCTGGTTTTGTTCTTGCTAATCCCTTTAAATTCATCATTAGATTTGAGATCTTGCCAATTCTCAACATAAGCACATATTGATATAAACTTTTTTCTTAAAGATTTATAATTTTTTATTGGAAACTCAAATTTACAGAAAGAAGGAGAAACAGAAAGACCTGCCATCCTCTGGTTCACTCCCCAGGTGGAGACCTGAGCCAATTCAAAGCCAGGTGCCAAGAGGCAAGAACTTTTCCCAGGATTCCTATGTGGGTACAGCATCCTAAAGCTTTGGGTCATCCTTGACTGCTTTCCCAGACCACAAGCAGGGAGCTGAATGGGATGTAGAGTAATCTTGGACATGAATTAACGTATGTGATAATTTTATTTATTTTTATTATTTTATGATACAGGCAGGATCCATGAATTTCTCTCTTCATACTGCTTTTGCCAATCACTTAAACGTTGGAAGATATACATATATATATTTCATTTGCTTCAAGAAACTTTCATTTTAACTTCTTCTGTGCTCTACTAGTAATTTTAACAATACACTCTTTAGTTCCCAGGTATTTGTAAATTCTCTACTTTTCTGATTGATGATTTCCAGTTTGATCCCTTTGTGGTATGACAATGTACATGAAGATTTCAATCTTTTAAAGTTTACTGAGACGTGATTGTGGCCTAATATCCTAGAAAGTTTCCATGTGCTGATGAGAAGAATATACATTTTTTAGCTGTTGAGTCATAGCTTCTGTAAATGTGTTAGTTTCATTTACTGACTGTATGGTTCGATTTTTATTATTTCCCATGATACAGTTCCTTTTCTTTCCTCTTCCTCTCTGTTTTCTGCCCCTGTCATTTATCTCCATATTGCCACAGTGGTACAGTCCTGTAGTAACAACTACAACTTTAACTTTCCACTACTTAGGTGAATCATGTACATACAGGCAAATGTAGAAAATCTAGTAGCAAGGTATATTTAATTGTTTCAATTGGGATTCCTCCTTTCTTTGAGAGTAGCAAAGCATACTGCAACATACCTTACTTCCTGGTATGCTAGTCGCCTTTGGATAGTTCATTTATGAAAATATGTTTCATTTCCTATCTATTTTGTACTTTGCATGAAGGCTGTTTTATATCAGAGAATACACAATACCCAATTGTATGGTTCAACTCCATTTTTTAAAGCTTTTTTGAAATTGGAAAGTCAGATATTTAGAGAGGAGGAGAGATAAAGAGGAACATCTTCCATCGGAGAATTTACTACCCAAGTGACCCAAGTGGCCAGAGCTGAGCCAATCCAAAGCCAGGAGCCCGGCACCACTTCAGGTCTCCCACATAGGTGCAGAGTTCCAAGGTTCTGGGCCATCCCTGACTGCTGTGTCCCAGGCCACAAGCAGGAAGCTGGATGGGAGGCAGGGCCACTAGGGTGAGAACCAGCACCCATATGAGATCCCAGTGCATGCAAGCCGAGGAATTTAGCCATTAGACTACTGTGTTGGGCACTGATCTCTCCTTTTAATTCTACTATTTGCTACACATATTTGGGTAGCCTTGTGTTAGCTGCACATATGTTTACAATCATTCTATCCTCTTGCTGAGTTGAGTTGATCCTTTCATCAGTACATATTTTCCTTATCTCTTTTATAATTATGCATTAAAAGCCTATTTTCTCTGATTATAGATACCCCAAGTGAATTTTGTTACACTGGCATAGTATATCATTCTTCAGCTCTTCCTTTTCACTCTATATGCATATATTTACATGTGATGCGAGCTTTTGTAGGCAGCAGATCGGTGGGTATTTTTTTATCCTGTCGCCCACTCTGTCTTGTGACTGGTAATTCAACCAATGTTAATATTAATGGGTAACGACTCCCATCATTTTCCTTACTTCTTAGTAACTGTTCTGCTAATGAATTTGTAACTGTCGTGTGTTTTCATGGTGTTTATTGCTAATAAATAGTTCCTTTAGGATTTGTTGTAAAGCCAGTCTATTGAGAAGCAATCAACTGTTTTGTTTCAACTCAGCAATACTTTATGGCTCCTTCACTTTTAAAAGATAGCTTCACTGGTTGAAATATTGTTGACTGGAAGTCTTTTTGTCTCACCATCTTGAAAGTATCAATCCACAGAAGTCATTTGTTAATCTAATTGATTTCCTTTCGTATGCAACAATGTTTTTCTTACTGTCCTTAGAATTCTTTGTCCTTAATTCATGACAATTTGAGTATATACGCTTTAGAGATGGCCTTTTAAGTATTAGAGAAGTCAGGCTCCTTTGATCTTACTGTACTTAAATGTCCATATCTTAAGACTTGGAAATGTCTCAACTATTACGTCATTCAATAGGTCCTCAATGCCTTTTTCTGTCTTTTTCAAGTATTCCTTTATTTCCTCATTTAGTGGTATCCCATATCGTGTCACCTTTCTTCACTCTTTTTTATTTTTTCTAAATGTTATTCAAACGTGTCATTTTCTAGATTATAAGTTTTTTCTTCCATATAGTATATTCTGCTGTTGAAGCTCCCAATTATATTTTCTTATCTCATTTATTGATGCTCTCAGTTGCAAAATTTATTTGGTTCTTTTTTTAAAAAAATTTCTACCTCTTCAGTGAATTTAACAATGTTGTCACGTATTGTCTATTTAAACTATCTGTATGCTCTTGCATCTCATTGAGTTTCCTGATGATCATACTTTTGATTTTTTAAGGAATTTCATAGAAGATTAGGATTTAATCTGAGGAAATACTGTGTCCTTTTAGGAACCATGCTACCTTGCTTCTGCATATTTCTTGTGTCACTACTCTGACAGCTTTTTCTTCAAAGATTTATTGATTTATTTGAAAGTCAGAGTTGCACACAGAGAAAGAGAAATCTTGCAAGTACTGATTCACTCCCCCAAATCCAAGCATCTGGAGCTTCTTCCAGATCTCACATTATACACAGGAGCCCAGCCCTGAAGTCACCATCTGCTACTTTCCCAGACACATTAGCTAAATAGAAAGTGGAGCAGCTTGATGTTGAACCAGAAGCCATATGGAATTCATCTGAAAATGTTCTTGTTAAGATGGAACGTAGGGTGTCATTACACTGGGCTTCCACTCTAGGATGAGCCTGGATATCTAACCTGAGTAGTTTCTTCAATGGTAATCAGTTTCAGCCATGTCTGCAAGCTCACAATTTTCTTCCTTGTCAGTTTGTGTAAAGTAGTAGTATGATTTCAATAACATTTTTCAAATGTGTCTATCTTTAGTTCCCAGATATTTCTATGTCAATCACATCAGGGTTTTGATAGCTGTAACCTCATAACTGGAGAAAAGATGAGCCAAAAGGAGGCAAGTTAAAGTGTTAACAATAGCAAAGGTCAGGTGACATGCCGAAGCAGATAGGCAGACACCCAGCTGGTCCCAGCAAACATCAAAAGGTAGCTTTCTATTTACGACCCACTCCGTCCACCTCAAGCCTTCCTAGAATCATGATTAATTATCTTAGTTACTAACAAAGTCTAACTTCTTTGATATAATGTCTTATAGACACCAAGACTCCATTTCACTGCATTTAAAATTCGTCAATAAAAAATTCTGTGCTCACAAATCTACAGATTCTGCACAAATGGTCATTGACAGCACCAAGGATAATAAACAGAGTAGCCAGATTTCCATGTCTCTTGCTTCGCCCTGCATTGCTAAACAGAGAATCTTGGCTCCCCCAAACTGAAGACTTTTATGTGAGTATGCCTGTTTAGTTTCCTCTTTTGGGCTGACCCAACACCTTGTCATGTTGAACATAGCAAAGACCCTAAGAAGAAAAGATCTGATTACTTCCTTTTTTTAAATAATGTTGTATTACGTGACACAATTTTATAAGTACTGAGATTCCCACCACCCCTCCCACAACCCTCCCCGCATGGTGGTTCCTCCACCTTGTTGTGGGACCAGAGTTCAAGTTCAGTTGAGATTCCTTCATTGCAAGCATATACCAAACATAGAGACCAGCATCTTATTGTCCAGATAAGTTCGATGGCTTTTTGGGGAGACCGTCTCTGGTCTGAAGGTAGAGCCAACAGAGTAAAAACCCAATCAATCAAAAGCCCCAACATATCATCGGCAACAATATACAATGTTATGGTATTAATTGATGTAATATTGAGTAAACAATCTTAAAAATAATGCAAATTCTTTTTTTTTTTAGTTTATTTTTTTTATTTTTTTTTGTAGTACAATTTTTTTTTAATTATTATTATTTTTTTTATTGTTGCTTACATTATATTATGTAGTACAGTTTTATAGGCGCTGGGGATCCCCCCCACCCCTCCCATACCCCTCCCCCCATGGTGGATTCCTCCACCTTGTTGCATAACCATAGTTCAAGTTCAGTTGAGATTCATTGCTTGCAAACACATGCCTAGCATAAAGTTCAGCGTCTTATTGTCCAGATAAGTTCAGTGGCCTCTTGGGGAGACCTTCTATGGTCTGAAGATAGGTCTAACAGAGTAAAGATCCGGTCAGTTAAAAGCCCCAACAAGGCCTCAGTATCATTATACAACATTATGGAATTAATTGACATAGTATTGGGTAAACAATATGTTAAAAATAATGCAAGTTCCATTCTTCGAAACATCTGGGTTGAGACAGTATCAATGACAGGTTCAAAAAATAACAAACAACCAAACAAAAAATTACAGGTTAAATCAAGGCAAACATGTGGTATCTAATCTTTTGGGATTCGCTCATTTCCCTTAGCATTATAGTTTCCAGTTGTGCCCATTTAGCCACAAAGAACTGCATTTTGTTTTTTTTAATAGCTGAGTAGTATTCCATGGAGTAGATGAACCAAAGCTTTCTTATCCAATCTTCTGCTGATGGGCATTTCGGTTGCTTCCATGTTTTCGCAATTACTGATTGTGCTGCAATGAACATGGGGATGCATGTTGGTTTGTCGTAAAACAGGTGTTTTGGATTCTTAACTGCATCCCGTGACTACTCCATTGACATTTCAGCAATTGAGGTGTATAACAGTTATATTAGGGGTGAAGCACAAGGTTTTGAAAGTATAGTAGGTTTTATGATTTTTCAAAAACACATGGGTTGAGACAGAATTAATTACAGGTTCAAAAAGAAGAAAAAAAATACAAGCTAAATTAAGGCAAACATGTGGTATCTAACCTTTTGGGATTGGCTCATTTCCCTTAGCATTATGGTTTCCAATTGGGCCCATTTGGCCACAAAGAACTGCATTTTGTTTTTTTAATAGCTGAGTAGTATTCCATGGAGTGGCTGAACCATAGCTTTCTTATTCAGTCTTCTGCTGATGGGCATTGTTTTGGATATATTCCTAAGAGTGCTATTGCTGGATCATACAGTATGCAGAGTTTGTGTTGTTTGAGTGTTCTCCATACTGATTTCCATAGAGGCTGTACCAACCTGCAACCCACCAGCAATGGAGGAGGGCTCCCTTTTCCCCACATCCTCGCCAGCAAGTGTTGTTGGTGTTTTTTTGTATATGAGCCATTCTTACTGGCGTTAGGTGGTACCTCATTGATGTCTTAATTTGGATTTCCCTTATTGCCAGGGAACTGGAGCATTTTTTCATATGTTTGTTTGTCATTTGGGCTTGTTCCTTTGTGAAGTGTCTGCCCATTTCCCATGCCCATTTCTTGATTGGCTTGCTTGTTTTGGTATTTTGGTTGTTTTGGAGTTCTTTGTATATTCTGGAGATTAGCCCTTTATCACCTATGTAGTGCACAAAGATGTTCTCCCATTCTGTGGGCTGCTCTTTTAGTTTGTTAATTGTTTCCCTTGCTGTGCAAAAGCTTCTTAGTTTGATGAGGCCCCATTTGTTTATTTTAGTCTTGATTGCTATTGCTTTTGGTGTCCTTTTTAAGGAAGTCAGAACCAACCCCTAGATCTTGCAGGGTATTTCCAACATTTTCTTCCAAAGGTTTGAAGGTTTCTGGATGTAGGTTTAGGTCTTTTATCCATTTAGATTTGATCTTAGTGTATGGTGATAGATGTGGGTCTATTTTTTTTGTTTCTGCAGGCTATCAACCAGTTGTCCCAACAGCACTTATTGAAGAGACCTTCCCACTTGCCTGGATTGTCATTTGTCTTTTTGTCAATGATTATTTGGCTGTAATTGCGTTGGTTCCCTACTATTGCTTCTATTCTGCTCCATTGATCGTCCTCTCTATCTTTGTGCCAGTATCATGCTGTTTTGATGACGATTGCCCTATAATATGTCCAGAGATCTGGAACTGTGATTCCCCCTGTTAACTTTCTATTCTTCAAGATGGTTCTAGCTATTTGTGGTTTTTTGTGTTTCCAGATGAACCTTTGTATCATTGTTTCCAGTTCCATGAAGAATGTTTTGGGCAATTTGATTGGAATTGTGTTGAATGTATACATTGCTTTAGGTAGTATTGACATTTTAATGATATTGAATTTACCTATCCAGGATCATGGGATGTTATTCCATCTTTTGAGGTCTTGTTCGATTTCTTTTTTAAGCAGTTTGTAGTTTTCTTCAAAAAGGTCTCCTACATTTTTGGTTAGATTTATTCCTAGATACCTCATACTTTTCTTTGTTGCTTTGAATGGTATCTTGCTAATTAGATCTTCTTCCATCTTGGGGCTGTCTGCATATACTATGGCTGTTGATTTTTGTTCATTAATTTTGTACCCTGCCACTCTACCAAACTCTCGTATAAGTTCTAACAGTCTCTGTATTGAGTCTCTTGGTTTTTCTATGTAAAGGATCATGTCATCCCCATATAGTGAAAGTTTGACTTCTTCATTGATTACTTCTTAAAACAAATTAAAAATAGCTTATAAATACTATTACCTACCTTTGCGTCTATCCCCCTTAACAATTCTTTGCTTTACTTTTCGCCCTTGGGATTCTGAGGCTGAAGATTGTTTGTCAAGTACATTTTCACCTGGTATAAAGAGACACATGAAGGATTACATTGGTGTACTAAAAATAAAATCAGGTCATAATTGAAATTTAAAAGATAAGCATACGGCAACCTTACCTTACAAGGCTATAAGTTAATTATACTAATGATAGGTCTAAAATGATCATGCTCAGGAAAATTTTACTAAGCTTTTTTATTGTCTACTTTCTTTTATAATATTGTTTACATAGTTGAGAGGGATTCATGTGATTAGGGCGGGGAGGTTCAAGTACAGAGGAAGGTGTGTGGGACAAATGCTTCAGCTTTTGTTCTTCTTTCTCCTGTGTCGACATCCGGGAAGGAGGAGGGGAGAGCTGCTTGCTATAAAATAGTATCAGCACCTGGGGATGAGGGACAGTTATTTGATGAATGCCTTAGAGTACCTGATGTGAGGGAAAGTGTTCCTAAAGTGTTACTTTAACGGTCTTTATAGTTCTGCCAAGCTGTTAGTTTTGTTGATACAGGGTTAAGAAAATCTTTCCAAGGTCTATTGGCTGACAAGTCTACCTTTGTGTGTCCTCAGACCCAGGAACATGCTGCAAAGCTTGGATAGGAGAACTATCCAACCTGGTCTGCTTTCCATCTTCTGATAAGGCAGCTGATATCTCCTGCTGGCCTAGATGAGCTGGCCATCATGTCCCCCATATACCTCTGGATACCACTGTTTACAGGCATCAGCAACTAAGGAGGTCCAGTTCTGACTCATGCACTCCAAGGTCAGAACACACATCCAGTGATTTTCCCTGTAGTCAGGGTCTGAATCCAACAGTCTAACTGGGGAGTCTCCCAAGAAGCCTCACATGGAGTGACAACAGACATGACTCCTGTGTGCATCAGCCAGTGTAGAGTTAGGTTCAATCTGTCACCTGCACCCACCAAAGCTCATACTGGTGAACATACCTAGCTTATCGGTTCTGCCCCAGTCCCGTATGTTATGTAAACACAGCAACCCTACAACAGACCAAGACCTTACACATAGCAGTGGACACAGCAAGTCCTTACACACAGAAGGCACTGAAGCCTAGCCCAGCCCAGGCTGTCCCCAGACCTGACCCACACAAACACTGAAAGATGCTGCAGACTTGCCTAGCCTGGTCTGTCCCCAGCTCTGGCTCTTGTGCTTCCCAGTAGAATATATGGACTAGTACGGGAATACCCCAAGTTCCCTTAACATGCATGCTCCCAGTCCCTGATCTCATGCATACCAGTGGTGACAGCAGCCCTGCTTGACACAGTCTGCCCTTGCATGTGCCAGCATGCACTACAGCTTGGCTCAGCCTGGCCATTTTGTAACCCCAGGTCCTGTGAGTGTCAGGTGGGTCCCTGTCATGTGAGTTTTGTGGTCCAGACTGGCTCAGCCTGTCACTAACCCCAGCTCTCCATATAAGTCGGCAGGTGCTGCAGTCCCACAGAGATGAGCCCACAAGTCCCCTATGAAATCTGCCCTTAGATCTGGTTCTCTTACCTCCCGCTGGGTGCTGGGCCAAGACTGAAATGACCCAACCCCAGATCCAACACTGAGGAATGGGTCTTTAGGCCAAGCCTAGCCAGGAATGTCCTCCAGCCCCAGCTTTTTATATTTAATATGCTAGCAGATATTTGGAGATGCTATTTAGCACAGTCCGGGTGTCCCATGTGGGCAGCTGCCTTGGCCTGACCCAGACATGTCCTCTAAACTACTCCATTCCAGTCCCTTGCCTACTTGTCCCAACAGTGGACCAGTCTGTGAAAGACCACCAAAGCCATTCCTTTCCTGTCAAAGATGCCCTGTCAAAGATACATCCAAAGATCCCCTTCCCTAAGCAATCTGCACCCACCTCTTTGGGAGGTAGAGTAGCATGTCCCAGCCTTCCCCGAAAGAAAGAAAGAAAGAAAGGAAGGAAGGAAGGAAGGAAGGAAGGAAGGAAGAAAGAAAGAAAGAAAGAAAGAAAGAAAGAAAGAAAGAAAGAAAGAAAGAAAGAAAGAAAGAAAGAAAGAAAGAAAGAGGAAGGAAGGAAGGAAGGAAGGAAGGAAGGAAGGGAGAAAGAAAGAAAGAAAGAAAGAAAGAAAGAAAGAAAGAAAGAAAGAAAGAAAGAAAGAAAGAAAGAAAGAAAGAAAGAAAGAAAGAAAGAAAGAAAGAGAGAAAGAAAGAAAGAAAGGAAGGAAGAAAGAAACAAAGAAAGAAACAAAGAAAGAAAGAGAGAGAAAGGAAGGAAGGAAGGAAGAAAGGAAGGAAGGAAGAGAAAGAAAGAAAGAAAGAAAGAAAGAAAGAAAGAAAGAAAGAGAGAGAAAGGAAGGAAGGAAGAGAAAAAAAGAAAGAAAGAAAGAAAGAAAGAAAGAAAGAAAGAAAGAAAGAAAGAAAGAAAGAAAGAAAGAAAGAGGAAGGAAGGAAGGAAGGAAGGAAGGAAGGAAGGAAGGGAGAAAGAAAGAAAGAAAGAAAGAAAGAAAGAAAGAAAGAAAGAAAGAAAGAAAGAAAGAGGAAGGAAGGAAGAAAGAAACAAAGAAAGAAACAAAGAAAGAAAGAGAGAGAAAGGAAGGAAGGAAGAAAGGAAGGAAGGAAGAGAAAGAAAGAAAGAAAGAAACAAAGAAAGAAAGAGAGAGAAAGGAAGGAAGGAAGAGAAAAAAAGAAAGAAAGAAAGAAAGAAAGAAAGAAAGAAAGAAAGAAAGAAAGAAAGAAAGAAAGAAAGAAGGAAAGAAAGAAAGAGAGAGAGAGAGGGAGGAAGAAAGGAAGGAAGAAAGAAAGAAACAAAGAAAGAAACAAAGAAAGAGAGAGGAAGGAAGGAAGGAAGGAAGAAAGAAAGAAAGAAAGAAAGAAAGAAAGAAAGAAAGAAAGAAAGAAAGAAAGAAAGAAAGAAAGATTTAAAAAGAATAGGTAATTACACCAACCTGCCAGTGTAACTAACATAAATTTGGCATTGAACATGCACGGGATGCCTGCCAGCCTCTAGCTGCTTTCCTGTTGGCAGTGTGACACCTTTCTAAGTTGAAGGCAACCTAGGAGTTGCCTACAGCTGGGAGAATAAGTGCTCATTAAACTATTTCATTACCTCTGAGGACATAAATTTGCATGCAGAAAACTGATCAAAAGGATATTCAGTATTATACTTCAGGAGTTAGACTGAATAAAGAGACATGATCAGTTTCATGGCATGAAAATCAAGAAAGATAAACCAGAAAAAAATATATGATAACTTGCCAGGAAAACAGAAGGGTGACAGAGCTTTAGAACAGGAAGAAGCATTGGGTGAATACACTTCTCTAAGCATCCCTGTGGTTTTCTATTTATTTTGGAGAGAAAGTTAATGTCCACATTCCCCCAAAATAAAATAATATAAATATCAAGCAAAGTTGTAAGTGGGGGTCCAGCATGGTGGGCCCAGGAGCTAAAGTCCTCAGCTTGACCACACTGGGATCCCATATGGAAGCTAGTTCTAATCCCGGCAGCTCCACCTCCCATCCAGCTCCCTGCTTGTGGCCTGTGAAAGCAGTCAAGGATGGCCAAAAGCCTTGGGACCTGTACTTATATGGGAGACCCAGTAGAGCTCTTGCCTCCTGGCTTAAGATGGGCACAACTTCGGCCGTTGCGGTTACTTGGGAAGTGAATCATTGGACAGAAGATCTTCCTCTCTGTCTCTCCTCCTCTCTGTATATCGGACTTTGCAAGAAAAATAAGCAAATCTTAAAAAAAAAAAAAAAGAGGGACTTGCAATGAAACTACTGGACATAGCCAATAGGATGCTGGACTGTCTGACATTGTCTGTATCAACAATGTCAGGGCACACTGAAATAACAGACTGATGACTGCTTATGAAGGACTGTACTACTGTAATAATATGGGAAAAATCAGTTGGGTGAGTTGGGAATTTGGGGAGGGAGTGGGAAAATCCCAGACCCTATGGAATTGTACCATAAAATTCAAAATTTTTTAAAAAGGCAAAAAAAAGAAAGAATTAGCAAACAGATTACACACATAATCTATAGAAACCGGTCACGAGGACATTGACAACCTAAACAGATGAATAACTAGGACACATATTGAATTAGTAATGAATACCCTCCCATCAAAGTAAAGCCCTGGACAGGACAACTTCACTGCTGAATTCCAGCAAACCTTTCCTGAAGAATTAATTCCATTTATTCACTCCCCATTCAGAACTACGTAAAGGATGGCAATCTTCCCAAATTCCTTCTACTAAACCAACATCACCTTAATTCCTAAACCAGAGAAAGATGCTATGGATATACAGAGAGGAGGAGAGACAGAGAACTATGGACCAGTGTCCTGGATGAACACAGATGCAAAATGCTAGCCAATCAAATCCAACAACACATCAGAAAGATCATCCTCCCAGACTGGTTAGGATTTATCCCATGTAGGGATGGTTCAACAAAGCAAATCGGTAAATGTGATACACCACATCAACAAACTGAAGGAAAAATAATCACACGATTATTTCAATAGATGCAGAGACAGCATTCAATAAAACGCAACATTCCTTTATGTCAAAAACTTTAAGCAAACTAGGCATAGCAGATCATTCTTCAATACAATGAAGGTATTCTATGAAACACCCAATGCCAGCATCATAATAAATGGAGAAAAGCTAGAGGCATTTCCAGTAATACAAGGCAAGGATGTCCACTCCCACTACTGCTATTCAACAAAGTACTGGAAGCTGTAGCCAGAGCTATTGGAAAGAAAAAGAAATCCAAGGAATATAAATTAGAAAGGAAGAAGCTAAATTTTCCCTGTTGGTACATGACATGATTCTTTGTATAGGAGTACCAAAAGACTCAACTAGAGACTACTGGTACTCAGAAAAGAATTTGGCAAGGTCACGGAATACAAAACCAATGAACACAAATCAATATCCTTTCTTTTTTCCTTAAAGATTTATTTTTATTGCAAAGTCAGATATACAGAGAGGAAGAGCTTCTGTCCATTGATTCACTCCCCAGGTCTCTGCAATACCTGGAACGGAGCCAATCCAAAGCCAGGAGCTCAGAGCCTCTTCCAGATCTCTCACGCAGGTGCAGGGTCCCAAGGCTTTGGGCCATTCTGTTACTGCTTTCCCATGCCACAAGCAGGGAACTGGATGGGAAGCAGGGCCACTGGGATTAGAACAGGCACCCATATGGGATCCCAGCACATTCAAGGCAAGGACTTTAGCTGCTAGGTTACTGCACTGGAACCATCAATGTCCTTTTTATACACAAATAATTCAGATATTTTTATGCCTGAGGGAGAAACTGTAAGATCAGCTCAATTCACAATGGAGGAAAATATCTTAAATACTTTGAAATAAACGTAACCAAGGATGTGAAGGATCTTTACAACGAAAACTACACACATCTTTAAAGAAACAGAAGAAATCAAAACATGGAAAATCCTGATATATTGTAGAATGGTCGGATCAACATTATCAAAACATCCACATGATCAAATGCAAATTTACAGATTCAATGTGATTCCAATCAAAATTCCAATCACATTCTTCTCAGAGCAATACTAAAAGAGAATGGTCAATAAAGTGAAGAGAAAGCCAACAGACTGGAGGCCTCGTTAGCGCAGTAGGAAATATTCTTAAATTACACAACAGATGGAAGACTAGTATCTAGGATTCACAAATAACACCAGAAACTCAACACGAGCAAAACAACCAACTCATTTTAAAATGGAAAAAAGACATGAACAAATATTTTTCACCAAGTAAAATTCAACACACACAGGAAAAAAATGCTCATATTTATGTAGCTACCAGGGAAACACAAGTAGGAACCACAATGAGACTCCACACCACTTTAGTGAGAATACCCTACAAGCGGAAGTCATTAGACCATAACTGCTGACCAGGATAGGGTTAGCGGAATGTACACTAACCCACTGCTGGTGAGAATGCAAGTGCAACCATGATGGTTTTCTCAGAGAGCTGGAAATAGACCGTTCTGGAAATACAGTCTTTCTTTGTCCTAGCCAATCCACTCTTGGGAATACATGTAAACGAAATGAAACACGCATATGAGAGTTAACTACATCCCTATGTGTATAGCAATGCAATTCACAACAGTAAGGAATTGAATCAGCCCAGATTTCCATCAATAGATGAACAGATAAAGAAAATGTGGTACATTTACTCCATTGAATACTATTCGGCCATATGAAAAAAAAATGGAATCTTAAAATCGGCAACAAAATAAACTCAGCTGGAAATGATTAATGCCTAATAAAATAAGCCCATCCTCCAAAAATAAATACCCTATGTTCTCTCTGATAAGCAATGACCAATACACAGGGCACAAAAGACATAAACTCTACAAGGGAGATCAGCATACTGGGAAATAACAGATGTATTAGAGTACATGTCTTAATCCCAAGTAATAGTATGATTTCCAGATTTACTTTTAATTATATTTTTACATTACACTATTTTATTCCTTTTCCTATACTTGCCATGTCTTGATATATTTATATAAGAAAGTTAAGCTTGTGAAAGTTAAGTTATGTAAATATTAAAAATCAAATGTTTTTAATTAAAGAATTATTTTGGTGCTGTTGCTGCAGTTTAGTAAGCAAAGCACTGCCATGGCTCTTCATTTCAGTCTTGGATGCTCCACTTCTGATCCAGCTCCCTGCTATTGTGCCTGGGAAAGCAGTGGAAGATAAACCAAATCTTTGGGACCCTTCACCCATGTCAGAGATCCTGGCTCTAAATTGACCCATTCTGGTCATTCTGGCTACTTGCAGCAAGCACCAGTGGATGGAAAACCTCTCTGTTCCTCTCTGTTAGCTGAACCTTTCAAATAAACAATCTTAAACAAATTCACTATGACAAACAATATCATTCAATTGTGGCACAGCATCTTTGACACTAATATATTTGAAATAGACTTTTTTATAACAACATCATGGTAACCTTCCAAGTTAATTTTTTGTATGTTAGTATACTTATATCTTCTCTGATGATTATCTAATAAGTTATTTACATATATGTGAATGTTTTCAATATGTGAATGTTTTCAGTATGGTGGGGACATACAATCATTCACATTTCCTTTTACATAATAGAATCTTTTTACCTTGAGAGTCTTTTTTGTCCTTCTTTCGTAATTCCTCTTCTGAAACATCGACCTTAATAACAGATGTATTAATAAGTATTTTCAAATTATATATCTGACAGCACTATTTGCCTTCTTTTAGAGAGTGTGCTAGCTTTTATTCTCATCTATGATGTTACTACAGAATCACATTTCTGTAAATCATTTCCTTAATGTAACAAATTTTGAAATAAAAGAAAACGACAGATTTGAGAAGCACTTGGGACACTGGGAAGTTCTTTTAGGCCAATATTCTGATTTTTCTTAACAGTCATTAAAATCACAACTTGCCTCAATTTTTAGACAAATTCAAATAGTTTGCACAAACTACTATTATGGCGACACTGCAGCCATATCTAAGACAAAAACATGGACATAAGAGGGGATATTAAACATTTATACATACAACATAAAAACTATGCATGGATTTAAAATTTTTTTACAGCAAAATAAATCACTTTTAACGCCTTTTCCTATAAGCACTTGAAAACCCTTATTCATCTGGTATGTACAGTTTTTTCATATTTTCTATTTTCCCCAATATTTTGTCCTAGTAAGTCCCTAATGACATTCTTAAACAAAGGCAACTGTAATAATTTATCAGCATACTTTAAAAGCTTATGCAAAATGGAATTAAAATTGTCTATTTTTGAGTTAAACAATCTTGAAATCCAACCCAAAAGCCTATTGTGGAAGAATATAGACTTTGCTTTTTGTTTATGAAAATAAATATTTTTAATTCCATTTTCCATAAAATTTTTGAAGCATATTATAGGTTTTATTTGAAGACACATAAAGATAATGATTTTACCATCAACTTATTAGATAAAATGAGAACGTTGACAACTTTCCTTAATTTCATAAATCATATGCTTCTCACTGAAATTACAAATGTCCTAGGACATTTTCAAACCAAGGCTTCTGAAATCGTATCTCCCCACCTTCAGTGCAAAGGAGTTCATGTCAAAAACATACTTTGTATTATGTAAAATAAAGATGGATTGACACGTTTCCAATAGCATTTACTAGAGATATTGAAAAGTCTAGAATTCCAAGTAAACAGCACACCTGTGCATCCCCTGTACCAGGGGCAGTGGGTTCTGTGAAGGACAGCTTCACTCTCGTGCTGCCTGGAGGCAGTGCTTCGGTGGCCAGAAGCCCCTGTGAGTCTCGGGATCCTCTGCTGGATAAGTGGGCAGCACGTTTAGCAGCTGCAATTTCGAGGGGCATTTCCCACAGGCTATATCCTTCAGACCCCAAGTACTGCGACAGATTCGAAAGTGTGGAGTCAGCCCTTTCCTTCTCTGAGCTTCGGGGGGAGCAGAGGGGTAGAGCAGGGGATGATTTTTCATTAGTAACTGAAGAAGCATTTTCATCACCCATTAGGATATTAAGACATTGTTAGTTAATCAAGATACAAACAAGCTCAAAAACTTATATAATCTGAGATTTTAAAATACACACATAAAATCGGGTATTTCAATAAAATTAATCCATTATAATAGATACTCTAGGCCCTCCCAAGCCACAGTCCAAGAAAAATATGGTTGATTACTTTTCAGCCGAAATTATTTTCCATAATTCCCTTTCAGCATGAAAATAAGAACATCCCTCTAGTAGCTTTGGCACTAAAAGGTCACTGTCTGTCAAGGTCAACTTCAAGATCCATGCTTTTTTTTTTTTTTTTTTTTTTTGGTTTCTGGGTAAGAGGTATGTGTTGTCACATGGTCTGCCTTCAAGAGATTCCAGAACCCACAGGGTCATGATTCACCATTTTCATGTACAGCCTCACCTGGTGTTTGTGGTCTCAACATTCTAGTTTACACAGTGATCTAAATGGCCACAGGGCTTATGCTATGTACAAATAGTTTATGAAGCTATCCCAGTCTAATCAAATATAACAGTGTTGCAATTTCATTTGTAAACAGCTACACTTGCCTATAACTTATTGCAAGGAATCGGGAATAACTCACTTTGTTATCACAGAGGTGAAAGTTTTAAATACACTTTCACTTATCATATATGTGTTAGTTTAAGATGAATTTCACACATGAGTTTGGCTCATAAAAAGGAAGTAAAGTGGGAAAGACATTCCTGAGAAAAAATGTGTAAGGTGAATTGTGATCTAAAAATATCCATCTTGTAAAATGCGATGATGTGTTGTTAAATAAATTCCAGGAGAATGCCTTGGTTGCAGCAGTTGAGTGGCTGCTGGGAAAGCCACGTTTCACAATGAAGTGTCTTGGTTCAAGTCCAGCACTGCTTCCATGTGGCTCCCTACTCATGTATACCTTGGGAGGTCGCAAGAGATATCTCAAGTCAGTGGTCCCTGCCACAAGTATGGAAACCTGGTTCACTTGTATGCATCTAGGACAAAGTCAGTGGTTGGGTGGTGATTTGTCTGTGTCATTTTGCTTCTCTCTGCCTTTCAAATAAAATGAAATTTAAAAGATGTTTAAAAACAGATTGAAATATTACAGAGTAGCAGATATGTGGCTTTATATAAATCATAAATCTCATCTTCAAATTCAGTGTCAGCTGTGAGCTGAAGTAGGACCCTCTGCAGGCTGTTTTGAACAGGAGAGGGAATGAGGAAAGAGGGAAAAGAAGAGAGACAAGAGACTCAACAACAGGGAAGAGATCTTCCATCTGGTACTTCATGCCAAACATGGCCAGGTCTAAGGCAGGCTAAGCCAGGACCAGGATCTCATGGAAACCACACAGGAGGGAGGGACCCAAAGCTCGCACACCCCCCACCGCCTTCCTAATGCATCAGTAGGAAGCCAGAATAATAGAGGGGTGTCACTCTGACAGCGGAAGCCAGTGTCACAAGTCTCAGCTTAAAATGCCCTGCCCACAATGCCAGCACCCAGGCAAACAGAAAGCCAATCCTGGACAACTGCCCAAACTATCATGCTATTTCTTTGTTGTCCCTAACACCTTGATTTGGGGAAACATTTCTAAACATCATCCATTCCCAAAACTGTCAATAGAAGTCTGACCTATATCCTCTCCCCTTAAGGAAAAAAAATCAGAAACAAAAACTTCAACAACAGTATCAACATATATGCACTGAAGTTTTAATTCTAAACACAAATATGGAGAGGAGAAAAATCGGATATATGCATCTGCAATAATAGAGACATGAAATGCATTTCTACACACAAAAAATGCAAAATGACCTAGGCACAAAGCTGGCATTAGAAAATACTCCTGACATTAGCTTTATCAAAAGTTTCAACATAGGGAGTATAATGTGAAAGTAAGTAGGTATTTGGAGTAGATGCTGCCAGGATACCTGAATCCGAAATCAAAGCTGTTGGCCTGCACCTTTTCCCGGCCTGCCTATGGTGGTTATTTGGGGAGGAACAAACAGATAGGAGATATCTTTCTGTCTCTCTATTCCTGTCTTATGTGTGTCTTTCAAATAAATAAATATTCTTAAAGCTACAAATATTTGATTATTCTGAAGGATTACAATTGTCATTGGTCAAAAATCTTCACCGTGACTAGTTTTCAATTCCTCAAGTAATGGGGAAATTTCACGGGTAAAGAGTATTTAGTAAAATTCAGAAGACTAAAAGGCCTGTTAAAAGGCTGGAAACTGTTTCACCTGGAAAGTAGGCTGACAAGCTGATTTATAGTCTGTGAATGTGCAAATAACTCACACTGCCCATGTCACCTTGCTGTGCCTACATCTGCCAACACTGTCAGTGCAGAAATTGTTAGAAACAGGACCTAAACTGCAAGGGCGTCATGTAGGTCAAAGGAGTATTGCGTTAATATTTATAATGCCCGAGGAAAAAAAAAAACAAAACAAAATCCCTGTGCTTATGGAACACTGGAGAGAAGCAGGACCCCTCAGAACAAGATGGTCCCTCTTCCTGGGATGCCCGAGTCCCTCAGAGCACACTGAATTCAAACTGACTCAGCGGTGGGGACAAGAAGCCTGCAGGGAGAGCCTGCTCCTGCCCTGTGCATGTGGGACACCTGCAGACTTCAGCAGCTATAGGCACTTGGACTTCAGAACAGTGCTCAGCCTCATCGGCATCCGTCAGCCTGGACAGGGAACCTACGGATGATGGCCTCAGAGGAGGTGGTGGGGGCATTCACAGAGCCCCACTCACCTGTTCTGCCTGAGGAACCAGCGTACTTCCAATCGTGGTGCCTGCGTTCCTGGGCTTACGGTTCTTGTGAGTGTGTGTGGTCAGGCAGCCTCAGACTCGTGGCCAGGTAAGAACTGTGCCTGAACTGGTAACTTAGGCCAGATTAAAGAAAAACAAAAGGTCACGCAGGCAATTGAGGTGAAAGCTACACTGGCTTGAGTCTAACAACATTATGCTTGCCAGCTTGCTTTCCATTTCTTGAAATGCGAAAATACCTAAAGAAATGTTTTCTTATGCCTTCTCGGGATGCTGACGGCCTGGGAACAGCAGTGGAGGAGGTTTCAAGTGTTTGAGCCCCCTGTCACCCACGTGGGAGACCTTGATGAAGCCAGGCTAAGTCCAAACCACTGGAACCACCTGGGTGAGTGAGCCAGTAGACCCAAGAACTCTCTGACAGTTTCTCTCTAACTTTGACTTTCAGAAAAATAAACTTTTCAAAATAAAAGAGAGCTAAAGAATAAGCATTTATGCCCAATTACTTTGAATTCTAATGATGCAATTCCAATCAAAGAAATACTCACCTGATTTACTTTATTAGACATCAACCAAACTTAGAATCTGCTACTCTCAGTAACACATCTGGCTTGATCCTACTTGTATCGACCACACCGGTTTTCATGTCAGTTATAAAGTGTGAATGGCACAGCTGTTTGCATCTCACAAAGTTGAACTTTGATGAGTCAGCTATTTGCATTATCCATGTGCACAATCACGCATGCACACACACATGCACACTCACACACAGATGTCGAGTGAATCAGCAAAAGTAAGAGGCAAAGTGTTTTCAGTTTATTTTTTTTTTTAAAGATTGATCTATTTTTGTGGAAAGGCAGATGTACAGAGAGGAGGAGAGAGAGGAAGATCTTCCATCTGATGGTTCATTCCCCAAGCAGCCGCAACGGCCAGAGGTGCGCTAATCCCAAATCAGGAGCCAGGAGCTCTTCCTCTGGGTCTCCCACGCGGGTGCAGGGTCCCAAGGCTTTGGGCCATCCTCAGCTGCTTTCCCAGGCCACAAGCAGGGAGCTGGATGCAAAGCAGGACTGCGAGGATTGGAATCAGCGCCCATATGGGAGCCTGGCACATGCAAGGCGAGGACTTTAACCACTATGCTATTGCGCTGGGTCCTTTTTCAGCTCATTTTGTGTGTAAAATGAGTTATCATCAAGGTGCATGACCTTGATGATAACTCAAAATAAGGGTAGGTTTCTCACTATCTGAAACTAGTTCGTAGAAAATAAAAAGTGTTTATATATATGACATGTTTAATTTTAATTCTGATTTTTTATTTCATCCAAACCTTTTAAGATTTGACATCTAATTTCCGACATTATCTTTTTATAATTACATTCATGGAACCCGGTGTGCTAGCCTATCAGCTGAAATCCTCACCTTGCATGCTCCAGGATCCCATATGGGCACCGGTTTGTGTCTCAACTGCTGCACTTCCCACCGAACTTCCTGCTTGTGGCCTGGGAAAGTAGTAACAGGATGGCCCAAAGCCTTGGGAACCCAAAGAAACTCCTGGCTCCTGGCTTCAGATCGGCTCAGCTCCAGCCACTGGGGCGATTTGAAGCATGAACCTGAAGACAGATTTTCTCTGTCTCTCCTCTTTGTAAATCTGACTTTCCGATAAAAATAAATCTTTCAGGATGACATTCATAGACTGACATTGTAGTGAGCTGGCTCAGTAGTGACTTATGAGCCCAGCATCTCCCAGAGCACTGGTTTGAGCCTTGGGTACTGTGTTTCTGATCTAACTTCCTGTTCCTGAACTGGGAAGATGACCCAATACTTGGTTCCCTGTTTACTCCTAGGGAGATCCAGAGAGAATCCCAGGCTCTTAGATTCAGACAGTGCAGTCCTGGAGGTTGATGGATGTGAGCAGTGACTCAGAAGTGGAATATCTATTTCTCTGTTACTTTGCCTTTCAATTAAATAAACTATTTGAGCTGGCATCATGGTACAACTAGTCAACCTGCAACACTGGATGTGGATGGAATTCCTCTCTCTCTCTCTCAATCTCTCTCTCTCTCTCTCTCTCTCTCTCCCTCTCTCTTCCCCACCTCCCCTTCTCTGTGTGTGGGGTGTGTGTGTTCCATGTGCATTTCGCCCTTGCTCCTTTCAGTCCTCCTTATCTATAACTGTTTTAAGTAAAATCAGTTTTAAAAGTTCAATATTATATGCAGACATTGAACAGCAAATTTCATGATGCTAGATTGAGAAGGGTAATTATACCAGTCAAGTATGTGAAATGATAAAATTATAAAAAGCCAACTTTTAATGTCCTACCTTTCTCCAATTGATCTTCTAAATTCACCTGCTGTTATCTATAATAAACATAATAATAAGATTAAATATGCCAAGTATGAATATAAAATGTTTTAATCATTCAGAAAAATAACTCAAAATATTGTTTCAACATAAAAATTTTAAGAGATTAACATATCAAAAAAAAACCCAGAAATTATATTTTGATAATAGAAGTGACAGAAGAGGATCAAGTTCCAAAGGTGTATTTCCTCCCTAAAAGGAAAGAAGATTTTATGCTTGTGATAAAAAAATAATTTTAAACTTACTTAGGGACAGGTATTGAGGCACAGAATTTTAAGCTTCTGCTTAGGACATCCACATCTCAGGACAGAGCTTCCGAGGTCAACTACCACTTGGACTTCTGATCCAACTTCCTGCTAATGTGCACTCCGTGAGACAGGAGTTCATAGCACAATGACATGGGAGACAGATGGAGCTCCTGGCTCCTGGCTGCAGCCTAATCCACAGCACCCTCTGTGTGTCCCCCACATCCGTCATGAGCTTGTGCGTCAAATTCAAAAGCAAATACAATTTAAATAAAAAGGTAATTCATTCCTTAAATACGCTGTCTCTTTTGATATACCAAAGTTGCACATAATCCATCATGAACCAAATATTTCAAACACATATACATTGTATACTGTCCAGAGAAAGGTAAGCACACATATTTATTAGAACACATATCATTTCTTTATTTTGAAAATACCCCAAATCCTTTCTCCTAGCTTTTAAAAAAAACATTCAACTCTATATACAACAGCAAAAGTTTAATCTTTTAAAATGATTAATTTGGATAGGAACAGAAATATACATTGTATTATCCTAATATGATCCTCTTTTGGGGAATTAACAACATTTTTAAGGAATACTAAAATGCACAAAATGTGAATTTTTTTCATGTAAATTTAGAAAAATTTTTCAAACTTACTTTTAAATTTATTTTTCCACATATATTTACTGAAGTGTGTGATCAAGAATGGTAGATACTGTGCTATTCACAATATAATTTATTAATTAAGATATTTCCTTATCATGTAACTGCTATTCTTTTTATCCTAGTCCTAAATTTCACCTCAGTTTTCCCCATAGAGAGATCAGCTGGCTTTTTTCTTACCAGTCTGAAGAAAAAAACTTAAAGATATCTGTAAAACTAGCTTTATTTATTTTTAGTTTTTATGACACAGTTCCATGGCTCAAGGATTTCCCCTCCTACCACCCTCCTGTTCACTCTGCCCCCACCGTTTCCAACTATATCATTACAATTGTATTGTCCTTCAAAAACATTCACAAGGTCATCATTCTATTTAAATGTATCATGTTGTTGTAGGTAGAGATGACGGTAGAAAGTCAAGCATCCTATTGTCAAGGTACATTTAACAGCTTCATTGGGGGTCCATCTTTTATTCTGGAGTAGAGATACATACTGCAATGTATCTTCACTTCTCGACATGCCAGTCTCCCTTACACACTTTCTCTAGGCATATATGTATACATATATATAGATACATATGTGTGTGTGTGTGTGTCTGTGTGTGTGTGCTTATGCCAATGGTCCTGATAGCTTCTTTCTGTAATTGTGGGATGACTTAGGTAACTACACCCTCTTCTAAGAAAGACACAAATGAAACAGTATATCCAGAATTAAGTCCCATTCATGAACACTTCCCAGTCTTGCCACATCTCTGTCTTTGCCTTTGTTGTGCACCCCTCCACCTCAGTCTTTCCACATCTCGCCATGCCTCACTGCCAAGTTCTACGTTTCCTTATGAAGAGCCACTATGGTAAGATCTCAAACCAAAAGCTAGCAAAGAGGAAAAGATCTGAGACCGCAGGTGGGATGGAAAGTACATGTTTATAAAGTAAATGTACACATGGCGCTTGGCCCTGTGGGCCATTTATTCGAGGTTTTATTTTCGCCCCGTCAGGTTCTTCAGCCCTGATACAACTGTTAACAAGTTGCTTTTTTCAGAGAAGAAGCAAGTCATCACTCAGGACGGGCTGAGTGCTCCAGGAGAGCTGTGGGATGGACGGTTGCTGACATCCTATCCTACAGTGATCACAAGGCCAGGAATCTGCAGGAACACAGCAAAGAAGGAGAAACACAAAGGGCATGACTAAACGCCCATGCCCACACTCAGTGTCTCTTTCAAAGCAGCTTCCCCAAGCCAAGTAGAGAGGTAATTTCAATCAGGAGTCCTCACATTGTTGGCCAGGCTGTACAAACTATGCTCTCTCCCCTATATTCACTCCAGGCTAGTCTCTGTGCTGGTCTGTCAATAATCCAGGAATAATTTGTTAGGCAGTAAAAGAGAATCAGCATCACATGTTTTGTGATGCACTCATTTTTCAATTAGATGAATTTTGTGAAATGAGGAAGAAATAGCAAGAAATCTGAAAATGATAATATACTTCACACATCAAATATAGGCAATGTGCATATGCATAACTGGCCAGGTATCATAGCCTGGGGAAAATCAAATGAGGCTGGGGTCTCAGAAATGGAGATGGTCACAGGAAGCTATAAATTATAATTAGGAATTTGCACTTCATCTATAAATAATCAGAAATCAGGAAAGATCACATGGACAGATAAGAAAGTTTTGAAACTGACTCCAGGGTGGAGATTGGACGGAATGGGATCAATTAGAGTCCTGGTGGCACCTTGACCAAGGGCACTGATAGTAAAACTGAGAAAGGTAGGTAAAGTTTGTTCATTCCTAGTTGGATTGATGTAAGAATAATCCCAGAGTTTCCAGCATCAGCAGTTAGGTAGGTGAGTTTGCAAGGAGACTGAGTCCTTGGGGAGAAAAGGAGACTTGGAGGAAAGCAATCCATTCATTTCAGCACATAATGAATTCTGGATTCTTGTTTAAGAAGAAAAAGTCAGTATTGACGAAGCATAGCACTGGGAACAAGAAGATGTCTGGGTTAGAGAAACGAGATATGGCAATGAGAGCCACAAAGGTATGTGCGCTCACAAGAAGTAGGTAGAATACAAACAGAATCCAAAATAGAGAACTCCGAGAAATTTCAAGTTCAAGGATGCTCAGATCCAGTGGCCAAAGAGAAATCACGAGATAAATATAAAGAAGACGAAATGGTAATTGTGTTTTTCCTAAACAAATCATGGACTGTATTCAAAGGAATTGGTGAGCATGGCAAATTGCTGCTGAGGAAAGCCTAACTGAAACAGCACCAAGTCGGCTCCCTGTGCCTTGGCACAAGTTCAGAGACACTCATGGAAAGATTACTGGTAACTCAAGAATGACTGTCCGGTATGTACCAGAGGCGGTTGGAATCAACAACTGCCCTGCCATCTTCAGCGATTTTTTTTTTTTTTACTATTTACCAGGGTGAACCTGAACAAATGGCATCATGTGCACAGCCCACGCAAATAAGCTTGTAGCTTGCAGATGTTTAACTGTTTAAAAAGTGATAAGCAGGATACATGTGAGATTAGGCATGTACTGCTGTATATATAAATCACTAAAAATTAGAATTTCTTGCCCAGGTGAAAACAGCACGTAATAAAGGTAGTAAGGTAATAAAGTTATTTTCTCTGCTCAGCTTCTCCTATTTAATCTGGTGTCTACATTTAAGCTACTACATGATAACCTTAACTTTGGATTTAGGGGAAAAAAGTGCTGAGAAACACAAAACAATAAAGCTATCTACAAAATGAGGTTCAAATGCAGCTGTATAAATAAAGAACCTATCATCAGACATGATTTTACAGCTAGAAAAGATCTGTATTTGAAATCTGATTCAACATTACTAACTGGATGTTACACTGTTTAATTTAAAGCAAAGTCTTCAAGAGAATATTGAAGTAACAGTCCCAGAAGGCAAAATTAAACAGAAAAACACAGGCACTTGAATATGTATACACACATACGCATTCTTACAGCCACAGTCCTGTCTCCACTGCTCCCATTCTGATTTCTCGCTTACCTCTGGATATCTGTGGATGTCATCACTGCTCCTCCGTCCTAACATTAATTTTCCTCCTCTTTTCTCGACTGAGTCTTCACCTTTCATTTTTATTTTTCCCCTTTCCAATATTGCCTTGGTTTTCTGCTGATTGAGGAAATTGTCCAGTTGATGTTTAGCTCTTTCAGCTTCCTGTTTGTGAATAAGTACCAGTTACCAAGGGTTTTCAGGACATTTTTCCTGCCAGTATTACAAACTTCAGGAACTTGTAGATGGTTATATCCATATAATTCTCAACTTTTATTTTCCTAAGCTGGCAGAAACTAAGGCAAACTATTGGCATAATAAATAATTTAAAAGCTCCACAACTTAGACTAGGCACGGGAGCCTAGTGACTGAAGTCCATGCCTTCCATGTGCTGGAATCCCATATGGGCGCTGGTTCTAATCCCGGCAACTCCACTTCCCATCCAGCTCCCTGCTGTGGCTTGGGAAAGCAGTCGAGGATGACCCAAAGCCTTGGGATCCTGCACCCATGCGGGGGACCTGGAAGAAGCTCCTGGCTCCTGGCTTCAGGTTAGCTTAGCTCTGGCTGCTTTTGCCACTTGGCGAATGAGCCAGCAGACAAAGATCTTTGCCTCTCCTTCTCTCTGTAAACCTGCCCTTCCAATAAAAACGAATCTTAAAAAAAAAAAAAAATACCCACTTATCTCTTTGTCTAATATTTTTATCATAAAAAAGTTTTTTGACTTTAGAAACGGCCAAACTCAAGAGTGTTCCGTCCAGCACATTAGTTCTGGGAAGCTTCACGCTAGCAAGGACCACGCACAGCCTCTCAGCACTTCTAACATGTAGGAGTCACCAAATACTTCTGGATCACAGATCAATCTGGAGCAAGACTCAGGACATCATAGCAAGAGAAGAAGTTATCACAGTTTTCCAATCGTTTACTTAGTAGCACTACTTTAGATTTTTATGAAATTATTAATAAGTTTACAAAATATTAAATCAATATATTCCTTGGAATCTGTTTTTGGACTTCTCCTGTAGTATTATATTATACAATGATTTGGGAATGAATGAACCTTTATTCTATTTTATTCTATTCTTCTATATGATCACCAGTTCTTGCCTCATTTTATCATTTTATCTTAGGATAATTTTGTTAAATTGAAAAACAAGTCCATCTACAAACTAAAACTAAATTTCTTCAATTTTGTGTTTCAGTTCTGGAAAACTGAAGTAGTGGCAAAACTAGGCCTTCAAAGCTTCAACTGTGAATGTATATTTTTTTTCACCACTCATCTATATTCTTTGGTAAAGTATTATTTTTTCACAGAAAACTTCTTGCTTCTATTATATATACTAAAATCAATTGGCTGCCAATGGCTGGAAATGAGCCAATCCAAAGCCAGGAGCCAGGAGCCTCCTCCAGGTTTTCCACATGGGTGCAGGGTCCCAAGGCCATCCTCTACCATTTTCCTAAGCCACAAGCAGGGAGCTGGAAGGGAAGTGGAGCAGCTGGGACACAAACCAGCACCCAATGGGACTCCAGCATATGTAAGGCGAGGACTTCAGTCACTAGTCTACCATGCCAGGCCCGACAGCACTTTCTTATTTTCAATTTTAAAACCTACTTTGCTTCCACTCACCTTATAAAACTATACCACCAATACTCTGTTGATCATAATTTTTACCAAAAAAAAATCAAAAGGTTCAACTTTGTCCATACACTTATGGAAATGCTTGTAGCTTCATTTCTTTTTGCTGTTCAACTAGAATTTGAAAACAACGATGTAAACCAGCATTCCCGTTTAGCTTACTTTAACTGGAATGCCTACAGTATTTTTAAAGAACATGAACAATTTGAAATGGGCTCCTTTTATACGATTAAGAAAGCTAGTTTCTTGCTAGCTTACTATTTCAGACAAGAGTAATTGTTTCATTAATTCATTTCTACTACATAAGACAAACAATTTAAACAGTATAATATAAACACAATTAGTCAACATTATCCACATAATATTCTGTGAGCCTTTTTTTTCCTCTGTTAACTTTAAACAACATGGCATGCTTTACCTCCAAGGCCACTTTCAGTTTTTCCCAAAGGATTCTATTCTCAGATTCCAGATTACCTGCTAATTTCTAGAAAATTAAGAGAGAGAGAAATATCATTTTATATGTATGCTTATGGTGACTTTTCTAATCTAGACAGCCACGATGATGACTGGAGCGTAAGCATCTAACTACACAGTTCTCACCTATGAGGATGGGTATTACTTGGCATACAGATTCCTGTTAAATATTTCATGTCCCCTTTTCTCTAGGTCTCACACATTTATTTTTAAAGATTTATTTATTTAGTTAGTTGCTCTGAAGCCTGGAACTGCTTCTGGGTCTTCCATGTGGGCGCAGGGTCCTGAGGCCGTGGGCTGTCCTCCACTGCTTTTCCAGACCACAGTCAGGAAGCTGGGTGGAAGGCGGGGCAGCCAGGAAATGAATCTGCACCCACATGTAGGATCCTGGTATATGCAAGGCACTCAGCTTCCACACCAGGCCCTAACTCTCACACATTTGAATAGAAACATTTCAAGTCTTACTAGAAACATCTAGTCTTAGAGAAATACCCTTATTTTTGATTGTGATAATTAGTACATTCTAAAAATAAAAAAGTCTTAAGAGGTTTCTGTCGGATGGAAGACAGTTTTAAGCTCTGCTTCCATCACGGCTGATCACGTGACCACCAACACTTCAGGCCAAAGCCCAAATACCAACTCACTACCAAAAGTAGTGAGGTTCTCACAGGAAAGTATCGTGGGTAAGACCCCTTTATAGAAAAGCCTTCTGTCGGGCCCAGTGCAGTAGCCTAGCAGCTAAAGTCCTCACCTTGCACATGCCAACATCCTATACGGCTGCTGGTTTTAATCCCAGATGACCCACTTCCCATCCAGCTCCCTGCTTGTGGCCTGGGAAAGCAGTCAAGGACTGCCCAAAGCTTTGGGACATTGCACCTGTGTAGGAGACCATGAAGAAGCTCCTGGCTCCTGATGTCAGATTGGCTCAGCTCGGGCCATTGAGGCCACTTGGGGAGTGAATCAGCAGATTGAAGATCTTCCTCTCTGTCTCTCCTCCTCTCTGTATATTTGACTTTCCAATAAAAATAATATTTAAAAAGATTAGAAAAGCCCTCTCTGGGACAATTTCATTGCTGATGGACAGCTTGAATCTTTACAACTTAAATCGAAGGACAGAGTTCAGCAGCAGCACAGCCCCTGGAGAGGCCCAGGGGAAGACAGAGAAGCCACAGAGGCCGATATCACAGCTGTGACATCAACACAGTTGCCATGTCCAGCCTCCTAATGCACTGAAAATGTGAAGTTTCAAGCCACTAAATGTATTGTGACTTGTACAAATAGAAAAGTTCATAAACTGTAATTTTATGCACAGTAAAACCATGACAATTTTTTTTCCTGTGTTTATTTTATCTAGTTTAATCACTTGGGCAAATATACCATTTAACTGCATCATTCAAGGAAATGCTCTCAGCAAATTAAATTATTTTAGAGTTACTTGTATATCTCTTTCATTGCATTCCCTCCGCCCCCCGCCCCGCCAAATGACCTCTGTAGTTTATAATTTCTGGAGAACTTTTACTTGATTACTCAGACTTTTATACCTTTTTTATATAGATGAGTTACTTTTAAATAGCCTAATTTTAGTTTTTTGAATGGTACACAAAGGGATGAAGAGAAGTCTTCCATCTATGGGTTCACTTACTTGAGTACCAAATCAGGAGTCAGTAAGTGAATCAGGTCTCCCATCTGAGGGGCAGGGACAGAAGCACTTGCCCCGTCACAGCTGCCACCAGGGTGTGCATCAATGGAAAGCTGGAATTATGACAACTGTGACTTGAACCCAGGCTCTCTAACATGGGATGCAGGCAACTTCTCTCTTATGCCAAACCTGTCACCGCTTCCCAAACCAGTGAGCTTCTGTTTCACCTATTTTCGTGACAGAAGACATTAGAAAATAGATCCAACTGAAAAAATAAATCCAAATAGAATAAGGGCACTTATCCCCAGACACATAATTAGTGAGTTCCTAAAGTGATTTCCAATAATGTTTTTTCTTGCATGATATTGGTTGAGCAAACCATAACTTTCGTGATCTTGGTGCGATATCAATATGCCTGCTTTTATCATTTTATTTTCTGACATCTGTGTAATTTGTGTAATATGTGTAATGTATGTATTATCAATGAACAATTTAAAAATTAGTAATAAAAGTAGAGGAGGAGAAAAAATTACAGAACACCAGTCAATCTTATAGGTGCCTAGAAAGCACATGTCTCTTACCTGAACATTTTGAAAATCTTCTTTCATTTTCAACTGTTTTGTGGCACCCATCTTCCTATAATTAAAATTCATCAGTTAATTAATAAACAGTGGAGGCTTCTGAAGCTAGCAACATCAAAACCGTACAATGAAAATACAAAAAAAAAAAAAACAAAAGCAAAAAAACCCTGACACTTGCAACATGCATTGGCCACCTTTTCTTCACTGATCATTTCTTAAATCTTCTATATCAAACACCAAAGTCATTCTACAAATTTCTTTTTAGAATTTAAGGAACTCAATATAGAGTGGCTTTACATTTACATTTACATCTTTTGATACTAGGATTTGACCAAGAATATTCAAAATTCAGGAACTGCTTACCAAACTATCATTTTATGCTACAGTTCCATAGGTGCTGGAATTTCCCTTACCCCCTCCCCAAGTTCTCTCCCCCACCCAGTGAGTTCCCCTCTATTACTACTATAGTATAATTCTTCATAAGTAGTCACATGTCCATCATTGCAGGCATGAACAGTGGCAAAGAGCCAAGCATCCTATTGTCAAGATACAGTAAAGAGTTTCATTGGGAGTCCATCTTTGATCTGGAAGTAGAGATGCATACTGCATTGCATCTTCATATTTGGATATGATCATCCCCATTACACAGTTACGGTATATCCCCTTAATGAAATGAAAAGCCACAACACAAACTCAACAACAGAAAGAAAAGAAGAAATTACAATGCCATGAAGTTAAATAACATGCTTCTGAATGACTAATGTGTCACTAAGGAAATGAAAGAGAAAATTAAGAATTTTCTTGAAGAATATGCTACTGTATTATTACTTATGAGTCACTGAATAATTTAATGGGAAAGAAAGTGTTTTGAAGTGATGAAACTACATTAAAAAAACATCAAAATAGTTTCTGTTGATCTTTGCTGCTGAGTTATGTCTTTTGTATGCAACAAATAGATGGGTTTTGGTTTTCTTTGATCCTGTATGCTAATCTATGACATTTGATTGATGGGTTTTGTCCATTTACATTCAGGGCTAACATGAATGTGTTGTAATTTTGTCCTGTCATTTTATCAATGGGTTGTTCATTGATTTATTCTCCTGTTGTCATTTTACTGAGATAGTCTTCACATTTTCCTTAGGTTTTGGTGAGTGCTATTCCTCTTCTCTATCAAGAGAATGTCTTTAAGTATCATTTGTACAGCAGGTCTAGCAGAGGAGTATTCTTTTAACTTTTCTTTACTGTGGAAGAATTTTATTTTGTATTTAAAGAATCTTAGCTGTGTCACCCAGAGGTCTACAGTTTGATTTTACTTATTGTGGTTGGTACGTGGCTCTTTGTTTGTAGTCACTTCCAGTGAGTTCCAGGTCTGGGTTCTTATGTTAGAGTTCTATCGTGGTCTCTGTAGCCCCAGCTCCTGGCTCACTACTCTCTGCCTCCTGATGCCATGCTGAGACTGCACTATTGTCTGTACAGGCTTTCTCCCACTTCTGATTTGAGCAGTTATCAGGATTAGGGAGACACGAGATGTCCTATATAACTAGATTGTTGGTGGTGGTAATCTTGCCAGAACCCGTTGGCTGTTAGGTCTGAGGGCCATAAGGACCAATTTGACTGGTATTATATTCCCTGTGGGACCAGTGCAATGCACTGAGTTCAGTGAGTTTGCTCCGAGCTCAGCACATGCACATGTTGTCCCACCATTCTTAAAGTTTTTCTGCACTGTACAAAATGGCACCTGATGTGCCAGTACTAGAGTTCTTGATCTGATGGCCATCCGGTCTGGAGGCTACCCAGACCTGTCTTGGGTAGAACCTGTAAGATGTTATGTTGTTGCAGTTCAATGAGCCAGAACTGAGTTCACTCCCAGCTCAGTGCACCCACAGTCCTGCCCCATAGCCTTTGCCTACCTATACAAAATGGCGCCCAATCTGGCTCTAGCAGAGGACTGGTCTGTGAAATCCACCGAGTTCCTGCATTACCTGCCTGGGGCCTACAGCTCTCTCTGCTCCTGGTCAAATCAAACAGATCACCAGGATGGGCAGTTCTTTGTCTGGGTTCACCGCTGTGCCTCCTTGAACGCCCCTTCCCACCTGGTTGCTGGTGAACCTCTGGCTGCCGGTGCAGTTAAGATCTATGCTCGCTCAATGTTGCTGGAGCATTAGTCACAACAACACCACACCATATGTCTGCTGCTTTGCTGTGCCTGTCCATCTCCAGGTACCCCTCCACTCTCATTCTGTCCTGTCCTACTTCCTGGATTGTGCCCTCTCTGCTTCACACTGGCTAATGTTTCTCCATCTGTTTAAATGTGTCCTTACACTATCCTGCCACCTGGATTCCCAGGCAAAACTATCTTCTAGTACCAGGATTTGAGCAATAATATTCAAAATTCAGGAACTACTTACCATTCAGCTTCCTCCATTTTTCCTTTGTCTTTTTTCTTCTCTGGTTTTACAATTTTCTTTGTTGAATCATCATATATCTTTGCTTTCTATGAATTTATACGGCCAGAAATAAACAGAGGAAGACATAAAAAATTACAGGAAAAGATGACAATATGCATAACTAAGATTTGCATTCCACCTCAGGTATCACTATGGTTTGCTGCTGACATGCTGATTATGATCATAATTAAAACAAACACAAGGTCTTGTCAGCCTGTTTATTACAGTGAGTCTAGATTTAATTAATTACCACAGTAAATTACAGTCAGTTCAGCTACATGTGGTGTATGACTCTCTCAAAATTTCACTATGGGGCTGGCATGGTGGTATAACTAGCTAATCCTCTGCTTGCAAACACCAACATTCCATTTAGGTGCTGGTTTATGTCCTGTTTGTTGCCCTTATGATCCAGCTCCCTGCTTACTATCTGGAAAACAGCAAAGCATGGCCCAAGTACTTGGATCCCTGCACCCGGTTAGGAAACCCTGGAAATTCTCCTGGCGTCTGGCTTTGTTTGGCTCAGCTCGGGTTGCTGCAGTCATATAGGAAGTGAACCAGCACATGGAAGGTCTTCTCTCTATCTCACCTTCCATTTCAATCAATCTGCTTTTCAAATAAAAAACAAAATATTTAAAATAACTACCTCACTATACAAAAATACAAAATAAAATTTAAAGGATATATGTGGGAAGTGCATTACACACGTAATATTACGGATCTGCCAATGATTTCAACATAATGGACCAGGAAAAAGTCATGTGGATTTGGGTCAAGGAAGAGAGCACAAGAAATGCAGAGGGAAGCTTTCCCAGGAGAAAGTTAGAGAGGCTTGCAGTAGAAATTCTGCAGAAAGAATACAGGTATGGTAGAGCAGTGCAGACAGCGCACACACACACACACACACACACACACACACACAGAGTAGCAAGTAGGACCATCACCCACAACTCTCCAGCTGGGAGTTGGAAGAGGTGCCATCTTCAGGCAAGGATGTGAAAACAAAAGGTAGCAGACTTGTCACTGGTGATACTGCCTGAGGGGTAACTTTGCAGACCACACTGACTGTGAGTATGGCCTGCATTTATGGTAGGACAGGGGGTAGGGCACTGATCTAATATCATGAAGGGTACACACATTTCTTTCTCCCCATTCATTGGCATGGGAGCCTAAGCAACTAGCAAGCCAAAAGCAGTCTTAATGCCAGTACAGACCGCAGTGACTTTTGCATACTGTGACCAGGAAATTTTATAGGCTGAATCTGTGATTCTTCACTGACTGAATCTTGCATAAACAGTAGGCAGGTAGGTATCTGGGTACCCACTTCCAATTGAGTGTGTTCCCATCCCCTACCTTCACTGGTTGTGGTGGGCTGTGACAGTGCATTTCTTGCACGCTGTGACTATAGCAGCCTTGAACAATATCACTGTCATAATTCTGGAACTACACAATAACTGTGTCTGGCTTCAGGTGCTCAGGTACTTGACTGCCAGAGAGGGGTTACAGCTCACACTGAGAACCATACAGATCCAAGTGCCTGCATAGGTGGTGGGCTGAAGGCACCTTGCTAGAATATGTAATCCCGGGAATTTATCACCTCGGAATATAGGAAGTGAGGCTGTGATGTAACAGCACATGTGATTGTGCCCTCCACCCCTGGGGATAACAGAGTTCATCTAGCATGCCCAAAATGTCACCCTGGACTCATGCCTCACCCTTACGGACTGAGGAGTGCTTCCTGGTGCCCTCCCGGATCACACGTCTGCATGTTCACAGAGTGAGCAAACACTTCGCTACTCCACAGAAGCAGCATTGAAAGACAAAGTCATCAGAGAGAAGAACCACCAAGTTTTTCCACAAATGCTTAAAAACAAATAGAGAAATGCAAGAAACAAGAACAAGGAAGAAAATATGACTCCTCCAAAGCAACGTAACATTTCAATATGAGGATGCAATGATGAGGAGGTTCTAGGAAGTGCTGAAAATGAATTCAAGAGAATGACCAAAAGATTACTCAGAAAAAAAATTCATTAGATAACAAAAAATCCATACACAATATGGAAGAAATAGTTTACATACTGAAAAGAAATCAAAATGAAATATTATAAATGAAAAATCCAATGTGTCAAATAGAAAACACAGTGAAAAACTTAAACAACAGATTCAATGAGGCAAAAGAAAGAATATCCAAACCAGAAGGCGAAACTTTGGATACATCCCAAACAAAAAACAAGAAGAAAAAAATGAGAAAAATGGAAACTAGCGTAAGATATTTATGCTTCTTTTGAATTACCTAAAATGTGTGTTATAAGAGATACTGAAGGCTTGGATAGTGAAAATGAGTTACAATTCATATTTTTCAAATAATAGAAGCATGCCTTCATCCTGAAAAAGGAAAGGAACATCCATGAACAGGAAATACACCATCAGAAAAGATCTTCATCACCACATACTATTGTCAAAATTTTAAGAGTAATATACTTTAAGAATTCTAAAATATGTATAAGAGAAATGTCAATTTACCTGCAAAAAATCCCCAATTACAATAATAGCCAAATTCCCCTGCAGGAACCCTATATGCAGAGAGACAACTGAGAGACATAGTTGAAGTCCTAAAGGAGACAGCTGGCTCTTGTGTAGTGGCACCACAGGTTAAGCTGTCCCCTGAGATGCAGACATTCAATCTGATCCAGCTGCTCCACTTTCTGATCCAATTATGTGATAACATCCAGGGAAAAGAAGCAGAAGAAGGCTCAGGTGGTTTGGCCTGAGCAACAATGCAGAGACTAAGAAGAAACTGCTAGCTTCTTACTTTGGATCAGCTCAGCACCAAATAAATAAATATTTTTTTTTATTGCGTTTCATTTTATGACATCGTTTCATAGGCTCTGAGGTTCCCCCAACTCCTCCCCGTGTCCTCCCCACATGGTGGATTACTCCACCTTATTGCAGTATTACAGTTCAAATCCAGTCTTGTTTCTTTCATTGCAAACATGTAACATGCATAGAGTCCAACATCTTATTGTCCAGATCAATTTAGCAGTTTCTTGGGGAGACCATCTCTGGTCTAAAGGTAGAGCTGGAGGAATATCGTCCCAACCAATTAAAAGCCATAACATAACATCAACAACAGTTTACAACATTATGGAGTTAATTGACATGGTATTGAGTGACTGGTATGTTAGAAAATGCAGGTTCGCATGCCTTAAACTTATGAGTAAGGAAAATGCAGGTTCTTAATCACATCCTGTGACTACTTCATTAACATTTCAATTTTAGTTTATATACAACTGGCTTCTATCCACCTTAAAATGGCTATAGGATAGTTGAGCTCTCTCGTGTCTAAAAAATACGCAACACTTCACGAATTTTCGTGTCATCCTTATACAGGGGCCATGCTAATCTTCTCTGTGTCGTTCCAATTTTAGTATATGTGTTGCCAAAATGAGCACATAAATAAATAAATATTTAAAAATAGAAACAGTCGACCCAGAATATTGTGTTCTGCGAAGCTCTCATTTATAAATGAAGGTGAAATAAAGACCTTCCAAAACAAACAGAAACTGAAAGAATGTCACCACATGTTCAGACTTGCAAATGATTCTGAAGGATGTGCTGCACATAGAAACAGATGACAGTCATTATTATCAAAGACTGCGAATGCATACAACGTCCTAGGAAAAGTCCAAAGAAAATCTAAAGTAAACAAAAAGAACACTTTCCAAAAAATGGTTAAGACCAAGTTGTTACCTATCAATAATAACCTTGAATATAAATAGCTTAAATTCTTGAGTTAAAAGATACAGATTGGCTGAACAGAATTTAAAAAAAAAAAAAGACCCAGGTATTTTCTACCTACAAATAATACACCTTACCAACAAACATGCCACAGATAGAAAATGAAATGATGAGAAATAAAATGTTCCACACTTACAAAAAGTGAAGACAGTATAGCCATCCTAATATCAAATAAAAGAAACTTTAACATAAAAACTGTTAAAAGTAGCAAAGAAGGACATTGTGATGAGTAAGGAATCAAACAGAAGATGTGAATATAGTGGGTGTATATATAGCAAATACCAGGACACCTAGCTAATTAAAACAAAAACTTTTTAAAAGATTTCATTTTTATCTGAATGGCAGAGTTACATAAAGAGGACAAAAAGAAAGAAAGGGGGGGAGGAGTGGATAGAGAGAAAGACCTTCCATCTGCTGGTTCACTTCCCAAGTGGCAGCAATGGCCAGACCTGGAAACACATCTATCCTATGATTTAGACATCCCACTCCAGGGCATTGATCCAAAGCAAACGAAATCAGTGTATCTGTGCTACCATGTTTAAAGCAGCTCAACCAACAACAGCTAAGCCATGGAACCAACACAGATATCCACCAACAGATGACTGGTTAAACAGCTAAGCCATGAAACCAACACAGATATCCACCAACGGATGACTGGTTAAATATCTAAGCCATGGAACCAACACAGATATCCACCAATGGATGACTGGTTAAACAGCTAAGCCATGGAACCAACACAGATATCCACCAACGGATGACTGGTTAAACAGCTAAGCCATGGAACCAACACAGATATCCACCAACGGATGACTGGTTAAACAGCTAAGCCACAGAATCAACACAGATATCCACCAAGAGATGACTGGTTAAACAGCTAAGCCATGGAATCAGCACAAATATCCACCAACAGATGACTGGTAAATGAAAATGTTGTACATAAACACTGTGCAAGACTACTCAGCAGTAAAAACAAACAAATAAATAAAGGATGAAATCTGGTCTCTTGCAACTAAGTGGAAGTAATTGGAAACCACTGCGCATTGTGAAATAAGATAGTCCCCAAAAGGCAGATACTGTATATTTGCCATAATCTATGGTAACTAATTCAGAGACTAACAAAAAAAAGTAATCTACAAATACGAGAGAGGCACTGAGAGATTTGAACAATGTGTACAGCCTTTACTTACACACCTACTAAAAAGATTTATATTTTTTTTACAAATTTTTGTGTGCTATTTTTCTCCATCATTTGATACTATTCCTACTTTTTAATTGTCATGTCACATAATAAAGTGTTAAACAAATGAAAAATTTCGATATTAAAAAACAACTCTAATGGCACAAAAACATGTAGACCGATGGATTAGGAAACCGACAAATGAATCCACCCATCTATAATAAGCTAATAACTTACAAAGGAGCCAAAATCAATACTGGGAGAAATAACTACATCTTCAACAGCTAGTGCTAGAAAAAATGAGTCTAAATAAGATCCCCCTGCCTTACACCTTTTAAAATAACCCAAAATGGATCAACTTGCTAAATTATAGTCCGACACCCTCAAACTACTGAAGAAAATCATAGGTGAAATCGTGAGACATTGGAGCAGGCAAAGACATTCTCTATAACAGACTCAAAAGCACAGGCAATAAAGACATGAATAGACAAATGGGATTAAATCGAGCCAAGGAGCATCTGCACTGCAAAGGAAACACTCTACAACATGAAGCAACCAACAAGATGGAAAAAGATGTGCAAACTATGCAATAAAGGATCAATATCTGGAATCTCTTAAGAGTATAAGAGACTCAACCACAAAACGAAATAACCAGTTACCAAATGGCAAAACATGAATAGACAATTTTCAAAGGATGAAATTCAGGTGGCCAACAGACACATGAAAAAATTGTCAGGTTCACTGGGCATCAAGGGAACGCATGTTACAACCACAATGAACCATTATTACCTCATCCGAGTCAAAGGAGTATAATCTGAAAACCAAATAAATACATAAATGCTGAAGACAATGTAGGAGAAAAGGTACTCTAATCCACTATTAGTGGAAATGTAATCTAACACAACCACGATGGAAGACAGTATGGAAACCCCTCAAGTATCTGAAAATACATATAGAATAGCTGGTATCAAAATAATCCACATGCCCATCAACTGATGGCTGGATAATGAAAATGGTATACATATGTACTATAAAATACTACTCAGACGTAAACAAAAAACACCTTCTACAACAAAATTAATTCAACTGTAAATCATTATACTTAGTGAAACAAGGCAATCTCAAAGTGACAGATATGTTTTCTTTCACAAATGCAATTAACATATAAAAACACAGAAATAAAATGGTCACTTAGGGATGTAACTATCATTGTCAGCATTTTTATGCTCATAAGGAACTCTGATCCTCTTAAGTTTTACTTGTTTAGTATTATTATTAGTGATGCATTAAATCTGTAAATACAGAGTGGGTTAATATTATGTCTTTGAAAAAAACTGAATAACAGAGGGGGTTGGCATGGGTAACGGGAGTGACAGAAGTGTATCTGTATTCCTAGAACTACAGAATTAGAATGCATAAAATCTGTCTTTATAAAATGTTAAAATTTAAAAAGTAATTGTGATAACATTTTGAAAGTTTAAGCATAGGGGCAGGTACAGTGACATCAGAGGCTAATCTTCCACCTGTGGTACTGGCATCCCATATGGACACGAGTTTGAGTCTCTGCAGCCCCAATTCCTATGTAGCTCCTTCCATATCATCAGGGAAAGCAGTGAAGGACAGCCCAAGTCATTAGAATCCTGTATCCCTGTGGGAGGCCCAGACAGAAGCTCCTGGTTCACTCTGGTTCAGCTCTGGCCATTGCAGCCATTTGGGGAGTGAACCAGCAGACAGATCTTTCTGTCTCTCCTCTGCTCTGTAAATGTGCTTTTAGGCGGATCCTGTATGGCCACCCGGGACATGAACCGGCGCCCATATGGGATCCTGGTGGTTGCAAGACCAGGATTTTAGCCATTTGGCTGTCGTGCCAAGACCAATAAATAACCCCCTTTTTAAAAAGCTATTTTCATGCTGTTAATGTTTTAGCACACATAAACACTATGAAGAATATAGCCCTTCACTTTGATTAAAGCCAGAGTTTGCTGATGGGAGCGAGCACTGCACAACTGGCAGTATCAGTTAATACACCATGAAAGAGGCCAAGAGCAAAGAAGTTTGACCAGTGTGATATAAAGCTGTCACACAGCTGCTGGCCAGCCCTGTTGACATCCTGTCAACAAAGAGCTGGCAGAAACTGCTGTCTGCCTTCATCTTCACAGCACCAATCTGGTGCCAACAGATTTAGAACCTTATTTTTTATTTCATAAAATTACACATTACAGATATTGAAGATATTATGAGACACTCAAATGTTTCTCAGAGTCCTGTTGAAACACTAAACCCCACTGGGTACTGTATGCTGATTCCAGACACCAAAATTCTACCAACCTCTGGATCCTTCAGCCTCCGCAGCTTATTTTCCAGCGCTCTTTTCTCCTGCGATAACGATTCAAGATCACTCTGTATCTGTTTGTATTTCTAAAGAAAATTGTTATAATTTTATTAATAGCAAAAACATGTCAACATAGAAATGTTACCTGGCATATTTAATTAAAGCAAAAAGTCTTCTTTAACTTACAAAAATAATCAACTACTATCTGCATTTTGAAGCTGTTTTAGAGATTACAGGAGGTGAAGGAGTTAATAATGGCAGTGACTGCAGGAATCAGAAGACAAGACGACAGGACATGATAGTTGAAGATCCCCTAAGTGAGAGATAGCTAAGTGATAGGAAGATGTTGTAAAATGCAATGCATGGCAAAGCTTCTCAGATCACCTCAACACAGATATATTTAAAATAACCTGGGTAAGCATTTGACTTTTCCATTTTTCCTTTTTCTTGTGGTTAGACTTTCTGATCACTTCTGCAGTCTATTTAGAACTCAAGGGCAAAGTGCAAATCCAGATTGACAATGCTATACTTACAGCCTCCAATACACCTCGCTCTTTCATAGTTCTGAAACACAAATCAGAAAAAAAAAAAAAACAAACTCATGAAGTTTAAATTTGTGCTTTTTAGAACACAAATTTTCTCACAGGGTTTTGAAAAGATATGAAATGCACATTTGGCATGGCAGTTATTCTGCTGCTTGGGATTCTGAAATATCAGACTTGATTCAAATCCCTTTCACGCTCTGGATCCCAGCTCCCTGACACTGTCACACACAGCAGATGACAGATCAAACACTCCGGGTCCCAGGGAGAACCGGATCAAGTTCCAGGATCACGGCTTCAGTCTCACCAAGATCTGGCTATTAGGGGGATTTGGGGAGTAGACTACAAATTGAAATCTCTTCCTCTCTCTGCCCTTCAAGCAAAATTCATAAAATAATAGAAATAAGGCACAAGGGTGACAGTAATAAAGTTTCAGATTTTGGAGTATTCTGGCTTTCAGGAGCTCAACTGTTTATCTGACAATTTCTAGTGGACCATTCGGAATTTTCTACGAACAAGAGCCTGTCATCATAGAGGGGTTTTCCTTCCCACTCTGGACATTTATTTACTTTTTATCGGCAACTTCCGTGGTAGAAACCCCAACTATTAAAAAATTAAAGGAGTGGCACAATTATCCCGTCTTTTAAGATCTAAGAGAACCAGCGTTTGTCTTTCAGGATGAAGTATTACATTTGCTGTAGATCCTTTGGAGATGGAATATGCCAAACTGAGTCTAGAAGTCTGAGTCTAGAGAGATGATGAGGTGAGATTTCTATTTGAAAAAAATACTAAAAACCAATACCACGCACTACATTTAATAGACATTTTTAAAACAAATTTGCTGTTCTGGTCCATATGTTCACAACGTGTAATCATTTTACATGTTGTTGAGTTCAAATTTTGAGACTTTTATTGGGTATCTTTGTATTTATATTCATAAATTCTATTGATCATTTTTTGTATGAATCAGTTGAGGAGTATTATCTCTTCTATTTTGGGTAACAATTTAGAATAAATGGTGCAAGGATATGGCAAAAGATAATGCCTGCCTTTGTGGAACGGGAGCAGCTGGCAGCTTCCTTCTGCCCTCATGGAGCCAGAACCTCCAGTGCTTTGCTCTCTTCCATGAGCCCCGGGGTCTGGGGACTCACAGGGGCTGTCAAAGTGGGCCTGAGATCATACACATGTTTCCATTCCAAAGGTGGGTGTGAAGGGGAGAAGGGAAAGGCCCCAGACGGGCACGGGGTGCCTGTGGGCTATGTCTGAGGTCTCAGGCATGCACTGTGTCCCAAGAGAAGAGATGCCAGGGTCCCATACATGCATGCATACCAGAAGACTGGTCTGGGAATCCTCATAAACTTAGTTCCCTGCTAATCAACCTAGGAAAGCGGTGGAAAATGGCTTATGTCCTTGGTCTCCTGAACCCTCATGGAGATCAGGACAAAACTCTGAGCCCTGGCTTCAGCCTGGCACCATCTGGCTGCTGCTGCCATTGGACAGTGAACCAACAGATCAAAGTCCTGTCTCTATGCCCCCCTCTCTCTTTAGCTTCACCTTTCAAATAAATGAAATATTTTAAAAATTACACATACACTCATAAGAATTGTATTACAATTCTCAAATTTTAATAGAAGTCATACTTAGCATATCTGTAAAGGAAGATTTATTCAACTATAAAAAGATTACAATCCTGTCTTTTGCAGCAAAATTGGTAGGAATGGAGGGCATTATATTAATTGGAGTAATTAAAAGAAAGACAAATATTTCATGCTCTCCCTCCTCAAATGTGGAAGCTAAAAAAGGGTCTGAGCCCAGAATAGTGTTACCTAGAAGTAGCAATAGAGGAAATTTGTACAACAGAAACATCACAATTAAAAAGAATAAGTTTCTAGTGTTACACGGAATTGATGGCTGACTACAGTTAAAATATGTAAATTATAATATATTTCATCAGAAAATAAAGGACAGGCGTTCCACAACTCTAATCATAAAGCAATCACAAACAGGAGAAAACGGCAACTACCCTGATTTGATTAGTATGCACCGTATACACGTACATATATGTGTGTTAAACTGTACCTTGTATATATTTTACACTTCAAGCTAATGTTTTTAAGAAAATGGAGCTTTAAAATTTACCTCTTCCACATATTTGAGTGCTTTTCAAATATCTCCAACATCATATCCAACTTAGTTGTCATTGAATAAGCAGCATCTGTTGTTTAAAAACAAGAAACAATTTAAGTTACTACAAATGACTGCCGTTACTCCATGTACCACCTTTAACACACTCTGGCAGATGTGAAAAATAAGCAAGCATAACGGGGTGGGTACTTGGAGCCTGTATCAAGACGCTGCTTCTATATGATGCTGTATTCGATGGTTTCTGCTAATGCATACCCTGAGATGTAGTAAATAATGGCTCAAGTACTTGAGTCCCTTCTGCCCGTGTTCAAGACCCAGACTGAGTTCTCACAACCTGCCTTTGCCCTGGCCTGAGAGATTCAGGCAGTGGGTCTGTCTCTCAAATAAAAATGAAGAAACAAAAATTTAGAAAGATCAGATGACAGGCTCATGTGAGAACCAAAGAAGAATGCTAATGATGAGAACAGCTCTCATTTTATTAAAATACCTGTCATGGTCAAGTCATTACATTAGTAATAATTATTAATAATCAATGACTAGCATTGATTATCTTATGTCTGAAAAAAATAATAATGTGATATCACTATTGTCAAATCAGGCTGAGAGAAAATTATATGACTGTGTACCTGATAAATATACAAACTGAACATATCCTTATGACAGAACACATCACAGAACTCTGTGATGCTCAAGAAAAACGGCTTCCTTTTCTATTACCAGAGCAAGGACACTATGGGAAGAACTTAGCTAACCTTGTGAAGGTATCTAATGCCACAAACACCTCACAAGTAAATTTAAGATGGTACCAAAATGGAGCCAACATAACAAGGATCCATGATAACTTTATTCCACCAAAAAAAAAAAAAGTTGCATAGAAGGATACATTCAAATGTTTAGAACATAAGAAGATAAAGAAAGAGGTTATTCCACGGTCAAAATCAATGAATGCTAAAGTGAATGCATTTCCATGAAAATCCAGAAACAGATGACGACAGCCACAGTCTTCACTGCTATTCAATGTAGTTACAGAAGTTTAACCAGAGCCATTAGGCAAGCAAAACACCAAAAATCAGAAAAATACAAATTGTAGGGCCTGGCGTCATGGCCTAGCGGCTAAAGTCCTCACCTTGAACGCGCAGGGATTCCATATGGGCACCAGTTCTAATCCCAGTAGCTCCACTTCCCATCCAGCTCCCTGCTTGTGGCCTGAGAAAGCAGTCGAAGATGGCCCAAAGCTTTGGGACCCTACACCCGTGTGGGAGACCTGGAAGAAGTTCCTGGATCCTGGCTTCGGACCAGACGGGCATAGCACCGGCCGTTGCTCACTTGGGGAGTGAATCATCAGACAGAAGATCTTCCTCTCTGTCTCTCCTTTCTCTGTATATCTGACTTTCCAATAAATAAATAAATCTTTAAAAGAGAAAAGAAAAATATAAATTGTAAAGTATGAGGTCAAACAATCCCTGTTCATAGATAACATGAAACTCCACTAATGCTTGGCAAAGTCACAGGTCACAAAATCTACACACAATAATCAATATTGCTGTTGATGGAAACAACACCTTGACCGAGCCTGAGGTTCACATTACAATAAAAATATCTTAGAATAAACTAAACCAAGAATATGAAATATCTCTATGGTGCAAATTATAAAACATTAAAGAAATAAATGGAAAGCACAAAAATGGAAAGATCTTCTATGTTCATGAATTGAAAAAGTTAATATTATCAAGATACCCATTCTACCCAAAACAACTTATATATTCAAAGCAGTCCAAGATCTAAATACTACAATGGATATGGAAATAGAACGTAAATAATGAAATCAATCTATCACAACAAAAACAGAAGCCAGAGATAGCACAACATTGTATTTCAAGACATACTTTGGAGTAGTTTCAACCAAGATACGCTGGTCCTGGGACAAAAATAGACATGCAGACCAGTGCAAAATGATGGAAATCTCAGAAATTAATCCACATATCCACAACCAACTTCTCACTGGCAAACAATTAAAACCATTCCCTGTAAAACCAGCAGTCGTCTCTTCAACAAATGGCGCAGTATGAGGAGAGAAATGCACCCTAAGAAATTGTTTGTAATGTAGACTAACAAAACCTAATGAAAGACAGCATGGAGATTCCACAGAAGAAAGAACAACCTTTTCCTTCTCTTTAATTTCTTCTCCTTCAGGAATCCATAACATGTAGAAACGATTTCCTAAGAGTGTCTCATTTTTCACATGGGCTCTCATCATTCTTTGTGTTTTCCTAAGTTTTAACTGAGGGTTATCCTCCAGACTGAAAAATAAATAAATAAAAGCCTTTACTCTGCTTCATCGATTCTGCTGTTGAAGCTTTCAATTGCTATTTTTTATGTTGATTGAAGTTTTCACTTAGAATTTTTTAATGATGTCTTTTAGTGAATTTCTCATTAAGGCAACACATCTTCCTTCTTTATCAAGCTCCTTGAATTCTCTTGCAGTTGAGGATCTTTATTTCAGTCATTTCACAGATTCATGTCTGGCAAGTTATTCTTTCACAAAAGTGTCATGGTTTCTTGCTCTGCGCTTGCATCTCCACATTGACTTGTGCACAGTTCGTGCGATGATCCCTCCTTTGCGCCTTCTTGTTGTAACAGGAGGTTCTTTTGTGCTTAGAGAGGATTCAAGTTATAACTTAGCTTTTTTGCGCTGACTTTGTTGTTGACTTCAAAAGATTAACCACGAAGTAGATACAGAAGACTCTGAAGCTGATGTGGATCTCGTAGTACAAGCCCCAAAGAGTTGAGGTTCACAGTAGGTGGGGCATCATTCTTGGTGCTGAAGGACACCAAAGGGCTTTTCCCCCTGTCTATTGAGTAGGTCTAAATGATGCTGGAGCTCGATGCTATAATAATTGTGGCTGTAATTTTTTTTGTGCAGAGTTGGCTAGGAGATGGTGGCAGGTCCTGTGATCCATAGTCCCAGAAATCCTAGTCTCAGAATTGAGGCATATGGAGGAAACTTAATGATAAATCTACAGTGCAATGTCAAGATACAGTGGTGATTTTTTTAAAGTTTATTTCTTTTCATTGGAAAGGCAAAGATCTTCCATCCACTAGTTCCAGGCTTATTTAACATGATGCACTCTTTTTATATACATTTTGCTCTAAAAGAATTTTATTCTGTTTTATATTAAATAGCATTCCATTTTTTTCATATCCCATATTTTCTACATATATTTCTTTAAACTGCCCCTCTCATAATGGGCAATTTGGTTGATTCATTTTTTGGCTATTGTGAGTAAGGCTGTAATGAATGGGGTACAGCGTCTCTGGGACACAATGATTTCGTGTCTTCTGGATTATGGATTTCGTGTCACTGCTGAAAAGATTCAGCAGTGGATTTTTTTTTTATTTACCATCATGTAATGTTACCATTATTCACTTTAAAACTGAAAGTCTCAGAGTGTTAATATGTTTAGGAAACGCTATAAAATCTAAACATGGGCCCGGCGCGGTGGCGCAAGTGGTTAAGTCCTCGCCTTGCACGCCCAGGATCCCATATGGGCGCCGGTTCTAATCCCGGCAGCCCCGCTTCCCTTCCAGCTCCCTGCTTGTGGCCTGGGAAAGCAGTGGAGGACGGCCCAAAGCTTTGGGAACCTGCACCCGTGCGGGAGACCCGGAAGAGGCTCCTGGCTTCGGATCGGCATAGTATCGGCCCGTTGCGCTCACTTGGGGAGTGAATCATCGGACGGAAGATCTTCCTCTCTCTCTCCCTCCTCTCTCTGTATATCCGCCTTTCCAATGAAAAAATAATAAAAATAAATCTTTAAAAAAAAAAAATAAAATCTAAACATACAAAATCGTATTACCTTCAATTTGATGCTTTACCGTTTCATAGCTTTTCACAACTACAGGTGAATTTTCTGAATTCATGCTAAAATTTCAAAGAACAAAAGATTTCAATGTACCAAAGAATTAATTTAATTTAAATTCTATTTCAATAAGAATTAGAATGTAGAGATTTGTAAAATACAAGCATATTCTTTAGCTTTTATTCACAGATGTTAAGACAGGCATTTGGCATAGCACTTCAGATGCTTAAGATGCACATATACGCTTGTCAGAGTGCATAGGTTTGAGCCATGACTCCACTTACAATTCCTGCCAATGTGTGCCAGGGCAGGTGACAGATGATGCCTGAGGCCCCATCACCAATGTGAATGATCCAGACCCCCGTCCCCAGCCTGGCCCAATGCCAGCTGTAGTAATGACATAATGACAACTTAAACAGCAGGGAAAAAATCTCTCTTCCCGCCCCTTACTCATCTTTCTTGTTCTGCCTTGCCTCTGGCTCTCAAATCAGAACAAATTCTAAAAATAACTAATAATAAGCATAAAGATCACACTATTTAGTCTTACAAATTCAGTGTATTCCATGAATACAGTCAGATACACCAACTGAAATAAATTGGGTAGAAACATGAGATTTCTTTTCACTAATATGTAATGATGTGTGTGATAAGTATGCCAGTTCTGGTGTGAGCCTACCTGGCCCCAAACCAGCTTCATCCACTTACTAATATGTAAGCTGGGTAAGATTCTTAACCTTCTCACATTATCCATTTTCTCATCTATTAACAATGGGGTTGGTGCTCTGGCTAAGCCTCTGCCTGGGGTTTAAGAATCCTTCAAACTCTTGCAAGAAAATGTAGGAAATACCCTGCAAGACCTAGGAGTAGGTACCGACTTTCTAAGAAGGACACCAAAAGCAATAACAGTTGAGAACAGAATAAACAAATGGGACCTCATCAAACTAAGAAGCTTCTGTACAGCAAGGGAAACAATCAACAAAGTCAAAAAGCAACCCACAGAGTGGGAGAAGATCTTTGCACACGATATAGGCGATAGGGGGCTAATTTCCAGGATATACAAAGAACTTCAAAACAACCAAAAAACCAAAGCAAACAAACCACTCAAGAAATGGGCACGGGAAATGGGCAAACATTTCACAAAGGAACAAGTCCAAATGGCAAACAAACATATGAAAAAATGTTCCAGCTCCCTAGCAATAAGGGAAACCCAAATTAAAACATCGATGAGGTACCACCTAACACCAGTAAGATTGGCCCACATAAACAAGAACACCAACGACGCTTGCTGGCGAGGATGCAGGGAAAAGGGAACCCTACTCCACTGCTGGTGGAGCTGCAAATTGGTACAGCCTTTATGGAAATCAGTCTGGAGAACACTCAAACAACTCAAAATCTGCATACCATATGACCCAGCAATAGCACTCCTAGGAATATATCCAAAACACCTGTTTTACGACAAACCAACATGCATCCCTATGTTCATTGCAGCACAATCAGTAATTGCGAAAACATGGAAGCAACCGAAATGCCCATCAGCAGAAGATTGGATAAGAAAGCTTTGGTTCATCTACTCCATGGAATACTACTCAGCTATTAAAAAAAACAAAATGCAGTTCTTTGTGGCTAAATGGGCACAACTGGAAACTATAATGCTAAGGGAAATGAGCGAATCCCAAAAGATTAGATACCACATGTTTGCCTTGATTTAACCTGTAATTTTTTGTTTGGTCGTTTGTTATTTTTTGAACCTGTCATTGATACTGTCTCAACCCAGATGTTTCGAAGAAGGGAACTTGCATTATTTTTAACATATTGTTTACCCAATACTATGTCAATTAATTCCATAATGTTGTATATTGATACTGAGGCCTTGTTGGGGCTTTTAACTGACTGGATCTTTACTCTGTTAGACCTATCTTCAGACCATAGAAGGTCTCCCCAAGTGGCCACTGGACTTATCTGGTCAATAAGACGCTGAACTTTATGCTAGGCATGTGTTTGCAAGCAATGAATCTCAACTGAACTTGAACTATGGTTATGCAACAAGGTGGAGGAATCCACCATGGGGAGAGGGGTATGGGAGGGGTGGGGGGGAATCCCCAGCGCCTATAAAACTGTACTACATAATACAATGTAAGCAACAATAAAAAAAAAAAAAAAGAATCCCATATGGACACTGGGTTATGTCCTAGCTGCTCCAATTTCAATGCAGCTTCCCTGTTTATAACCTTGGAAAGCATCAAAGAATGGCTTAAGTACTTGGGTCACTGCACCCATATAAGAGACCCAGAAAATACTTCCGAATCTTTGGTTTTGAATCAACTCAGCTTCAGCCGTTGTGATCATTTGAGGAGTATACTAGTGAACGGGAGATCTCTCTTTCTCTCTCTTCCTCTCTATTTCTGTCTGTCCTCTCTATACCTCTGCCTTTCAAATAAAAAAAAATCATTTGTTTCTAAAAATGGGGTGTAATAGTAAAGTTTTCTTAAATATTGATCAATATAAAAAGAGATCATATAAGCAAAGTTACTTTTAAATACTCAATACATAGCAGACATTTGAGTATTAAGCATTACTATAGAATCTAAAGTTAACTCTATGCCTCCTAGTAAACAATTCACATGAATGAATCTGATCCTCTGAACCAAGCATCTAGTTTTGCAATCCCAAGGAAGCCAATTCAAGCATCAATCCATTCATGTCCTCAAGTCCAGTAATTAGCAAATAGATATAGCATAAATTGGACTATGAATAAATATAGCCCTTCTCATTCATGTGTACTTTTACCTTAAAATCATAAACGATTTTACATAGGTCTTATTAACATCCTTTTTTCATGGATGTAAAATAATCAATGTTGTTATATATAATTTTTTAATGTCTATTTTTATTTGGAAGGCAAAGAAAAAGGGAGATGCTGTGAGTAAGACGGGAGACAGAGCTCAATCATCCATCCCATGACTCATGTCCCAAATGCCTGCAACCCCAGGGCTGGAACAAGCCAAATGCATGTGCCCAAAGCATCACCTGAGTTGCCCCAGGAGTCAGAAGCCCAAAAATCTGAGGCATCCTCTGCTTCCTCCCATGAGGCATTAACAGGAAACTGGACCAAAAGCCAGGATTCCAACCAACAATCTAAAATGGGATGTGGTCATCTTAATGGCAGCCTAACCTGTTGTATCATGGCCCTTGCCCAAACACATGCAATTTTTTAAGAAAGATGTTAAACACTGAATACATATTCAATTCCATGTAAAATAGTTTCTCATTCACTTTTGGGAGGCATCCAATCAACTGAGAAGAGTTTACAAGGCACATATTTCAAAGCCAGCAATATTTTATACTAAACACAAATACCTACTACTAAGTCCTTAAAATGTGACTGGCATGACTCAGAAGCTGATTTTACGACCTAAAATTGATTTTCATAGGCCTGTGTGGCTAGTGACTACTGGACTGGATAGCGCCACCTTAGAGCACGAACATCTTTTAAACAAGGCCAAAGTGACTAGACCTGATCCTATTTAGAATACTTATGCATCAGCACAATATCTGACACAGTACCTTATATTTGGTAACACCTGTTTTACCTTATATTTAGTAACACCTGTTTAGAAAACACCTGTTTTTATTTGTTTGTTTAATTTTTCTATTTCACTTACATGGGTACAGATTCCTGCCAAGAATGCCTTCTAGGTTCATCTTCATTCTGCAAAATGTGTGCAGTGCTTGGAGTGACTGGCTGATTAGCTGCTGCAAGTTCTAGAAGAGCTGGATCTTGACTTAGGATCTCCTGACCTTGTTCCAATTCCTCAAAGAAATTTCATGACTTCATTTATCAAATCATAGTATTTTTATATCATCTACATCTAGGGTCAAATACTGATATATTATACAAACCAAAGTACATAAGCAATTACAAATCAACTTACATAATCAATTTTCAGTAAAATTACACCTACTGATGACTTTCACATGCCAAATTTGAAATCCAACCCTTTGCTTATTATTTCAATAAACTGACATTTTAAGAAAGTTTGGTAAGTGTAACAAAATATTTAAGGGAGGCCAGTATTATGGCAGTGTGCATTGAATCATTTCTTGCAATGCCAGCATCCCATGATTGCTGGTTTGAATTCCAGCTGCCCTATTTCCAATACAGTATCTAAATAATGTGCCGGGAGAGGGGCAGACCCTGGCCCAAGTTCTAAGGTCCAAACAAGCCACAAGGGAGAACACGTGGAATTCCAGACTACTATCCTTGGTATAGCCCAACCATGGCCGTTTCTGCCATTTAGAGAATGAACTGGCAAATGAAAAATTTCTTCGTCTCTGCTTCTATCTTAAGTTTCAAAGAAACTAAACCATTGAAAGCAAAACTTTTAAATATATATATATAACAAATTATGAAATACTTATTTGTCCTACGTTCCTTACATCATACGATCATACGCTTTAATAAACTTTGCTCCCTTTTTAAAGAAACGTATTGGTTTGAGTTAGAGAAAAGAATAGATGAAGACAGAAGAGAGATCTTCCATCTTCTGGTTTACTCCCCAGATAGCTGAAATAGCCAAGGATAGGCCAACCAAGCCAAGAGCCAAGAGCTTCATCTGGGATTCCCACAAGGCTGGCCCAAGCACTTGGGTCATCTTCTTCAGATTTCCAAAAACATTAGAGACAGATGGGACATGGAACAGCTGGTGCACAAACTGGCACCAATATGAGATGCCTGTGTCACAGGCAATGGCTTTACCAGCGATGTCACAATGCCAATCCTAGTAGCTTGCTATTCAAGGCTAATAGTTGCCACTAACTCCAAATGTTTCACATTTAAAGGTTATGATCTGAAAATCATCCGTATGAGTTTTTCACTCACTCTGTAACAGATCAACCCTGAAAATAAGGGATAATCGGTAATATTCAGAGAGTAAGATAATACGCCATATTTAGTATTCTATGTAAAGGTTCTTCTTAAGGGGAATTTAGCAAAAATCAGTGTCAAAAAGCCACAGTGAAGAAAACCTAGGAGCAGTCAGTATGCAAAGACATATGTATGAAGAATAGCAACTAGAGTCAGGCGGGTTTGATAGAATACCAGATAATCAATCATGTAAACACCTCCAACACTTATAACAGGAGGAAAAGCTAGAGAAAAAGTCAAGAAACATTCCTAATACCTAGCAAAGAGAAATTCTAGAACCAAAAATTTAAAACACAGATTTCATCGTAGTTTTTGGAATAGAATATGTACATAATTCCAAGAACCATCACAAATGGTCCCAATGGCCACAGTTCGGCCAGGTGAAAACCATGATGCAGAAGTTTGAATCAGGTCTCCCGTGTGGATGACAGGGGCCTATGCATTTGAAATACCCTCTCTCTTGGCTTTCCTAGGTCTTCAGCAGAGAGCTGGATCACAAGTGCAGCAGTCAGGACATGAACTTGTATCCATAAGGGAGGCCAGCACTGCATGCAGCTTAGGCCACGATTTCAGCCCTGATTTTTTTCTTTTCATTAAGCTGATACACTGCATTTCCAAATAGAGATTTTAACAAAGATCGAATAGAGCTAAAGGAACATGGAATATTAGGATTAGAAAGCAGAACACTTCACAGAGACTTCTGGGGTGCTGGTTTCAAAACAACCTTGAGAAGGCTATGCTCCAACTTCATTCTGCATTTCTCTGATGCATGTCACAGAATATCCCAAAGGTTCAACATGCATCACTGTTAACACAAAGAGCACTCAGTGATTCTCAAATATTAGCAGACATAAGAATCCCCTAAGAGCACCTGCGAAAGGGGCAGATATGCAAACATGTCTAAATTCATAAATGTTCTTTATATCAGGTATACTATGTGAAATCTGAGCATGATGCAACAACATTATAATACACATTCCTTAAAATGCAAAAGGTAACACAACTGCTTTGGTGATGTAACTCACATGCAATATTAAGAAAATACTCAAGTAACTAGTAAAAAAAAAAAAAAGCAAATCCTGCAATTGAAATTTCAGCCAGGAGTCATCTTGGGGATTACAAATGTATGAACTGGGACATCAGGCATACTGGCAATGATGGAACATAGTACAAAGGCTTGCACAGCACATGCAGAGTGACGTGTACACATTTGATTGCTATGTATGAGGTGGAATCCACAATCTGCAAAGGGAAGACTGAGCAGTGGGCATAAACAGAGAGGAAAATGTCAAGAATGGCTATCCAACTGGATAAAAGTATCGTTACCTGGGACAAACAATATTAGAAGGTTGGAGAACGGGGAATACGTAAGAGAAAATTACCAACGCTACTGAGAAGGAAGAGGTGACAGACTCCAAAACATAACTGGGTAGGCACAGTATCTCCATTTGAATTCGATCATGGGAAGAAAAGAATAGACAACATATTGGTAATACAAATGAAGGAGTACCAACCATCAGCTTGGCTGAGAATGAAGACAGAAAAGGAGAGGAAATAGGCTTTAGACAGTCAGTGGCTGACATGGGCTGATACCTTTTTCAGAAATGCAACAGAACTTGCAGGAAGTACTTTGGAGTAACTGTCTGTGAACTACTGTGTTACTTTACACACTAGTGTTTTATGGCGTAATTATAGGCCCAGAGGAAGCAAATTCCAGTTTATTCAGCTTATTTCTATTGGGTCCGATGAAAAATGAAACAAGTAAATATCAGGAAATCAAAATCACAAGGAAGGTCTTCAAGTTGATTAGAGAAACAGCTAAACAGGGCCCTGCGTGGTGGTGCAGTGGTTAAGGTCCTCGCCTTGCACGCCCTGGATCCCATATGGGCGCCAGTTCTAATCCCGGCAGCTCCGCTTCCCTTCCAGCTCCCTGCCTGTGGCCCGGGAAAGCAGTCGAGGACGGCCCAAAGCCTTGGGACCCTGCACCCACGTGGGAGTCCCGGAAGAGGCTCCTGGCTTCAGATCGGCATAGCATCGGCCATTGCGCTCACTTGGGGAATGAATCATCGGACGGAAGATCTTCCTCTCTGTCTCTCCTCTCTGTATATCCGCCTTTCCAATAAAAAAATAATAAAAATAAATCTTAAAAAAAAAAAAAGAAAGAAAAACAGCTAAACAGAATTCAAGAAAGTCTTGTAAACAAGAAATGGCCAGAGCAGTATTAACAGTACAGAAGTACACCACATAACACTTCAGTCATAGACCTCAGTGGTGGTCCAATGAGGTTATATCATCCAGTGATGCTGAAGGAATCTTAGTTTTTAAAGTACACACTAAAAATCGCCTAATGACACATTTGTCAGAGTGTATCTTTGCCATTAAGTGATGCACAACTATAGTTGGAAAGCTAGAGAATTACAACGCAAGCATGACTTGCCTGGGTAGGTGTTTGCGCAGTAGCTGAGACAACAAGCCTGCATCCCACATTGCAGAACTTCGGTTTGAGTCCCAGCTCTGTTCCCGAGTCCAGCTTCCTGTTAATGTGCTCCCCAGAGGGGCACAGTGGTGGCTCCAGGGATCTGATTATTGCTAATAGCCCATGTTTTTACTGCTGAGGAAGATCTGATTGTCTACTTACCACTCATTATTTAGTGGGGAATTAAGCTTTCAAATAAAGAAAATTAATAGCATGGCAATGTAAAAATTAAAAGAAAAATGCTAAAGGAGAGAAAGATTAAAGGAGGGAAAAGATAGGTGGGAAATAGTATGACGTTCTTAAAACTGTATATTCAAAATACATAAAATGCGTTGCCTTTATACAAGAAAAAACTTTCTCCTCTTTCTCTTTGTTTCAAATAAATACTTAATACTTAACTTATATTTCAAATAGTAAGTTGGGCCTGGCGGCATGGCCTAGCAGCTAAAGTCCTCGCCTGGAATGCACCGGGATCCCATAAATGGGATCCCAGCAGCTCCACTTCCCATCCAGCTCCCTGCATGTGGCCTGGGAAAGCAGTTGAGGATGGCCCAAACCCGTGGGACTCTGTGCCCTTGTGGGAGACCTGAAAGAACTTCCTGGTTCCCGGCTTCGGATCAGCACAGCACAGGCCAATTCACTTGGAGAGCGAATCATTGGACGGAAGATCTTTCTTTCTGTCTCTCCTCTTCTCTGTATCATTTTATGATTCAGTTCCATAGGATCCTGGTATTTCCCTTATCCTAGCCCAAATTCCAACCCCTCCTTGCCTAGTTCCTCTATATCATTACTAACATATAGTTCTTCAGACTCAGTCATATGTCCATCATTGCAGGCATGGACAATGGCAGAGTCCAGAATCCTATTGTCAAGATATAGTAAACAGTTTCATTGTAAGTCCATCTTTGTCTGGAAGTACAAATGCATACTACATTGTATCCTCACATCTGGATATGTCAGCCTCCATTTCACAGCTACTGTATAGCCCTCAAATGAAAAGTCATATTACAAAATCAGCAATAGAAAGAAAAATAGACATTTACAATGCCATGAAGTTAAATGACATGTTACTAGATTCAACAGTCTCCATTACACAGCTACTATACATCCCCTTAAATGAAGAGCCACAAAACAAAATCAGTATCAGGAAGAAAAAAGAAATTAACAACACCATGAAGTTAAATAACATGCTACTAAATGACTAACGTGTAGCTGAAGAAATGAAAATCACAGAACCTTCTTGAAGAAAATGATGCCACTGTATGATCTATGAGTCACTGAATGCTTTAAACAGAAGAAAGTGTTTTGAAGAGATGAAACCAACAGAAAACATCAAAACCCATGTGACAGAGTTTCCACTGATTTTTGTGAAGTGTGTCTCTTCTAGACAATAAACAGATGGGTTTTGTTTTTTAATCCAGTCTGCTAATCTATGACATTTGCTTGAGCTTAAGCCATTTACATTCAGAGTTAATAAATATGGGTGGTACTTTAGTGCTGTCATTTTAGGAATGGGTTGCTCATTGGTTTGGTCTTCTGTTGCCATTTTACTGGGATGTTCTTCCCATTTGCCTTTGGTTTTGGTAGGTGCTATTCCTCTTCTCTGTCAAGAGAACATCTTGAAGTATCATTTAGTAGGACAGGTTTGGAAGAAGCAAACTCTTCTAACTTTTCTTTAGTGTGGAAGAATTTCATTTCATTATCAAAGACAAAAGAAAGCTTTGCTGGGTATGTTATCCCAGGCCAACAATTTTTTTTTTTCTTTTAGAATCTGGAATATGTCACCCCATTCTCTTCTTGCCTGTAGAGTTTCCTGTGAGAGATCTCCTGTGAGTTTAATTGGCATTCCTTTATATGTCAATTGATTTTTTTCACGTGCATATTTAAGGATCTTTTCCTTATGTTCGATTGAAGAGAGCTTGATTATCATGTGTCTTGGTGAAGATTGCTTCTGATCAAGCCCGTTGGAGTTCAGTGCCCCTCCTTGTTGTTGTTTCCCAATTCTTTCTCCAGATTAGGGAAATTTTCCTTGATTATTTCATTAAATAGATTTGTAAAACCAGTTTCTCTTTCTGCACATTCTGGGACTCCCATAACTCTTCTATTTGGCCTCTTAATAGTGTCTTTCAACTCTTGAATACTTTTTTTTTTTTTTGGCCTAATCCAGCTCTGCTTCCAGCTTCTTCTTTGTTTCCCTGTGATGACAGGAAATAGCTTTCAATTCTGAGATTCTTTCTTCTGCTTGCTTCATTCTATTTTGGAGACTCTCCACTGTTTTTTTCATTTGCTCTACTGTGTTCTTAATTTCTGATATATCAGCCTTGATTTGCTTTATTGCTTTCTTAAATTCTTTGAACCCTTGTATGTGCTTCTCATTGTTGATCAGAAGCTTTAAAATGAGTTTTATGAATTCTGAGTCCCCCATTTTCTCGATGTCTTCCTCCATGAACTCTGAGGTTGGCATATGGCTTTGCTCCTTTGCAGGGGAGTTTTCAGTAATATTCATTGTGCCTTTGTCTCTTCTTTTGCTCTTGGTCATTGTACTTCTGGTTAGCAGAGTCTTCTCCTTGGGGCAGGTTTCTAAGCTCAGTCACCCACAGGTCTACAATGAGATTTTACTTATTGCAGTTGGTACATAACTCTTTGCTTCAAGCCACTTGTGCCACAACCTCCAGTGAGTTCCAGGTCTGGGTTCTCATTTTAGATTTCCACCAAGAATTCCATAGCATCAGCTCCTGGTTCACCACTCTCCTCTTCCTGTGATACCGTGCTTAGGCCGTACTGCTGTCTCTGCAACCTTTCTCCCACTTCCGGTTGGAACAGATCCCAGGATTAGAGAGACACCAGTCGTCCTATCTAGTTAGGTTGTTGGTGGCACTGATTTTGTTGGAACCTGTTGAACATTAGGTCTGGGTGCCACATCAACCTATTTTGACCCGTAAGATGCCACAGTCAGTATTATTTTCCTGCAGGACCAGTGCAATCCATGGAACTCAGTGAATTCTCGTGAGCTCAGCACATGCGCAGTTCATTGTTGTCTCCTGAAGTCCCAAAGCTTTTGCCACAGTGTACAAAATGGCGCCTTACATGCCACTACTAGAGTTCTTGATCTGCTGGCTGTCAGATCTGAGGGCTACCCAGACCTGTCTTGGGTGGAACCTGTAGAACGCAAAGTTGATGCAGTTCACTGAGTCAGAAATGAGTTCACTCCCAGCTCAGCGCACGCACGCTCAGTTCTTTCCCTTGCCTTTGCCTCATTAAGCAAAATTGTGCCCAATTTGGTTGTAGGGGGCTGACTGGGCTGTGAAATTCAACCTGTTCTTGCACTGCCCGTCTGGGATCTGCTCCTCTGTCTCTGCTCCTGGTCAAATCAAACGGACCAGCAAGACAGATCATTTTTTGGGTTCACCTCCCAAGTTTCCAGTTAAAGTCCCTTTCCACCTGGTTGTTGGTGGAGTTCCCGCTGCTGGTGGAGTTGAGAGTGCCGTTAGCTAAATGCTGCTGGAGTATCATTCACTGCAACACCACAGCTTTGTGTCCGCTGCTTTCCTGTGTCTGTCAGTCTCCAGGTACCCCTCTGCTGTTGTTCTGTCCTTTCCTATTTCCTGGAATGTGTCCTCTCTGCTTCATCCTGATTAATATGGCCTTACCCTATTCCACTATCTTGATTCTCCCTATTTACCCTTTAATTTAAATGCTTTAAGAGATGAATCTCTTTTCAGTGAACAGTCTCTGCAATACATAATTGTTTAATCTGAATAAACACATGCACAGCCAAGAGAGAACTGCAATCAAACTGCAAATCACCAAAACTATTCTGAATTATTCTGTCATATTAACAGCATATACAGTGAAAATCCCTAAGGACTAAGGTCAATAATTTTCAAAACTATGGCAACATACCTAAAATTAAAAATATAAAAGAACATCAGTAAAAAAAATAATATAAAGTTAAATATATACTTTTATATATGTGCAAGTATCATAAGCATATTTTTTTAAAATACAGGAGCATTTAAAAAACATTTATTTTTATTAGAAAGTCAGATATACTATACAGAGAGGAGGAGAAACAGAAAGGAAGATCTCTGTCTAATGGTTCACTCCCCAAGCGTCCACAATGGTTAGAGCTGAGCCAATCTGAAGCCAGCAGCCAGGAGCTCTTGGCTTCTGGCTGCATATTGGTTCTTCAATGCGAGTACAGGGTTCCAAGGCTTTGGGCCGTCCTCCACTGCTTTCCCGGGCCACAAGCAGGGAGCTGGATGGAAAGCAGGGCTGTTGGAATTGGAACCAGGGCCCACATGGAATCCAGGTGTGTGCAAGGCTAGGGTACCACGGTGGGCCCAGGAACAATTTTAAGATTGATAAATTATCTTGTCACTCTTCTACACGTTAAAAATCATTCTAAGTTTAAATTGTTCAACTTTAGGACAGAAAAATCTATCAATCATGGAGCATATCATATGAATGGTAATACATGGAAATTATTGAGAAACATGCTTTGCACTTACTCTTCATCTAAATTAAAAGATTTATGATCAATGCTCACATTTTTTTAAAATTCTACACACTTCAAACTGATTTTCACAAAAGTTAAAATGTTATTTAACAGTTAACAAATATAAAACTTACTTCATATAGCTGACTGACTTGTCCATGAAACCACTTTTTAAAAAGAGAAAAAAAAAGAAGCAATTAATAACGAGCAAATTTCTGCATATGAATGTGCATGCATTTGTGCGTTCTGTGTCTGTCACTCTTCACCTATCACGTATCCGTCCTAATCAGAACATCATTTACACGTCACAGTAAGATGAAGGTAATTTAAAATGATCAGTGGATTTCAGAGTTAGCCTCCCCAAAACATGAGCATCTTAGTCAGTAAGATGATTGCATTCTGCAAGCTGGATTCAATTCCCAGCTACAGCTCTTGACAACTGCTCTCCAACAGTGATGGTTCAATAAGCTGAGTCCCAGTCTCCCATGTAGGACACCTGGACTGAGTCCTACAGTTCAACCTAATCCCAGCTGCTGAAGGAAATGTGAGGAGAAAACCAGTGGATGCAATTTCTGTCTGTATGTACTTCTTTATTTTTCTCTCTCTCTGCATCTCAAATATTTGTTGTAACTCAGAAAATCAGAATTCATTTACATATTTTTCTCTATTAAGTTTCAGAATGATCAAATTGTAACACATTGAACGTACCTTAGAAAGAGATCCCAGAATCTGGAAAATAAAGATTTAAATAGCACATTTAAAAATAAAATTTCTCACATACTTAGTTTAGGGTTTTTTTTTAAATTTTAATCACAAACATGCACTAATTGCTAAAATAAAATTTTATAAATCTGCAGTGTATAATTACAATTTTATACCTAATGTTTGCAATCCATGTCTTCTAGACAACTTCTTCCAGAATAAAAAAATAATTTCAGGTCCCACAACAATTTGCATAAATCATTTTATTTTTTTTCTTAATACAAATAAGGAGTAAGATTTAAATGCCTCTCCTAAGTGCCTATCTGACAAGCACTAACAGTCTACAGAATCAGAAACCCAGACGATGGAGCCAGCAATGATCTAATCCTCTAGGTGATTGTTTTCATATTCAAAGTTCCAGGATCAATAGGTGAAATTATCAAAAAGAACAGACCTAAGCAAATGGGTTTGAAACCCTCTAGAAAATAAGCCGAAACAAACAAGAATCCATGAATGAAGCAAAATGCTTTCAGTTAGCTACAGGTTTGTAAAGCAATGTCCACTGAGGCATATTGTCCTGGATTAAACATCGTTCATTCTACCATGAAATGAGACTCTAATGTTATCCAAACCTCCCTTACTGTCTCTGTGAACCTGATGGAAAAAGTATAAATCCATTCAAACACTTTTTGTAGCTAGAGGGCAGTAGCTTTCTCAATGACTTTACCTCTTACGTTCAATCGTCTGAAAATGTTGTGTTCAGGAGAATGGTTCTGATTTACCATTTATGATGCTTGGGCGTTTAGGCATCCAGGAAGTGCATTTTGTTGTCATTAAATCAGGGAAATTCTCAGTAAAATTCCTATTGTGTCAAATATTTCTTCTATTTCTTATGCTCCTTATTCCCCCTTACGCTTCTTCTTTTCATTTTGCATACATTACAATATTTGTAACTTCCCAGAGATTTGGGATGTTCTCTAATTTTAATATATTTTAAAATCCTTTCTGTGTTGGCAACCTTGATTGAGCTATCCTCAACTTAACATTTGTTCCTTATTGGTGTCCAGCCCATCGGTAAGCCCATTAAGGGCTTTTTTCATTTCAACGTATTATTCTTTTTCTTTTTTTTTTTTTAACCTCCAGGAATGACTTACACTTGTCTCTTAGAAATTCACCTCTTCATATCACATCTATTTTATTCATGTAAACACTCAGCACACTGATTCAAAACTTAGCACACTGATCATATTGTTAGTCTGATAACTCCAAGAACCCTATCATATGTGAATCTAATTGGGATGCTTGAAAATCTTTCATATTACATTATCACATGTTACTATTCTTCATGATTTTTTTTTTGTCAGATCTGTGTTTCTTTTAAACTACCCTGCTTTGGAGTTCAGTTTATTACATGGTACCTCTCCTGAGTGGCCCTATTTGATTTCGCTCTGTTCATACATCAAGCATTGAATATGAAGCTAATGTTGCTGACAGGACATCACAGTGAAGTTTTAAAACTAATATACATGCCAGTTTAACAGAATACATACGGTATGTTCCTGTTTAACCGCTGATTCCAGCTGCGCTGCTAAATGTGAACAACACATCAAGAATGATTTCATATTCTCTTCAACCTTAAAGAACAGAAAAACATCATTTTACATTTATTTCAGACGGCATAGTCATACCATTCTATTTTTAACTTATTTACCTTTAAAAACTATTTGTTTTTGGTATAATTTAGGTTCTTTTTTTTTAAAAAAGATTTATTTATTTATTGGAAAGTCAGATACACAGAGAAAGGAGAGACAGAGAGGAAGATGTTCCGTCCGATGATTCACTCCCCAAGTGAGCGCAACAGCCGATGCTATGCCAATCCGAAGCTAGGATCCAGGAACTTTCTTCCAGGTCTCCCACGCGGGTGCAGGGTCCCAAAGATTTGGGTCGTCCTCGACTACTTTCCCAGGCCACAAGCAGGGAGCTGGATGGGAAGTGGAGCTGCCGGGATTAGAACCGGCGCCCATATGGGATCCCGGTGCATTCCAGGCAAGGACTTTAGCTGCTAGGCCATGCCGCTGGGCCCAATTTAGGTTCTTTCAATTAAAAAAGAACATAAGACTTGTGACTCAATTTCTATATCAGGAAATTCTCCCAAGGAAAACAGGAGGAAGACAGTATATTCTGGAGCGTGGCCTACCCATGCATCTACCCAGTGATAGTTCTGCTTGCCCACTCTCTTATGCAGCTGGAGCTGATCAAGCATTACAACCCTAAAAGCCTGCAATCCCTGAGTGTCACGCAGTGCATTGTATTCAAAATATCTCTACTAGACTCTGTGAACTTTGATTCTAAGCATACTTGCCAAGAGCTAGATACAGCCATTTAAGCTTGTCTAACAGGAAATATAAAATGCTGTGGGAACAGATTAAACATTTCATGATTTTCTTCTACTAGAACAGTGACTTATACACAAACCACTGGATGTTGAAGATGGCTGAATAGGGGAAATACCTGCTGATTCAGAGCAGGGGCAGAAGACAGAAGAAGGCAAAGGAAGTAAATAGCCAGGGACAGTGAAAGAGAAGTCTGCAGGGGGAAATCTGCCAGAAGAAAGAGAGGGCATGCCAAGCAGCATGGAAAGTGCAACCACACAGCAACAAGTGGGTACACAGCTCCTGAAGCCAAGCTGGAAGAGATCCCGGTTCTAATCCTGGCAGACCCACTTCCCATCCAGCTCCCTGCTTATTGCCTGGGAAACCAGTGGAAGACGGTCCAAACGCTTGAGACCCTGCACCCACATGGGGGACTTGGAATAGGCTCCGGGCTCCTGGCTTCAGATTGGCTCAGCTCCAGCCATTGGGGCTGCATGGGGAGTTAATCAATAGCCAGAAGATCTTTCTCTCTGTCTCTCCTCCTCTTTATCTATATCTGAATTTCCAATAAAAATGAAATAAACCTTTTAAAAATAAATAATAAATAAAATCCAACATCAAATCAGAAAGGTCATTCACCTGGACCAAGGGATGGTTCAACATAGCAAATTAATCAGTGTGATACATAGAATTGACAAATGGAAGAATAAACAGCATGTGATTATCTCATCCGATGCAGACAAAGCATACTACAAAATACAACATCCTTTCATTATTATAACTTCATGTAAGCTGGGTATGAGAAGAACACTTCTCCACACAAGACAAAATAGAAAAACCCCAAAACCACTACCGTACTGCATGGGAAGATGCTGGCAGCAAATCCAGTAAGATCTGGAAACAACCAAGGATGCCTACTTTGACACCACTGCTAATCACGAGTTCTGGAGGTTGCAGACAGAGCCAATTGGCAAGAATAACACTCAAGAATGTTTATGCATTTCCTTGGGATACTGAAAAGAACACAAAAAATACAGGTAGATTGAACTCCACAGAGCAAGCACTTAACAGATGAACCCACAGAGCCATTTGCACACCTAAGAGTTGAATGCTGGAAGGAGAGAGGCCTTCTGCTGACATAAAATCATGAAGCAAACCAAGTGAGCCTCTAACAGCCAGTTAGCCTGGCAGACACGCTGGGATGAGAACGGTTTCCAAAGCTAAAGTCCTAACTCCATCCAACCATTTTTTTTTTCTCCAACTGTGCCCTTTCCCACCTGAATGTTGCCAAGAAGGTGGTATAAAAATAGGTGTATTCACTAGATTGACACAAATTTAAAAGACTGTCAAGCAGCGATCTCTGATAATAATGAAAAGCCACTGGAATTCTCATTCACAGCTGGTGGGAATATAAAACTGTATGGCTATGTTGTGAAATAGTCTGGCCGTTGTTTGTTAAAGAAAACATATTTACAATGTAAGCCACCACTTCTGCTCTATTACCCAAGATGACTAAATAAATATGTCCTCATATAGACTTGTATATACTTCTAGAAAGCTGAGTCACGTTATCCTGTTGTTTGTACGGTGAACTGAATCAAAATGTCAAAATGATTTAAGAATAAATAATTACATCAGGAAGATTAAAGGCATATAATCTAGTGCTTAAGGAAGTGGTTAGAATTCTGGATCCCAGTAGGAATGTCTAGGTTTGACACTCTTCTATGGCCCCTGACATCAGCTTCCCATTGATGACACCCTGACAGGAAGTAAACAGTGACTCATAGAATCAAATCTCTCCCACACACATGGGGGGCCTGGATTGAGTTTCCAGTTCCCAGGTTTGGCATGGCCCAGACCCAGACATTTTGGGCACTTGGGGTGTGAATCCATAGATGGGAGTGCTTGCTCTCTCTTGCTTCCTCTTACCATTTTTTTAAATAGTGAAGAGGAATCATAGGAGGAGTCGGAGGATGAGCTGCCGGATAAGGATTCCGATGATAATTGGGATGAAGATGAGGAAGAGAAAGCAAGTGAGACTGATGAGGATGCCGAGGAAGAGGACGAGGAGGATGGTGAAGAAAATGGTGAGGGCAGAGATGGAGAAAGTGAAAAAGAAGTAAATGGAGATTCCGATTTAGATCCGGAGAATGAGAGTGAGGAAGAATGAAGCCTGCAGAAGCCAGCCCCAGACTGAGCGCCCATTGGCCTGCCTCGTGCTGTGCTGCCAGTCCGCCTGGGGAGATGGGCTGTGGGCCTGACCACCCAGGGCTGCCTGCATCGCCCAGGCCATAGCTGTGAGTCCCACGCACCCTGCTGTCCTGGGCACCCCAGACTCCTACTGTGTAAATAAGAGTGTTTCATTCAAATGTTAATAAACTTTGCACAGTAAATAGATACATTTTCTGCAATGTACGACACCAGTGTCCAATATATGGTATATTTTTATAATATAATATTCTAGTACATTTGGTTGTGTCCAGAATTAACCTCAAGCCTCATCCTCTTGGGCTTCGGGAGCCGGACTGTGGACAGGCTCTCCTCCCGGTGAGTCCAGTGCAGGACAGTACAAGCAGAACATTAAGTTTGTTACGTTTTCATAACATAACAAGGGTAATTGCAAGCTAGAGTCAAAATGATGGAGGTTTTAAGCAAACACCGGCCATGTTCCCCACACATCTCCTGTCTGTGGTGATGTGGCTTGAGTCAGGTGGAGCGTTAGAGTGCTTCCCCTGGAGAGCCACTTATTTTTTAAACTGCCATGTGAAATATTTTTTTAGAACAACATAAGAAAATTATGATAATTAATAATGAAAGAATTAGCCATATTAAGGATTTCTCTCAACTGCCGCTTGCCTATAACGATCACCACGTATAGAGCGAGGAGTGTGCCTCGCCTGCGACTTTTTCAACGTGACTGCTGCTTTTGAAGAGGTTTTCATTTTTATTTAAATTACTATTGGATCAAAGGACAATTGTTTATATTTTTTTCCTCTTTGGTTTTGGATATTATGGATAACCTTGTTGGAAGTTTTTTCCAAAGAAAATATTTTTATAATCCAATCATTTAACGTTTATCTTCTTTTTCATTATCCACTCTGGCAGTGTTAGGGTATCTGTTTATCTTAAAAAAAAATAATAAACCTGACTCAAGAGAAAAAAAAAATGTAAAATCACAGATCCAGTCTCTATCTGATTCTCAAATTTTCTTTTTAATACTAGATCTCAAAAATCAGACAAGAAGTCAACCTAATGAAAGGTTAATGTTAAACATGTCCAGGCCAATTCAATTCTAAGAGATGAGACATTCACCAGATAAAGAACAGGCTTATTACTATTTTTTTTAATGAAACAGTACAACACCATAATAGCTTCATATACAATGTTTGCAATGCAGTAAGTATATACCCTTAGGGAGAGCAAGCAATGGTTCAATGCTTGGGAGCCTGACAACCATGTGGTAGACCTGCTTGGGTTCTAAGACTCCTGGAGCAGCTCTGAGCATTCCAAGAACTAAGGCAGTAAATAATAGAAGAGGGTCGGTCTCTCTCTTTTTCTCTCTCTCTTTCTCTCTCACTCCTCTCCGCCTACACACACACACAGACATACACACAGACACATACAGACATGTCCTAATCACACCAAAAAAAGGAAGCAAAAATTTTAAAAATTTACAAAATATATGAAGATCTATGAAACCCACTCAAAAGACAAAAGGGTAGAAGCAGGTATTCAATACAGCAGTTTAGGTCACATCCCGTATCAGATTGCTGAATTCAATTCTTGCATTGCTTTCATTGTCAAAGTCCTACTAATAAGCACTTAGGGAAAAACAGGCAATGTGGTAAGAACTTGTGTACTGGCGCTTACATGGGAGAGCTGCACTAAGTTCCTGGCTTCCTGACTCTGCCTGACCCTGTCTCAGCTGCAGGAGGAACTCTGAGGGGGAGAAACAGTGGGTGCAAGATCTCTCGCTCTTGCTCTCTCTGCCTTTCAAAAACATACATCTTTTTTTTTTTTAATTACAGGTTGTAGTATACTGTCAAAAAAGAATTTCAAAAATGACATAACCATGCAAAGAAACATGCTGGTCACACAGATAATAGAATTAGCACAAAAAACCGCTTAACCTATTATTGGTAACATCGAAGAAATTTTAGGAAAACAGAAAAAATGAAGAGAAGGATGACAGTAGAAGATACAAAAAAACTTCAACTTCAAAACATGAACCAAAAGGTACAGTCCCAGGTTGAGAAAACTGTATCAAATATTTATCAGGTAGAACTTTATAGCATAATAGAAACCAAAAAAAAAAAATGGATAAGTGAACTTGAAAAAAGGCTTATACCATCCAAAGTAAAGCAGAGAAACAAGAAAACATTGAAATAAAGAAACATAGTATGAGGTACTTCTTACTAACCAAGAAGTCTTCGACATGAGTAGTTGGACTCACATGAAAAGAGGAAGGAGCAATAGTAACATATTTGAAGAAATCATCAGTTGAGAAGAATCAGTGAAAAAATTTGACAGACTCAATCGCTGGACTCAAAGCAGAATACATGAACACAAAATTTCACCCAGATATCTATCACCACGTCACTCAACACCAACGACTAAAATCTTGAAAACAGTCAGACAAGGCAAGGCAGGGGAGAAGTAATATAACACACACAAAGCAGCAGGGGCCAATGCGACTATACTGCTTTAAGTTTCACACATTAAAGATCAAGTGGTAATTCAAGATAAACCGTGATGTTTAAGATATACATTAAGTTTCCTGAGCAGACATAAAAAGTTTTATTTAAACAAAGAGTAAATAAACCAAAATACTAAAATGTGTATAAAAATGAACCAAAAAAAGAGAAAAGGAACAAAGGGGACAAAGAATATATATGTATAAAGTAACCAGGAAGACGATAAATTAACTAACATATTAGTTAATTAGTATTCTATTTGAACCAAATGACATGAGTTTAATAAGTAAACTCTACACCAATTAAAAGACAGATTGCCAGGCTAGATGAGCAAGCTAGATGAAACTATATGCTATTCAGGGACAGGCACAGTAAATATATGGTTATGAACACTTTGAAATATATTAATATTACAATGAGGAAACCCAGAAACTTTCCACCCAGATCAAGTACACTCTAAGAATTGTCCCAAAGACAAAATAACCGCTGTTGCATTGCTGGTACGTTAATGATGGACTAGACCCGTTCGCCTAATGTGCCCTCCTATAGCCAAAATACTCAGGGCGTAACATGATTTCCTTGGGTCACTGTGCAAAAAGAAACACAAAGAAAGGGCATTTTCCCCCAACACTCAAGGCTAAAGTTATTTTTAAGCACAGAGAAGAGTTAACCAACAAGCATGAAATCAAGAAAGGTTTATCTTTAAGTTTTGAAAGTAAGGTTGGCCTTAGTCTAGGATTTGAATATACATAGCAAGGCACCGAATCAACCTGCAATCAAAACTTACAATAAACATAGACATAAAACTCCCTAAGAAAAGCCAGATGACTGTGAAAAGTCTTGCCAAGTATGTATACTGCAACTGGATATTGAGAAATATGCAAAATCCATAAATAGGTTGAAAGACACAAACCATATAGTTGCCTTAACCATTGCATTACTTTAATGTACACAATAAAGATATGTTAAAATCGGATTATATTTGTTCCTTCTATTTTATCTATCAAGGTAGAAATACAAGACAACATGTTTAAAATGCCACAGAACACATGTACTGGGGCAACAGCCTGGCCCATGCCTACACTGGATATTTTTATACCCAGTAGGCAAAAGATACAAATATTCATTAATAAGTTACAAATATTCATTAATAAGTTTGAAGTAGTTTTAAAATGAAAAAATATAAGCATACAATTTTCAAGTCCCATAAGACAATTGTTTTGGTGGATGGGGAATTTATTCTCAGGACATTTATGAAGTCTAAAAGAAAATCTAGCTGTTTTCAGCATGAATATTTCTGTTTTAGTTACGAGTTCTCACAGGTACAGTTACCTCTTCCTGCTGAGGTCCTATAGCTGTTTCTTCTTCTCCTTCTTGAGTGTTTAACCCAAATGTTTCTTCCAAACTAGAAACAAGCTGCAAAAAAAAAAAACAAAACAAATTAAACACTTTTCATAATTTAAAATTGATTCTATTGTTCCAGGACTTTGTTCATATTAGACTTGCACATATTAAGACACTATTAAGACGTGACATAGGAAAAAAGCTTCATATTTTTCAACTTATATCTTACATCATCATAGGGCAACCAAGACATTCCTTGACACTGTTCCCCAGGAAAAAAATCCTCTTCATGAGTCTACCATTTCTGTGTTGATACCTACCTAAGAAGGCAAGATTCTGCCCAAGAATGGTTCATGGATTAGGTAAGGATTCCTCAATTGATGATTTCTTGTTTTCCTCCTCTAAAGGGAGTCATAAAAATAGAAATATGAACACCAAAAGTAATACATTTTTTTACATGAAGTTTTGTTGTTGTTTATTGGAAAGGCAGACTTTCAGAGAGAACGATCCTCATTCCACTGGTTCACTCCCCAAGTGGCCATAACAGCCAGAGCTGAGCTCATTTGATCCAAAGCCAGAAACTTCTTCTGGGCCCCTGACATGGGTGCAGGCTCCCAAACCCTTGTGCCATCCTCCACTGCCCTCCCAGGGTACAGGCAGAAAACCAATAGGGAAATGCAGCAGCCAGCACAAGAACCAGCACCCATATAGGATCCAAGCATGTGCAAAGCAAGATTCAGCCACTGATCCATTGTGTTGGGCCCTAAAAGTAATGTATTTTAAAGGAATTTTTTTAGCATAACCCAAGAAATGTGAACAGGCTTGTGGTTTGGATGTTTGATGTTACATTTCACATTCATGCTTTTCATTGCTCTTGTGTGATAATTGATGTATTTGCAGTTCAATTTTAGGTGACTATAAATAAAACACAAAGAAAGAGCATTTTTTTTCTCTCACTGCAAGCTGAAGTTGTATGAAATAAAAAAGCGGCTTTTGGTTTTGTTTTTAGAAAGATTTACAGAGAGGAGAAAAGATTTTTCATCCACTGGATCATTCCTCAAGTGGCCACACGGCCAGAGCTGAGCCAATCTGAAGCCAGGAGCCAGGATCCTCCTCTAGGTGCAGGGTCCATCCTTGACTGCCTCCCCAAGCCACAAGCAGGGAGCTTGAATGGAAGTGGAACAGCCAGAGCACAAACCAGTACCTGTGTGCAATCCGGGTACGTGCAAGGCAAGTACTTTATCCACTAGGCCACTGTGCCAGGCCCTGAAATGTTTACTTTTGAAAGCTCTGCTTGCAAGGTTGCCCTTCGTGTGGCATCTGAGAAGCTGAACTGCTGCAGGGTTCTACTCATCCACTGACAGGAGTAGCTTACCATCCCTGACGGCCTGTACTATGTAGTTTGTGCTCAATACTTGCTTTCCTGTTGGAGTTCTGGAACTTTGGTCAAGCAAGACAGAGTATACCATGACCCATCTCTACCAAAATCCTGGCCATGAGTTCCTAACGATTTTCTTTAGTAGACATTCCCCATGTGTTAACATAATTCATTTCTGGAGAAGTTAAACATTCATCACTCCGAAGGGAGAAGACTGGCAAGCCTGGAATTGCCTTCCTCCAGATTTCCCCCCATCAGTTACAAATCTCAAACACGGGTATTTAGTATACGCTGATACCCAACACAGGGATCAGTAATGGTCTCACCATGCCCAGACGTTTGGTGATCATCTTAATCTTTTCATCCTTCCCCAGTAGGTCTTGTGTCTTACTCGAGGGAATAGGCAAAGCGTATCGTAAAAGGGATTCTCCTGCCGGTGGAGATCTTAAGACCATGGGCTCAGCTTTGTCACACGCTAGTTTTCTATCACGTCGCTCTTTCAGTCTATGTGACAAGGGTGACTTCAGCAGCCCTTTTTGATACATCAGTTGCGGAACATTTGCCCAGGTAGAACTTGCAGACATTATGTGCTTGGACGGCTTCATTTCCCTGTGGACTTAGCTTCCAAGTTGCAGATGAAAAAATCGAAGTCCTCCCTGCAAATAAAACATAAGAGAAAAAAACAAAATTTGACTAATGAAGATATTTTAATCAAATTCATGCACTACACTTGCTTTTATTTTTCTGATGCAGCGTTCGGAGCAGCTTGCACAGAGTACATGCACCAACCTCTGGAATCCACAATTATAATTTTGGTACATCAGAGGTAAAATCCTTAGGTGAAATAAAGAATATAGTTAACAAAGTATTCAATTTACATCAAAAAGTCACTTTATCCCAAATAGCAAAAAATAAAATGCTATTTTTTCAAGATGATAATACACATAATTATCACCATCAAATATGTGTGTAAAGTGAAATCAGAATGACAAGCTGACTATTACAAATCTACTAAATTTTGAGTTCGTAGTTCTAAAACAGGCTACATTTGAACCAGTTGAATCTGGCTACAATTCCGGCTTCTTTTCTATGTCATTTGCGCTCCATATGAAAAAAAAAAAAAAAGCTTTTTTTAAAGCTAATGCATGTATGGCATTTCATTAAGTGAATGAGAAAACAGATGACAATGTCTGATTTAAAATGATGGAAGGGTGGGGCACTGTGACACAGCGGGTCAAGTTAATATAAGGGACACACACTGCTCTTATCACTGCTCTTATCTCAGCAGCACCAGCACCTCTGCTTCTGACTGAACTTCCTACAAATGCATCTTGGGAGCAGGTAATGATGGCTCAGGTGACTGTGCCCCTAGTGCTGACGTGGGAGATCCAGATGGAGAGCCGGCGTTCTAGTTCCACCCTGGCTCAGCCCTGGCTACTGCAGGAGCCCGCAGAGTGAATCAGTGTTTTTAGACTCCTCTCCAGCCTTTCAGGTAGACTAAAAAACAAACAAAACAAAAACTTTTCTTAACTGATGGAAAGATGGCTAATTAACAATGTCAACTCCTTAGAAATTACAAAATGGAGGAGGCAGACATTCCTAACAAGTCACCAATTTTTTTGAGAAAAGCCTCAGCAAAAAAGAAATGTGTAGGGGGCAACTGGGGAAAAGGAAGTGTCAACAGTGCAAGAATGTACTTTTAATTCTGATTAAAATTCTGCTTATTTGAAAGGCACAGATGAAGGAGGAGAAAGGGGACAGGGAGGGAGAGAGAGAGGGAGAGAGAGAAAAAGAGAGAAGGAATGGTCTATCTGCTTGTTCACACTCCAAATGGTTGTACTGAGTAAGGCTGGGTGAGGTTAAAGCCAGGCACTTCAGCTGGGTCTCCCACATGGGTGCCCAGGCACTTAGACTGTCTTCTGCTACTTTTTCAGGGAATATTCAGAGAGCTGGACTGGAAATGGAGCAACCAGGACTCAACTGGGCACCCATATGGAATAAGGTGACATAGATAACAGCTTTACCTGCAAGCCACAATGCCAACCCTTCATCCTCATCTTTTCCTCATAATCCTGAAAGCACATGTCCTGTACACCATGATTCCTATGGAAAAATGGCCGGGTCTTGGAACATGACAGGGTACATCCACAGCAACTTCATGTGCAGGCCACACTCAAGTTCTACAGGACTAAAGACTGTGAAAACCATTAAAAGGAACACAAACGTAGACCCAGATGTATAAATTACAAAATCTCCACATGGCTCGGGTCCTGGGATCTACCTACTAGGTGGATTTGGAGTTCGTGAGCCCCAGGGTTGGGGGATCCAGCAGGACTTGGGTAGCCTGGCCCAGGTCCTTGGGCCCACCTACAAGAAAAAGGTGGAGCAGTGGACACAGACTCTCCTGATGTAAAAGGAGAATTGGCAGCTCATTTGGTGCCAAGGCAGAAGAACTTTGAACCCCAAACAATGACAGCGGTGAACGGAGCCTCGAGGCTGACCATGTCAACAATGAATATTGGCATGGTGGCATCATCCTTGGATTGCTGAAATCAACAGCATTTCAGAACTATCCAAACCACTTGGGCAGAACCCTCGGAACATGCACACATCTGGACCCTGAGTTGATACAAGGTGGCAGTTCCTCATCCCTGAGTACTGGGCCATTTGGAAAGTTGCATGTGGCTTTCCTCTCTCTCTCCCCTTTCCCCAAATTCAAGAAGAAACAGCAAACTTGGAAACAATGAGTTCACTCAATTTTCCCTAAACCTGAATCCTTCTAAATCATATCAACAGTATAACCATTATAAAAAATAAAATAATCATAAAAATTATAAAAGTTGACATTAAACATTCATCACATGAGGTTAACAAATCAAACAGCACAGAATGAATTGCACGTGGGCACAGGATAATGTACTTTCCAAACTGAAACACAGAAAGACACTGACACAAGGAATGGAATAGGAGGTTTTGTTTATACATCAAGCAATCTAAGTGTATCTGGAATGTCCGACAAAGGAAAGCAGTGAGACATTCAAATAAATGATGAGTTTTTCCAAATTTGCTGAAAAACATATATTCTCAGCTCCTTGGCCTTAAAGAATACACAGAAAACTAATAAATACACATATTAACAGAGGTGATCCAGCAACAAAGCAAAATCCATGGCTTGCAGATTTTGACATAAATGGATAAGCCTCTTCCGAGAGTTACAGAAAGCTTTAAGAGGACTACAAGACAAGGTAATTGCCCCCCTTGCCCTCCTAGCCACCCCAGGAGCTGGGTTCTAGCACTATCCACCAGCCAGGTGCATCACCATGCCACCCTTCACGCCTTAACCTGACAGCAACTCAAGTCCTTCAGTGGGGACACAAAACAGCACAGGATGAGTCAGAAAACGCCCACAACACTCTCCAAATTTTCCACCAGGGGCCGCAGAGTCATCACTGAGAGAAAAGTATACCCCAGGCGGGAGATGAGCCATCACTCAAGGGGGAACCCTGTAGGCAAGCGATGGCTCATCAGGTCAGAGACAAGCTGTCCCAGAGGGGGAAGCCTCACCCTGCATGCTGAGGGGGGGAGTCCCTGATTCCCCCTTGGGGAAGCCTCCTCCTGCGCCCTGAGGGGGGCGCCTCACCCTGTGCCCTGAGGAGGAAGGCTCCCCCTGCACCCTGAGGGAGTCCCTGATTCCCCCTTGGGGAAGCCTCCTCCTGCGCCCTGAGGGGGGAGCCTATCCCTGCACCCTGAGGGGAGAACCTCACCCCTCAACCTGAGGGAGTCCCTGATTCCCCCTTGGGGGTACCTCACCCTGTGTCCTGAGGGGGACACCTCACTCCGCCTTCCGCCTTCCTGAGGGGGAATCTCACCCCAAGCCTTCTTGAGCGAGAGTGCCTGACTCCTCCTTGGTGGGGGAGTCTCAGCCTCACCCCGCACCTTCCCGAGGGATTCTGTCACTCCTGGGAGGGGTTGAGCACCCTACCCGAGGGGAAAGCCTCACCCTACACCTCGGGGTGTCCCTCTCCAGGCACTAGGAGCTGGGGACTGTTCGGTGCGCTTGAGTCGAAGGTGAAAACCTGCTTACCTGATGTTGGAAGTCCTGCATCTGCTGGGCTTCAACACAGACGCCTGCCCTCCGCATACAGCTAGCCAGCCCTCTACCAACACATTATTGCTGAAAACGGGCGCCCAGGTCCCGGAAGACCTCGGGGAGCGCTCCCACACAGGTGGCCGCTTCCGGGGGCGTCACAGACGGAGATGACGTCACAGACATCACAGACGCGGGCGGCTTCCGACGTCAAATGCAGCGAATCTGTTTTCCATATCACAAATATAATTATAAAAAGATAATTATATTGAACTGAATAAAACAGGGAGCCCGTGTTTTGGAGGAAGACTGAAGAACCTCCGTCTATTCCTCGGGTACAAGCATGCCCTCTAAAGCGAAACAACATGGAGAATCATTTTATGCAAAACGAAGTTAGTTTCATGCTGCAGGAAGTATTTGTGCATTGTTGTTTCACAGTTCACATCAGTCTTTAATTAATTTATATAAAGTGAATACATCCATACGTTTCACAATAAACTCAGAGAAGCATAGTGAGATCTCCCACTAACTCCTCTCTCCTGTCCTACACTTTCATTTCATTTTAAAGTAGTCAGGCAGACACAGAGAGAGAGATCCTGACTGCTGGTTTACTCGCCAGATGCACATGAAACCCTGGGGTTGGACCAATCCAAGCTCTCCCATAATTTACATTAGCATGAAGCTGCATCTGGATTATAGCCTCAAGGAGTTGAACCGGGCACTCAGCTATGGAAGGTAGGCATCCTACACTGCATCTTAACTGCTGTGTTAATGCCCATTCCTACTTTAGTTTCTTAGTGTGGCATTAGAGGTCATAGATTTGATATCTTTCTTTTCCAATATTGTTGTTACCATTTGTAAATGCTGTAACTTCTCCCCTGCATGCTTGCTTTTGATGGGATTCCATAAGGTCTGATAGAGTATGTTTTCATTTAGTCTAAAATGTTTGCAGCACTTTATTTTGATTTTTGTTTGAATCTCTGGCTACTTAGGTTTCTGTGGGGTGTACAAATTTTTACGTTCTACCCGTTGAGCGGAAATTAAATTTGTGTGTGATTTGGTAATCTTACCTTGCATGTTTTGAAATTTCTTAAGATTATTGACACAGCACACAACGTTGTCCTGTGGCATTTTCTTCGTGCACCTAAGAATAATATACCAGTGGTTGAGGCATTTGTGTTTATAATATACTTTATAAATATAATATATAACATACTTTATAAAATACATGCTCCTGACTGGTCATTTTTTCATTTTAAAATATTGCCTATTCTGAAATCTACAGTTTTTTTTTTTTTATCAGAAGTGACATGTTTTCTAACCTTTCAATTGATTACTTTATTTATCTTTCAAGAACTCTTTGCACATAGTTTATGATCATCTTTTTGAAAGGATTATAAGCACATCTGGCTTTTCATTTGAGGGCACTTATATCATTTGCATTTAATGAAATCTCTGAAATGATTAAATTTGAGTCTACCAGGTTTTTCTTTTTAAGCTTCATTTATTTATTTGAAA